AAAATATTATAATTTTTCAAAATTACAAATGTAGGTCATATTAGTGTTTTAAGAATTAAAGTATCCCAGCAAAAATTAATTAATATAAACTATTTTTATAATTTTTAATAATTAAGGGTGAACTTTTTTATATATTATCATATACTGAAACGTTCCTCCCTGGCAACATTTAATAGAGAAATATAAGTATTTATTTTTTAAATTTAAGTTTTCTTTCTCTTGATGTTCTTCTATTTGGAGGGTGCATATGCACATAGTATAGTATGTACAGTTTTAACTTTTCTACATAAAATTCAACGTTTGACATGAGCTCATGAATCTACTCATTAATTCTAGTGTAATTTTTTTTCAGAGCAGGTCGCTTTCAATGCATGTTAAGAAGAGGTTGTTTACCAATTCTAATGTAATAATGAAGGCCAACAATACCCCCACCAATTTTAATTAGCTTAATTAATCTGGAGAGTTTACTTATACTTAAGGAGAGTGAGGAACACCTGAAACAATAATGAATGATCGCCATCACTCACAATTTTGAAAATTACAATCTTGGATCAAAATTAATCCCTCCTCTGAACTCATAAACAGTGCATGCTATAAACCAAGAAGAAGATTAAAGAGTAATGTTTGGACTAAGGGGCAAAATTAGATGAAATAATAGATACAAATCTCACTTTTTCTGCTGTTTTAACAATCGTAGGAATAAATGGTGAATTGACTTTTCATGTAAGAAAAATGCCAAGAAAAATATTGGTTAAAAATTTGAAAATAATTTTTTATTACAAAATATATAATATATTAACTTTCATTAAGGGAAGTGTCCCCGAATCGACTGTGTTATGTCTGCTGCCCTTGTCTCCTCCAACAACCATCCTTGGATCAGTCCCTCTCTTGCATTAACATCAGTCAAATTGTAGCTAATGAATGGCGTATAAATAAACACTCAATACTTGTATAATGTAAATTAACTTTGTATTTTCTCCTCCTCTACATAGTTTAATGGATCCAGATTCTTCAGTTTTAAATTTAACTAATAAAATATATTAATAAAATTTAATATTATATTAATTTAATTTAATATAATAAAAATTATCATAAAAGAAGATTTTGTATATGTAAAATAAAAAAAAATTAAACATATTATTTTCTATTAAATCTTAAAAAATTCTTAATATATAAATTGCACAGAGATAGAACAATTTATAATTTGAATATAAATTACAATACTCATATAAGTTATGCTTATGCACAAGCCTTAACTTGAACATGTGCTTGGAAAAAGAATATATTTTAAGATTTTTAAAAAATATATATATATATATATATAATTTTTTTATTTATTTTATTGTAAATATAAACAAAAAATCTTCATAAAAGAACTGTTTTTTTAACTATATTCTCCTTCACCAAAATTTCTTTTTTCAAAAATTTTCCGTCCCTCACCAACATTTTGTCAAAAGCAGCCGTGCATTGTGACAGTTGTAAAAAAAAAAATAAAACTCTTGACCATATAAAGAATTTAGTTGACCTTAAAATATTTTTTTTAAAGAAATTTAAAATATATTAATTATTTTTAATGATACTTTCATTTATTACATTATCAAAACACTTAAATGATTGATAATTATAATTTAAAATTTTTTAATAAAATATTTTTTGTCAAAAATAATTATCATATTATAACATTTTATATAATTAATATTTTTCCTAGTTGCATTTCCAGAAAAGCTCTTAATTAACCAAAACAACACAGACAAGAAGGGTTAATCCATATATAAACAGTACAACGCTTAAGTTCCAAACCTATCCAACACTTTTAGAGTATTTGTACTGTACACACTGCAAATCTAAAGGTCATTGATTGTGGGCATGCAGCAGAGGGGTAAATTTTGTTCTTTTATAATATTATACATAGGGAGGTTAAAAATGAAGAAGATTGTAATAATTATAGCTGGGATGATGATAATGATGTTAGGAGTTGCAATCGTCACGGAAGTGAATGAACAAATTGATGGAGGAGAAGAGAGAGAGGTGTGTGTAGGCATTGAAGTGATTTAGCAAAAGCATAGGAATAGGATAGCATAGCATAGAGCCCAACAAAGGGAAAAACCAAAGTTACAGTGTGGGATTAGCCCATTCATTTGCAACCTTGAAGTTTGGAGAGAAGCGACAGGGACAGATAGAGAGAGAGAGAGAGAAATTTAAAGTGACAGAGATAGGGTCAGTAACTTGGTTCGGAATTGATAAGTGACCTACTTTTGAGTGAAGAGTGGCCCTGCCAGAATAATCAACTTTTTACTATTCACATATAGAAACTAGAAAGTGCAGTACAGGGGAGGGGTCAGGCTTTTGATGCTGCTCATGATACAGATGATGCCATTGCAATTTCAATTGCCATTGTTATTGCTATTAAGCTACTATATACTATATATTATATTAGATACTATATGCTATTGATATTTGCTATGCCCCCTCCTTCAAATATTTATGAAGGTCATTTATGCATTTGGGCTTTGCAGGTTGTAAGACTCAGTCCTAATCCTAAGGCACTGCCAAAAGCCGACGAATGCGGAATTACTTTAATTCAAGGAAAGGGACGGGACATAGCAAGCCCCTAATTCTACACGTGGCTGCAAATTATAACGCCATGCGACAAAAACACCAAATAAATCATTTTCAATCTCGTACCTCTTGTCCTTTTAGCATCTGCCATCCCATACTTCTTTTTTCACTCAATTGCAAATCATTTTCAGTTTTTTTTCCCCTTTTTATATGTGATTTTTATTTTATGTGATGTGATTTCTTGAGCTTTTAATTAAATATTCAAAACTTTTCTAGTTTTTCCATTCAAACTTCCGAAATGAAGAATTTAAAAACAAATAAAATATTGAAGGAAATCTTGTTATTTCTTTGAATTTGTACACTGCACTAAACCTTAATTTTAAAAAATATCAAGAAACACGTTCAGTTAACATAATTTATGAAAAAGTCAACAAATGATATTATTTTGCCAAAAATTATGAAAAGCTTTTAAGGACAACTAATTTGGTTCATATAGATAGAGATCCATTTCCTTTTTATGCAAATGGAGACTTTTAGCCTGCTTGGATATTTAATATAATGGAATTATATAATGATCAATTTTAATTGGAGTTATTAGCTTAAAAACTCGATTTCAAAAATAAAACAAACAAGCTATTCCTTAGAATGCAAAATTTCCATTGGCGTTTAAAAATTGTGTCGTGGTGCATTTACGTTTGAAGTATAATCAACTTCATAAATAACACCGTCACTTTACCTTAAAAGAAAAACTCGTTCGTGTATGAATTAATTCAGATATTCGTATAATTAGTATTAGATCATGTTATTGTTTTATTATCAAATTCATAACTTTCCATAATTACACTTACAAAAACAATTCCAATTTATGTTATCCAGAGTACATTTACTTTTATCCAAACATAAATTATGCTATTCTAAAATCAATTTTGATTCTAATTCTTAATTGCTAATTCTAATCTAAACAGGAAAAAAGTAGAGTTTCAATAATAACGCAGCCTGTTCAGTCCAATTTAAATACTCATACAAGTTAGCCTTAACTTAAATCGACCTCAATTTCAGTTTTTTCTACGCATCACATTTTTATATATTTTTATTTTATTTTAGATCGTAAATACTTTCTAAGAGACAATTTTATTTCAACTGAGAAGCATCTTATGATTTTTTGGGGGGTCAAAGTTAAACAATTTTCTATCAAATAACAGAATACTAGCCTTCGTTCCTATTTATCCACAAAAAATGAAATTATGGACTTAAATAAAGCTGATTATTTTGTTTAAATTATTAGAAAATTCCCAATTTATCTTTTATTTTAGTGTTGAAATAATATAATTACTTTATTTGTTATATTTTAAATTTGTATATAAACAAAGAAGTATTAATTAATAAGTAATAATATTGGCTTAAATTTCTGCATAAATGAAAAAATAAAAATATTTCTTCTCTCTAAAAGATAAAAAAAAAAAAAATAGTATAGAACAAATATATTATTATACTATAACTTATAAAGCTTCCATTATCTTCACAGACAGTGCAGCCGTACTCTGACAAGGATGCTTATTACACACTACTGCTTCAGTTTGAGGTAAATTTAAAAAGTGTTAAGCAAGTGAAAATGCTTATGCAATTAGTGATAAAAAAAAAGGAGGAGAAATAAAAGTTGTTACAGGTAATATAATATGACAAAAGCTGTATTAACTAATGCCTTTGAAACCTTGATTAAGAAAAAAAATTATTACAAGTATCCTGAGATTGTATTAAAAATTATGGTAAAAAGGGATTAATGATATGTTTAATATTTTTTTTTCACTTTTATATCTTTGAAACTTCCTTTGGCAAATATTTCCTTAAAAAAGTAATAAAAAATTGAGGTAAAAGAGAAGTAAAATTAATGTAAAATGTGTAAGTGAATAAATGTAAAATTCTTCCTTAAAAAAAATACTATGTACAAGGAAATGGGACATAAATTGATTTGGACGTCCTACCATGCGCACAAAACAAACGTATAAACTTCGGCCAAGGACGGGGCAGGTATCATTAGGATAGACTATGAGACAGCTTTGGTGTTCCTTAAATATAACAATAACCATGTGATGGGATTCAAGCCAAAAATTGTTAATAGTGTCATGTCGGCAATAATATACACTGGCGACTAACTAACGGAAAGTAAGATAAATTCAAAACAATGACCCACACATACGGAATTGAACTTAGCATGCGCACCAATCTGTACAAATTCAATCTCTTCAAAGATCACCATCATCTTTTCAAATATTTTCAAGATAGAAAACCACTAAGGTTGGATGTTGGATACCAAAGTAAATGCTGGGTCATTATAACAGTCTCAGATCAGCAAAAGCAGAGTTCAACCATGCCGCGAGGCATGACATTTCTTTACACCGAAGAAAATTGGTATATTAAAGACAAATAGTAAAAGCTATTGAATCAAGCAATTCAATTGCAACTTGTAGTCCTACTACTTTGTCAAATCACAGATCAAACAAATAGTCTAGAAGATTTGCAACTGTAGCTTTGCTCTACCTTGCTATGCTTTCAGCTCCTGCAGTAGAAAGGGGATATGGTGGTGGAGTTAGTGATTGATGGAGGAAAATGTGAGTGGAGGAACGTCACGTTCGGAAAATGAATTTGACTATCCGCAGCTGAAGGTATCATTGTAGAAGGGAATCCTGATGATGCTGCAGCAGAGAACGGTGGAGTCAGAGCTGCCCCGCCATAGGGACCTTGGACTTGCCATGCCCAATTTGGAACAGGAGCAGTTTCCATCCTCTTCTCTGTTGCTCTTTCCTGTGAATAATAATTCATAATTAATAACTAATGCAGAAGAAACTAAAGCAAAATTAATTATGGTGGCAAGAATATATGAAAATCACCTCATAGACGGGAAAGAAATTGGTACCACTCCAGACGGAAGGATGATGCTCAGATGCTATGGAGTAGCCATGAGATGGCTGAACATTCAGCGATCTCGATCCGGAGTGCTCAAACTATTAATCAAAATGAAAACATTCCTTGGGAGCTAAGTATACATTACACAAATACTAGCTCATAAAAAAGATGAAAAAAGCAAAGAGGGGCATGGGAAATTACAAAAAATTGAGTTAACTGAAGGGTCATGCAACATCTATCTAACTTACCATAATTCTCTTATCAAGAGGGATATCATCCCAGCTGCGTTGAACTGGCAAACAACTTCCATTATTGGGAGTGTTCTTGATTTGACCATCAGAGTAAGAAGGGGGAGCTATTCCCAAGTTAAGATCAAGACTTCGCCTGTTATCTGAATATTGTAAAAATGTTAATGTATTTTGTCTTCATAGATCAATCACTAAGCAGTTTATAGACCAAGACAAAAATAACTAAATAAACAAGTAGTACCTTCATTATCAGACTGAGAAATCACCTCCCCTTCATATAAGCTGGGCTCGAAGTTCGTAACAGCTTCCCTTCCATTGCATTTTATAGCAGCCCTATCATACGCTCTGGAATTATTACACAGCAAGTCAATAGCACACTAGGCATAAGAGAATATATACATATATTTTGATCTACGACTTGTAGAACCTTGCAGCCTCTAGTTCGCTGTCGAATAGCCCAAGATATATATACCTGCAGGTAAGCAATAAAGATTTAGCTTACGACAGGGAGTTAAAATTTGAGGTATCACTCAAAGCAAATGGAAATAAAAAATTGATAAAAAATGCAAGGTGATCAAAGCAAGAAGACCAAATGGGTTTTCTCACTTTTTCCCAAGAAACTGGCCCATACGAGCTTCCCACCGCCCGCATTTATGCAGAGTAACTCCCCTGTATTTGGAGCTTCCTCTCGAAAAGCCAGTGCTCTGTCGACGCAGAATATGCACAAACTCCTCCTTTGTGAAGTTACTCATCTGCACGACGCAGTAAAAAAAATCGATACTACAACTATAAAATATAAAGTCCCATTCTAAATTTTTAGAAAAAGTGTAGCACACATAAAATCACGAGGTCACCAACCTGCTTTATATCTTCATCATAATCGCTAACGTTGAAATTGATATCCGCATCAACGCCACGGAACTTGATAGCAGCTCGATCATAAGCCCTGAAATTCAAATAAAACAAAATAGAACTGCATGAAACATTTCATCATACGCTAAAATAAATAAAACCTAAACACGAAATTTACCTTGCTGCAGCATGCGCTGTATCAAATCCACCTACAAAAAAGAAAAGAAAAGCGATATTGAAGAAAGCTGAAGCACAGAATATAAAACGAATCTTCTACTTGCATCCTCACCCAAGTACACTTGTTTCCCACAATCCCTGCACGCAACAAAAACAACGCAGTGAACTCAGAAACAGTAACGTATCAATACAAAGCAGATAGCCAAAGTTAAAATGCGGAGAAGCATCTATTGCTAACCAAATATGCGATTCCCATCTTCCCGTTCTCCGGTAGAAAGTAACACCGCGATACTGCGAGCTTCGCGACCTTGGTCCACGACGGCTCTTCTTCACCTGCGGTTGCCGGGGAGTAATCACCTGCTCCGGCGGAGCACCGTGATGATCCACCTCCTTCGACGACGAGAAATCCAACCATCCTGGCGAGATTCCCGAGTCGGACGCCGGAAAAAGCTGAATGGTCCGAACGGCGGCGTCATCAGCAGCAGCGGTGTTGCTGTTGAGGATGGCGAAGTTGTAAGCGACGGCGCCGTCGCCGTAAGAGCAGGAATCTTCGGTGTCGGCGGCATTGACGACGGAGGAATTGAGGCTGCCGGAGCTCTCCATTGGAGTGGCGGAGAGCGGAGGAGTGTTGGTGTAGTCGGAGGAGGCGTTGAGGTTGAGATCCAACATTGCGACGCGACCCGACCCGAACGGTGAGTTTGTTAGAAATAAACGGTTTGGAGGGAAAGTAAAGTTAGTTACAACGGGAATGATCGAATCGGCAACTGCATCACATCATTGTGATTGTGAGCGAGGAGGGAATTTCTTTCATGCAGCGAGAGAGAAGAGTTAAGGATGAAAGAAAAAAGAACAAGTAGAATGGTGAAGAGAGTGCGTTAACCCAAGCATGATATGATATGATATGGCACCAAAGTGAACGCTGGCCCTCCCCTTCTTTTTCTCTTACCTCTCTTCTATTTCTATTTCTATTTCCCCCCTTTTCCTTTCTTTTTTTCACACTTTTCACCTTCTATTTCTTTTTTGGGTAATAATATATTACTCCCCATTAATAATCATTGTAAAATAAGGCAATTCTTTTTTCTTTTTTTTTATTCTTCCCATTTTCTTTTATGAGAGCGAAAGATTAAACTACCCGAACCAGAAATACTACTTGCGTAATACTGATCCACGCTTTTAATAATTAATATGTCATTAATTAACATGCATTTAAATTTTCTGTCTTAAATTAAAAATAAGAGAATTTATTGATTTAAAATTATATAATTATTCAAGACATTTTTTTAAATATTTAATGACATGTATTTAATTTATTTTAAAATGTATTTTTGAAAACAAATTAAATTTTTTTTAATTGAGATATGAAGTGCAAAATAAAAATTAGGTGGAATTAGATTAGAGACGCATCCCTATGATTCTGTTAAGGCTGACGATGTCATTTTCCAGTGAACTGACCTCGTTTTGTCCCTCCCACCCCTTTTGTCCACTGTTTTTCTTTTATACTAATACTTTGTAAAGAAAATATAGGATTCGGATTTGGGTGAAGTTTAAAAATACCACTGCAGATTCATTTATTTTATAATAACTTTTTAAATATTAAATTAATGTTTTATTTAATGGATTAAATTTATAAAATATATAAATTCTAAATTAATTAACACTTCATTAAATAACTTATTTGAATATATGTTTTTATAAATTAATCATAAAAGCATATATTTATAAACATTTAATTTATTTACTTAATATAAATATAAATATTTAATATTTTAATATTATATTATTTAATAATTAAATTAATAAAACTTAATATTTATAGATAGTCATTAAAAGAGCAAATCTTTAAAATAATTTGATATTTACACTTTAAAAATATATTTAAATTTTTATCATTTTTCAATAATAAATTAGAGATCAAATAATATGATTTCTAGCATTTACCATTTTGACAAGCCTCGAAAAGTGTAATAACTATAAATATTTGTCTAAACCTTAATTACAATCTGAGAATTTAAAGCACCTTTAAAAGTAACAATAAATAAAATATAAATAAATTTTATTCTTTATTAATTCATTTTATTAGATAATAATATTTGAAAATTTTATAATAAAAAAGGAAATTCATATAGTAATGTTGTTATAATATATTTTTATAATCGAGTAATTGTAATAACAGTTACACGACAATTGGAACTATTTTCATAACGCGGTAATATATAGAAAATAATTATAAATTATACTTAATTTAAATTATATGTTTAAAATTATTGAATATTTATTTCACAAGAACTTCAAGGAAAAGAAATGAATATTGAATATAATAAAATTTAAAGTGCACGAATTAAAATTTACTTGCGCTAATGTGAATGTCTGCCTCTGTCTTTTTTGGAAAATATGTGTACTGTAAAATGTAGTCACTACTTGACAACTAAAGTAATAAAATTGTCTACCAAAAAAAGTAATAAAATTGAAACAAAGGTACATATATTGGTATTCTTCATCTAAAACATAACAAAGTTGGCTTCTCATCCATGCTCATACACCGACCACACTGCCTTAAACTTAATGCATGTCAAGAGTTTACATTTATTGGTAGAACAAAACTTATAAGAATCACACGTTTTGGTGTGTAGTTGGATTTGATACGTATATTTTATAGGTCTATATAAGTTTATTTTGTTCACATGCAATGGACATAAGGTAAATAAAATTCGAGTGAGATACGTACACTTTTTTCTTTTTAGTGAAATACCTACGCTTTCTACGTAGATACAACGGTAGCTACGTGGATTATTATATTTATTGAGATTGTACGAATGAAGAAGAAACTAGAAATGGAGAATGACACATTGTAATTGCTAAGTTTGTTAGGCTATTTATGGTGCACCTGATTGTATATGGCAATACGATGAGACATTGATAAAATTATTATACTAAAAGGTCTTTGGTGTGGGCATAAGTAAATATATGACTACTCTTGTACCCAATTTGTCCCGTCCCATAATCACACGCCATTCACATTCTTGTGTTGCCTAGCTAGGGTTTGGTGGCACAGGATCGATCAAACAACCTAAAGTGGATGTTAATTAATGTAGTGCATTTTGACATTGGCATCCAACAAGTGACTATGTATTTGATTCTTTGTTAAAATAAAATTGAATCAAACACATTGTGTTCCTTTGAGTATATGATTCCATACCATACCAATTTTTTATTTGTATAGACACCATTTGGCTAATTCTTGGAAAGAAATATTTGGAAATGATTTTGAAATCAATGTCATGTTTGTTATAAAGTTATTAATTTTGTTTTGTACGTTTAATGAAAACGCTATATGTTCTAATGTGAAAATATAAAATCAAAATTAATTTCTTTGGTTGAAAGGTGGTTGAGTGGTAGTACAATAGTCGTTTAGCAAAGGAACAAATGTAGTGCAGGGGTAGGCTGAGCACAGGGATATTGTCTTTAAAGGGAGAGAGATGAAGGGGTGAAAACTGGAAAATGACTATTCTTGACCTGGTCATCGATATTTATTACAGGGAAAAATTATAGGCTGGGTTTCATTTTTGGATTTAGCGTGGCAGAAAAAAACGACAAGTTTAAAAAATAATTAAGAGTGTAATAAAAAAAGAGTTAGAAAGTAAGCATAAAAGAATAAAAAAAATATTACTACGTATGTGACAAACAATTCTCATAAGATATTGTTTGCTTTTTATAATTTTTCCATTTTAAGAGTATTTTTTATGATAGACCAGTCATTAGTGGAATCCTTTTTATAGTATATTTTTATATATATATATAATTTTGAGATTTAATTAAAAATCACACATTCAAGGAATCTGAGCGTTTTTTTACTTGGATAAATACATGCTGGTTAATGTAGTTGGTTTAATTAATGAAAACAAATAATTGATAATTAGTTTTAATTTTTATATTTAAAATGTGATTTGTTTTATTTCGTTATTACTTATAATTCGTCTCTTGGTGTCGTGTAATAGTAATACTTAACTTTCATACGGATTAATTATCTTTTTCTTATTACTTATATAACGATCCTATTAAATTCTATCATGTGATGTGGGAGAGTACAAGAACAGCAAAATATTGGCATCTCTCATAACCATGAAAATTCCTTGTAATGGCATGGAAGATGCACGGGTTCCCGTGGAATGAATAAGCAAGATGAAATCATAATGCAAACCACATTACTACTTACGGAATTTTTATATTTAATATAGTAGATTCTGATTTTTCTCTCTTTCACTTTAATACAAAGAAGAATGTATATTTTTAAATGAACAAGTCCATGCTTAGCTAAGATATTTCAGTTAGTTAAAGTTGATTATACCAGTTAAAAAATTGTTTAATTAATTTTTTTTAAAGTAATTAAAACGAGTAATTATTAGTATTTATTTAAATGGTACTCATATTAATATCTTTCATTTTCAGTTATTAGCTGATAATAATTTTTTTATTTTGTCTCTATTATTATTGAGTAATTCATTTTTTATTTATTCAAAATTTCAAACACCACTCAATAGATAAATGCCAATTTTAATTACACATGTTATTAATATAAAACTCAACTTTTAATTAAAGAACAACACCCCCCCCCCCCCATCTTTCAATCATTATTTCCAATTGCATATTAAATTCTCATATCCAATCCCATATGCAACATATTCGATCTTATGTGTAGTTTTGTGTCATCTTTCATTTTAAATGCAACGTCCCATATCCAATCTCAGCCTAATCTTCAAATGCAAGTTAGTTCACTTACTTGAACTTTACAAGTGAAGCTAACAAATTTTCATTACACTTAATATCATATTTCATAATTATTTAGTTGGTTGTAATTTTATAGCTTAGCATATAAATTCTTAGGATTATATATAAACACAAATTCTTATATCATATCACAATCAATATATGTTAGAAATATTCATTGTCCCCTGTGATGAACTAATTTATGGTAATTTCCAATGTGATAACAGTAGTACATGGCTTGTAAATTGACAGTACTACCAAGTAGATGGCCATAAAGACATGGTACATGGGTAGTATTAGGATTAGCCTAACGTTGTAACATTGCTCCTATATAGTACACCGAACATGAACCCTACTAATAGCTAGAGTATCCGTTAGCCTTGAACATTAAATTTTGTTAACAGTAATAACTGCACGTGAATGTGAACGGAATATCATTCACAATACTAACGGCGGTGAATCGTTGTTTAATTTTAGTTTCGGCTTCCCACTTTCAATTTACCAATATACCCCTAACCGCCACCCAATGCCTATATTTTATTTTCCCATCCTCAAAGATCAATCTTGCTTTGATCAAATAATATATTTTGTAATGATTAATAAAAATATTTTATTTAAATGAAAATAAAAAAACTAATTACACTTTTATCTTTCATATTTTTGTAACATGGGGTATCGCTTTTTTATTCAAGATAAAAAAAAAAAATTGTGTGTGACAAATAAATGTGAGGATCATATTTCCAAGGATGAAACTACGAATACATGACACATGCTTCAAATATTTACTTTGGATTGATAAAATAATTTGATAAGAATGGAATGTTAAGTATAGCACGTTTGAAATTTTTTAATTGAGTGAAGTAGATTGGATATGAATGGGGAAAAGAAGTACTATGATAAAGTTGTTGAAGTGGAATGCTTCACAATCAATTGGACAGTGTCCACATGTTAAGATCCCACTAATATTTGATTTATTTAGTAAGATTTTAATGCATAGAGTCAAAGGTACCATACAATTCGGGAAGAGATTAAGACACAACACAAAACATTGTTATGCATTGTATCTATATTTATATTTGGATCCACTGAGGCTTACTTTAGATATGCCAATAAGGAGCGCTGAGGCTGTTGATTAGCTGGTTTTTACCGACACAAAGTGGAGTCTTTAAAATTCATACGCTGACATAATTAGAACAAATATTTCCATAGCATTATTTAATGTTAGTGAAGTTTCTTTTTCGGGGTACATTGTTAGTGCAGCTTACTATTTGTCGATGTGCTCCAATTTCACCTTTTGTTTCGAGAATTTATAGGTTCGCACCAACTTTCCCTTTATGGACGAAAACCATGTTGTAATATCTCAATTTAGAAAAGCCCAATTTGCGTTCCACGTAATTGAACCAGGTCAGCCCAACAGATGAAAGCGAACCTCACTTTCCACTTTGTTGTGCCATAGTTAAAAGCAACTTGGATCAGTGACGAACTTATTCTTGGGTAGTGTATCAGTGACCAATGATAGATGCATATCACTTTGGGGTGAAAGGAGTCGCACTAGTTACACAATGCTGTATGATCTTTTATAATTTGTCTCTATATTCATATGGAGTTACTTCAACTTACATTAAAATCGACCTCATCATAACAAAAATAGTACAACTTAAAAATAATGTACAACTATCTCTGCTTTAATTTATAACACGCTCTAATAAAACAAATATGCATTCACGATGAAATATATACGGTCTCTTTTTCCTTTCTTTACTGCTGGCACCAAATAGGAAATATATCCTTAAAAAGAATTCAGGTACTATTGATAAAATTGGTCTTACATATACTTTTGGTCTCGATTATGTTTAACTTGTGATTTTGATTTTCTAATAAATTTTTATTTAATTCTTCAAAATTTTAAATTTTGTAATCAAGTTAGTTAATTATTTGTTATTGCTACAATCAAAATTTTAAATAATTTATTCTTTGTTTTGAACTCTCTCTCTGTACTAAATCATCTTAAACTCTTCTATTAAAAAATTTCTAATAAAAAAATCATCAATCTAAATCAAATAACTCTAAATTTTTTTTTCAAATTTTTTGGTTTCTGAATCTAAATCGGGTTACGTATCTAGACATAGTGGATGAATTTATCACTGAAAGTTTTTTATATATTCAAGAACTCAAATTTAAAACTTTGTTTAGTTGCCACTCAAACCAACATTCTTTGATAAATTTTGTACTTTTTGAACTCTTTAAATCATTTTTTTTATCACAATATCGTCTTAAACATTTAATTACTTTAATTATAATTTAATTTAAATAAGTAAAGACTTTTTACTGTAATATAAACAAAAATTATATTTTGCAACAAGTAATATAAGATTTTTTTTTTATCACAACAGGGTATCGACATTTGGTAAAAAAGATCGTTAAACTTGAAAGTTAAAATCACAACCTCAATCTCAGTTTATGAGGTTGGCCACAAGTAAAATGTCACTTGTTCCTTTCATTACCGGTACTTTTGTTTGCGTTAATTTATCTTCACATAAGTTTAACTTTATGATTCTAACTGTCATCATCTTGGATGCAGTCTCAAGTGAAATCTCGAGGGTTATGACAATGATTTTATTAGCATTACTGCATCATAGCACTTCCCAACTTGAATTTGATTCGCATGACAAGCTCATCCTTTACTTGTCAGGAAAATACGTTCCTCTCTGAATGGTTGATCCAGTACTTGATCACCAGAGGAGAAAATAGTTTAAACCAACTCCAGAGCTTCCAAGAACTAGATAAAATTTCGAGTCAGTTGCTTGGGAATTTATCTTTCACCGTTGGACAATATTTCATTTGTTCGACACTTAGCTTCGCACGTGATCAGATCTTTTAATTGGTTCTTAGCAGTGGGGTAGAGAATAAGAGGGAGCCCTATTCATTGTAAAATTGCTAACACAATCTCTGGGAGGACTTTCTCTATCTCATTTAAAAAGGATCGACACTTTAATCCAGATATTATATACTGGATTTAGAAAAATGAGATTTTTTTAAAAATTATATTTATACAAAATTTCGTGTAGAACTTAACAAAGAGACAAGAAAATGAATGTAAGATAAGTCGATTGATATGATACAAATAAAAGGAAAAATGTTGCATCAATTTATTCTGTAAACAATATAACTCAATCTTGTACTGTGATTTTCAAAATTTTAAAATTTAGCAAACAAAATCTATTTCCAGCAACATTAAAACGCGAATAAAAAACATGTTACTCGAAGTATCAAACCAAGACATGTCCTAATAATCTGCAAGATTTTCTCCCACGATATAATTGCCGTATCAAAACTGCAAAGCAATATAATCCGAAAGAAAGTGACAGAACAAAATCTACACGCTACAGAAAAGAATTCACTGAGAAATACCCAGCCACTTAGAAAAGTTATCAAATTCGGCATAATCAGAGTCGGACACCATGGTTTGATACCACGCTTTTCCGGCAGCCTTGATAGCAGAAGCCTCCTCCTGACAAGAAACAAGTGTCAGTTCAAACTTCAAACAAATGCTAGCAGCATAAATTAATTATACACCCAACTTCAAAACTAAAAACTATTTAAGGAAACCTAAACTCGCAAACAACACATTACAAATATACGTTTCTAATCTAATATCTCCTATGCTCCCATATGGATACTTGGAACAGTTATGTGGATATATTTTATACATAATCACCATGCATATTTAATTATATAACGATGTTTAATGGTAAAGGATAAAGTAATTGACCTTAGAGACAGTGGTGCGCTTCTTATCAAGCTTCTCCTTCTTAGCTTTAACGCGCTGCGCCTCCGCGAGAAGGGACATTCTCCTTGCAGTCTTAGCATAGGGATTGAGCTTCAACATAGCATTAAGGTTCTTAAGAGGGTTCTTCTTCAGAGTGGCTCTCTTAACCTCTTTCTTAATGGGCCTAACAACGGACTGAACCTCGTCGGAGTTAATGATCCGGGCCAAGTCAGAGTTAACCATCTTGGACCTGGGAAGGAGGTAACCCTTTTTCTTTTCGGAAACCTTATCGAAGGACCCATAAATGGAGTCGAGCTTCTCAAACGCGGACTTGGTCCAAACAACGAACCTCCCAAGGTGGCCACCGGGTGCTAACTTCAGAAGGTTAAGCCTATCAACATTTGCCACGTCAACGCCTGGAATGTTCCGGAAGGCTTTAACGGCTTTGGCACCTTCGGTTCCGTACACGATTAAAGGGCCCTTGCGTGAAATGTACCTACGGTTCCTCATTTTACCCTTACCGGCTCGAATTCCGTGGCTATCTTTCGCTTTTTCTGCGTCGGCCAAGGCTCCGATCTGTTTCAGGACTTTCACGGCTTCCTTGCTTTTCTCGACGCTTTCCACGGTGTCGCTAACCACGAGGGGAAGCTCCGGGACGGAATCGATGCGGTGGCCGCGGGCGAGGACGAGGGAGGGAATTGCGGAGGCCGCGATGGCGGAGACAACAGCGTAACGTTTCTGGTTGACGTTGATCTTGCGGTGCCAGCGGCGCCAGATCTTGGTGGGAGCGAACATGCGGCCGCCGCGGCACATGTTGCCGAAGGCCCCCTGGCCGGCGCGGTGAGTGCCGCCGCCGGGAACGCGAGGAATGCGAGAGACGGCGCGGCCGGTGCCCCAGGATTCGGCGGAGGTTTGGTGGCCGGCGCGCTTGCTGACGGCGTAGGGTTGGCGAGCGTTGCGGGAAATGTTGGAGTGGACGAAGGTGACTATGTCGGGGCGAATGGAGGCCTTCATGACGTCGGGGAGTGGGACGGTGGGGGCTGCCTCGCCCTCTAGGGTTTGAACGGAGACGATAGGGCGAGCTGCTGCTGCCATTGTTGAAGAAATGGAAGGTCGTATGGTACAAACAAAACTAGGGTTTTGGGCACATGCAGAAGAGAAGCTTAATGTTTATACGGTGAATATATAGGGCCCTTATTCTAACTGGCCCTTTCAGTGCTTCAGTCCTACTCAGGCCCGTTCACTTTGCCAATATGATTGGGCCTGTTCTTCTTTACCGGATCAAGTTCTACTCATCCCAGATCCAAAAAAGAAGAAGAAGATAAATGTAGGACCGTATATAAACTGGCTTGTAATATTAATTATTTTAATAATGGAAATGATTACTCGGTAATGAACAGTGTAATTCCACTTCCCATGTTAAAACCCCAAATAAAAATTGCACGTCTTTGATAAAATTTCCAAATTCTAAACGAATTACATTGCATATCACAAATTTTTAGTAAAAATTATATACATTTACCGTAATTTATAAAATTGAGAAAAATAAATTATGAATTATCAGAAATAAATCAAGCATATCACAAATTTTTAATTAGACCAAATTTTACTTTATTATAAAGCAATGAATTTTTATTGGAGTTTTTTTAAAGACAATAACATTATAATTATAGGCACCTACAAAGTTGTATTGTTGCACATAATTTTACAAACTTAAAAATATTGAAGATTGAAATTGCAGAGACTCATAATTATAATTCACAAATTATATTAGTCAAGAAGAAAATACTGCACGTTCATAAAATAACAAATTATTAAGTCATTTTCTCTTCTTTTTTATATGAATTTCTTAAATATAATATTATATTAGTTTATAAAGCCTATAAAAAATTCTCGTTCTGTATCATGTAATATGCAATTAAGGTTAATAAAATATTTAAGAATTTTAATTCTCTTTCTCTTAATTTTTTTTACATGAATTTTTCTTTGTATTACTACATTTATTTGATTACATGTATTATCCGGCAAGGAAATTGTGTTGAAAGTGAGGCAAGATTCCTCAATTTTGTAGCTGAGTACTAATAAGTGATTAGTGAAGATATGTCGATGCTGTTTACTATTCATAAGTGGTATTCTTGTGCATAATCTAGCGTTTAGGCCTGAAGTTTGGTACTTCATTGTGACGACAAATAACTGAAGACACAACTGGTACTATGTTGAACTGCTTTCTTGATATGTTCATACTTGCATTCAAGTTAATGAAGCTAGAAAATGTCAATCAAAATTAGAAACTGGGACCATCTCCATCTCCTATTATGATGCTTCTTATTCCGCATTGAAAAGCCACATTGATAGATGATAATAGCAACCTCCCCCAACCCACCACCACCAACAACCAAACACACAAATTTAATACCACTGAAACCGTCAAGCTTATCTTACTATTTAGACCTGTGTGTACCTGAAAACCACATTCTACAAATAGCTATCGCCTATCATAATACACAATCACTGCAATTCAGCAAAACCTTATGGACCTTAGAATTAGCTGAAGAATATTTTTGGCTCTAGTAGAACTTCTAACAATACACTCTCGTAATAGTGGTTACAAAGACTGATGGTTTTGTTGCATTCACAAGCTTCACAGCAAGTGCATGAATTGTTGCTGGTTGAGCAAAACCTCATTCTTCCATCCAATTTTGACCCAGCTAACTGTAATAGGCAACGTTACAATGTAAACGTAAATGGAAACACAAAAGAAAGTTACAAAATATGAGAGGGAAAACACGTACTAATTCAATTAATGGTTGTCATGTGGTTTGACATGATACATCATTTCTCTGCTTCTTCACGTCAATTCCTTCGTTAACTCCTATAATCTTGGTCATGACATTGTACGATAACAAGGCCTTCCTCTAAACAAAACAATAAAGATGAACTGGTATAATCTCAGATTCAAAGACAAAGCATATCACATCAACTTCATGAGCATGGCTTACTTTCTACAAGAATGAACCACATGACATGACATTAGCATAAACAACGGAATTATCAGGGGTTTTTTGGTTATATTTTATTTTCTCGGAATTTTTTAAAGAAAAAAACAGTGAGAAGGGGATGAATAATGCATAACTCACAGATAGAAAAGCCAGATGAATAATACATGTGAAATTGGCATTTCACCTTGATGAATCCAATCAATCCACGGCCAAGATATTCGCCAAACATGAGTAATTGGAGTGCAAATAGTGCAGATCTCTATATATAGTGAATATTAATTATGATTGAGATTGATTTTAATACTTACAATGGGATCAAAGTCAGGGGAAGACAAGTTGACAGAGAGGTTTTTCATTAATAACAAAACCTGAAGAAGAACACCAAATATATGTAATTCTAAGTCAACAGATAATCAAAAAATAAAAAGAAGTTTGTATGCTCATTAGTCCCTTTTGCGCCAATCTATTATACAATAAATTGGAACCAATCCCTTAATGAAGATTGAAAATAGTTCTAGAAATGGTAGGGCGTTTCATACTTTTGACCTTGAAGTGATCATAGAGAGAACACGTACTATGCTTTACTAGTTCGCAACCAAAAGGGATCATAAAAAGCAACCACTGGCATTATGTATCCCTATGAAATTGATTTGAAAGATTAGATTGGCCAACAAAAGCTCCCAAATGTTAGGACAGTAATTAAGAACCTGCCTGATTCATACAAAGCTTAATTACACTTTCAATTTTACGAAACTTCTAACGTGTCTTATGATGAATAATGTTAGACACTACTAAAGACTGACATGCCGGAAACGAGGTGTTCTTAGCCAAGAATCTAAACTTGACATCCTAAGGCATGCATATAACACTCTAAATGATTTTAATTAATTTTAATTCTCTCCACTTCCATACGTGAAGGTCTTTCTCATTTCAAACCTAATTATGACAATCATTCAAAATTTCCCAAATTTTTTTAATGTTTTCAATGGGTTTACCTTCCCCTAAAATATCTTTTATTTTTATTTGTGTTCTTGAAGTATCATGGAAGCATTCGAGTTGCATGGAAGTGTTGGTCTAAGTGTTCGAGCTAACAAAAATAATTTATTTAATTGAACAGTGTGTGTCAGAGTCAAAATCATGTCCTACACGAACACCTAGGAGAAATGTTCAGGTTTCATTTTACAACTGCGATGTTGACAAGTGTTATTCAACTTACAGTTTCAAAATTTATAGGATCCATTTCCTTCAGCTTCTGGACATGGCCTTTTGTTTCTGGATCAAAAACACTTCCAATGAAGCTGTAAACTTCAGCAAAATCTGGCAAACCTGTGAAATTTGGCCAAGATGAGACAATCACCATCAGTTTACCAATTTCACCATGAAAGCAAGTGCAAAACAAAAATAAATGCACGTAAGATCATTACCCTGAAGCACCGATGCCTGTTTCCCTTGTTTTGGCATCTCAATAAGCTTTCTAGTAGAATTCCCTACACCACTAAGACTACTGTGGCCAATTCGTGTTGTTCCCTTTGATCCAATATGAGCTGAATCAGTAACATCATATAACATAACAAGTGGTGGAAAAGTTCCATTTAGTATAGCCATTGCAACCTATTCACATCAAACAATCACGCAACAACAAAAAAGAAGCATCCATGCCTTCATTTCCATGAAGATCGGTGAGTCCATCCTGACAGGGCACTGATTTGTTGGATCCTTCATTCGTGCGCAAAGAATTTTCATCCCATGTGGCATAACCATGTGGAAAGGTACTAGAGGAAGAAACATAAGCCATGGAAGCTGGCAATGGCACCAAAACTGCAAAATAGCATGTCAAGAATGCACATGTTGTGCTTTTAAGGAACATAATATCATAGTTTCAAATAGAAACCAACCATTTTTGGGTGCCTTTTGTGGATAAGGATGAGCAGCTTTGCGCTTAGGACGAGGAGGAGGAACATGTGCTATTGTCCCATTCTTTTGAACTTTCAAGAAGTATTTCTGGGCATGACTTCTAATCTGAAGAAAACTCACAGTGAGAAGAAGAGAGACATATAATGACATGACACCAGACAAAAATGAAGTCACACAGTTGAAGAGACGTTGTCTCACCTGAATAACCGTTTTTGAACCTACAAAATCTTCAATTTTCTTCCAATCTCTATCAAATCTAAATAGCCAAAGAAAAAAGGGAAATTTAGTAATTCAATTGCATGATGTCTTTGATCCTTCACTCAAACATTCAAAGCAAAGAGGCTGCGTAATGATAAACGAATATAAAGTTGTGCACTTTTTCTGTCCAAAATTTTAGAAGAATCAAAACGAGGGAATAAAGTTCAAATTTGAATAAAGAATAGAATAATTTGTTATGTGAAGAAGCATTATGGTTCTGAACTCACAGTTGAAGAGCTTCAAGAAACTTGTCATGCTCTTCTTCAGACCAGCTTTCCCTAGACTTGGTAATAGTATAAGGCTTTCTAACCTTCTTCCCTGACCCATTCGTGGGAATTGAAGGCGCCATTGCCATTGATTGACAACTTGAACTGTTGATATTATTCATGCAAAAAAATTAAAAGTAATAATAAAAAAAGAAAGAAAGAAAGAAAAACAAAAGAATTGGTGGGGTGGGGTGGTGGACATCTGAGGTGCATATTTGTTAAGGAATGGTTGCTTTTACTGCCACTCTTCTGGTTCCAAATTTAATTTTCTAGGATGATTAATATACTATAGATTTAAAAAATAATAATTTACATGTATTAACGGTATATATTTTTTATATTGTTGTCTAACTATGGGTTATCATTTCAGTCAAATCCTTAATTTATGTAATAATTAATATCAAAATTATATTCACTATATATTTTAATTAACTGTAAATGTAAAATTTTTTACACTGATAATGTCCTAAAATTAAATTTAAAAAAACCTTATTAAGGTTAGTGTCAGTGGCACAAAACCCAGCTTTCGCTATACATCCATTTCATCCTCTCATGTCATTGGTATACCCAAAACGCACTATGATCAAGTTGATCCACTAGCGTAAATACAAATTTCTTCCAACATGGAACATACAAATTTCAACACAGTTTAAGAACTCAATTATAAGACAAAGCAAGTGTACAAATACGTTTTTAACATAAGATAAAATGTCATTTAATTAGACTTTTTTTTATAACAAAGGTCTAGAAAAAAGGTACGTGAAAGTGTACATGGTCTCCAATAATTTGGCGGCGTAAATGCATAAGGGATTTATTTATAGCATATAGATAAATGTTGAGGGTTTAATAGTTAAGAGAGAGGGTGGTAGAGAAAAAGATGAGACATGGGGTGTTGAGATGGGCCTTAGGCAATGTTTTTGTGAACATAAGGAGATGATAGTGAGTGAAAAGAAGAAGTGGGTCATACCATATGGGCATGAAAGTTGAAACATTTGGTATGTGGGGGTCTGAGAGTGAAGAGCAAGAACCACAAAGACCAATTACAAGCCATGTGCTTGTGCTGCTGCTCTTTCTGCTTTGGCAAACCTAGCCATTTAATAAGGTCCAATCCAATAATTTCATTTATTCACGTACCACCACAAAAATCATTTCATTTATAGTCCAATGAAGGGACCAATTTCTACTGTTTCTTTGGATTTTTTTGGCTATATGTAGTGGTACTATATATCCACGTACGTTTATTAATATTAATAAATGAGTAAATTAATTAGTATAAGTTTTTTTTATCTCGAATTCGAGTCCCATTAAAAATTTGATAATAGAAAATTTCATTTTTTTAACTATTATGTTACTTTAACTATTAAAAATTAATATTATATGTTATTAATTTTTTTATATATATGAACATCTTAATAATATACTTTAAATATATAAGGTACACTTACAGATATTTTCTTGTCTTAATTAATACGCAAAATATTTTGCTTATCTATTTCTCCACGCAAAGTTTTGACAACTAGCAATATTAGGACGTGTGCCTGATTTTTTTTTTTGTCTACCCATTGCCTCACAACAAGTAGTATAATATGGGACGGGGAAGTCTATCCACTATCCCATTTGTAAGATCTTCAGATATTTGCTGAAAAATATTTTTTTAAAAATTAAATAAAAAGTAAATTATTTGTTATATTAAAAGTATAATATATAAATTTTGACATTACTAAAAATATTTAATATTTAGTGAAAATAGTTAAATATTTTTTTAGTTAATATTCTTCAAACATTTGTCAGACAAACTTAAAAGTGAGGTAAGAAAATATTAGAATAAATTATACCTCATACCCTTAAGATTTTTCTAATGCTTTGCTTTATTTGAAACAAAAAAGAAAAAGAAAAATTATGATTAAAAGAATAAATTAAAAAATTGTTTGATACAAGATAATAAAAATAAAGAAATTGAGTCTTCTTGAAGAACCAATAATGTCTCTAATCATAAAATTGAGTTTTATAAAAATATAAAAAATTAAAACTATAAAAATATAAAAATATACCTTTTCTCTCATTTTCTCTTCACATGAAAGAAGAAAATTAAAAATAATGAGTCACATGTTTTTTTTTTCTTTTTTTTTTCTTGTTCTCTCTCACCTAAGATGGAGAGTCTCTTCATTCTCTTTCTCTTTTTTTCTTATCCAATTGAATTGTGACCAAATAAAGTATAAATGACACTAAATTTCAAACTTACATAAAAAATACAGTCCACTTTTTAAAATTTTGACAATTATCTTAGTTAGCATATTTTAAGAGAATGAAAAATATTAATAACACACTTTTTAAAAATATATTATTTATTATTAACTAAAATATAGTTAAAAAAATACAAATTATGTACACTTCTAATTTAATGAGTCTCACTCATATTTTTAAATTTTTTTTAATTATTTTTATTAATAATTAAAAGAATGTAAGAAATAAAGTGTTTCTAACACTTCTCTCCAAGATACTATTCATTAGTTAGCCTACTCCTCTTAATTAACCAATCACTAATTCTTATACTTCTCAGTTTAATCATTAGAGGGAAAAACTAGTTCAAGTAAATATTCGAAAGAGACCATGCATGAGCTATAAAACAAGTAACATTGAAAAATTAAAAGATATGCCAACCTTTATAATAGATTTTGGTTTCACCACTTTAGCCAATTGTTTATTGTTTTTCCTTGGCATGCTTGTAGAAGCAAAAGGGACTTGATTGAGGTAAAGTGAGACAGTATTTTGTAGATGACATTGGTACTCTTTTGATGACTTCAAAACGTATCATAAATTCATAACAATGATATTGAAGAAAAATTATTAGAATTTAACTTCAATCAAAGCGGTGTTCTGTACTCTTTCTATTACTTCAATTATTAATAGTTGAATAAGAATTAAAATTTGTTGTAATCTCTCTTTCAATGCAAATTATCAAGCTATATGTTGGCTAAAAACTCGACTTGCATCTTGTTTTTCAATCTTATTCTGATTCTATCTTTTCATTGTTGATTAAAATATCTTTCAGTTATTGTTGTAATATTCAGAAGAATCAAAATAAGGAAAAGCATTTTGTCAACCAAGTAGTAAACATTTGATTGCTCTGTTATTGTTAAACGTGAAACACAATTCCTAGATAGTTGCTAAATTTTTCGAATTTGATTCTTGATAAACATTAACAATGAAATGCTAAAGTTGAAATTGAAAATTAATATTCTACTCATTTAAATATATGAGATAATATTTTTGACAAGAGTGCAAATTCTATGAATGTAAAAAACTTGCAAGCATCATTCAAAAATCAAAGCCGAGCTCAAAGTTATTCCGATAAATTTTCAATTTTATTAATATTTTAACAATATTTTGAATATTTTATTATATTTAATTTTAACTAAATAATTTTACACATTAATTAAAATAGTTACAGAAAATAAATTTTGTTTAATTAAATAGCTAGTTATAGCTAAAAGAATAATTTAATTTGAGCTGAAAATTTATAAAACACGTATTACTAAAATAAAGAAAAAAGAGTTACATAATTTTTTAAAATAATACTGAAATTTATGGTATAAAAAATAAAAAAGTTGGCATTAGAGTAAAACTGCATTTATTATTATTCTTATTATTAAGTGATTGTAACGTGGAGCTTGAGGCACGGAAGGAAAGACACGTGTGACAAAGTGAGGAAATTTGAGATTCTCGTAAAGGATAAGGAAGATGTGATGATGGAGTTCCTATCTGGGTTCCAAAGCAAGCTTGAAATTGGAATCTTCAATCTTCAATACAATAACAACATCATGCAATTGCAAATGGGTGTTTATACACACACTTTAATATCTCATCGCTTCTCATCATCATACCAACCCTCCTTTCCTTTTTCTTCCTATTCCCCCTTCAAACTTTTCTGTTCCAACTTCAAGGAATCACAACGAAACGATGATAACAATAACAAGGGTATTGCTCAACGTACAATTATCAATTTTTTTATTGCATACATCTCTTATTAATGTTGTTTTTAGAGTTCTTTGGCATTTCTGATTTCACGGATCGGATTACCTTGCTCTCGATCGATGCTTAAGGTTCCCATAAAATGGAACCTACGTTCTAACACAAATTGCTGAAAGCACCATTCATAGTATTTTGGGAAATGGCGTACATTATATTTTGATGTATAGTTGTTTATCAAGATCATACTACATGGGTAGACACAATATCAAAATTAACGTAACACACACTGTTACACTTCAGAAAATAATAGTTTTTTAATCAATGACTACTATGGTTTTTGGTTAAGAAAAAAAAACCGGTACCGTTAATTGGACATAGCGTCGTCTATGATCAACGTGGTCTAAAGTCCAGTTATAATATAAAATCAATTCATGGTTCATTACTTAAAAATTTAAGTTTTTGAGATACTTAGTTCATCATTAGTACTCCTTTGCCGAGAGGAATGAAAATGAGATAGTAGAAGACACTTTTCTTGGAATGGTAAATAGAAAGTTACAGAAAATGCAGAGACATTACCTTAATCATGTCATGCATTATGTATCTGATTTTGTGTTGTATTGAGAGAGAACTTTGTTTCTCTCCATATTTGCCAATTTTGTTTCCCCCTTTTCCCTAAGCACAGTAATCTAACTCTTAAACTTCATTGCTTTGAAAACTATTTCCTTCCATTTTCACCCATTCCAAACAGTGTAGAACTCACGACTATTTACTATAATTGTTTGTAAATGTCTTAGGTGATAAATCTTCAACAGACTGGGACAAGGCATGGACAAGCTTCAAGAAGCAAGGGAGAAAAAGACCCTTCTCTAAATTTTCTCCAGATAAGTATGTGAGCTGGAATCCTAGGCGATCAGAGTTTCCACTGTCTGAGGAGGTTGATCCTATTAAGAGAACAGAGAGATCAAACCTCATGTTCTGGAATAGTCCCACTTTCACTCTAGGGGGTGCAATTATAATTGTCACATTTCTTTTGTTGTACACCATTCTTGCACCAATCAAGTGAGTCTCTTTAAAAACAATAAAAGTGAAAAATATTGTTTCACGGAAATGTAAATTCTTTACTAATGTAGCTGATGGTTTACCCATTGCATGAAACACTTTTCTTCCTTTGATTTGTTACTGGGTAACAATTTTTGTAGGGTATAATTCTGGAATGGTCAAAAGACAAGATAAATGTTGGGCTTGGATGGACTAATAAATGACAATTAGTGAATTAGGTCGTGTAACTGGTTGAAGGTTAATCAATTGTTTGATTAGATAACTAGTAGTTATTAGTCAATTTCCCTCCCTATGATCATCATTTCAGGATAGTGGATTAGGGCAGGCGGTGGTTGTCTGTGCTATCTGTGTATTAGGAACAATTACATATATTGCATCTCGAATTGGCATATATTTGGTATGCCAACTTAATAATACTAAAATAGTGAGCCAACAGTAGTATTTTCAAATCGAGGAATAAAATCAATGACCGATTTTACCATTAACAATTTGATGACGGTGAACAATCGGTCACATAAAATATTTTACAGTTGGGGGTATGAGGAATTACAGCTTATTATTAGGTGAACTTTGGGAAGGTTTCACTAAACAGAGTTAACCATAGTTATTTTGTGAAATTTACGTGAAATTGATATAATAATTAAGACTGCATTCTCTTCTATTATTTATTTCTTGTAGTATTTAACAATGAAAAAATTGTTGTGGGTGAGAGTGTAGGAAAATTTTTCAGCTTATGCGACAGTGATATTTAAATTAAGAAATTATTTTGTTGAGATCATAAATACCCTCCCAAGCATATTATGATCTCCAAATTTGCATAATGAGATTCCTTACAAGTTCAAACGTTTAATGATAAATAAGCACTGTTTCCTTGACAGTTTATTTTCTACACTTTGATCTATCTTTCTCGAAGTATTGTCTTCTCCGACATCCTCGCAACTGCGTGCATTTTCCTAAAAAGACAAAGTAGGATAAATGCTGTGTATTTTGGCTGGATGAAAATGAGGCTCGTGGAGTCGAGAATGACGAGACTTATGTATCAGGAATATGAATGGCGTACCCATTAACATGTCCCACTGATTCCCCTTTTAGAATTAGCAAAGCTTATGTCTCAGAATTCTCGAAGTTATGAGTCACGGCTGATAAAGAACAAGGATAAATCCAACTCTCCGGGTTCAGCACACTTCTGACCGACCCTTGTGTATCAATGTTTCATGCCCTCTCCGATGAATCTATCTATAGATTTATCATCAACTGCATTCACATTATAGTATATACTATTTTGAACATTTGCTCTTAGGTTACGTTGAGTGTACAGAACAGTGATTTCATATAATATGAAAAGAATTAGAATGGTAAGGACTGCTGAATACAATCAATCTATCTTAAATTACATAAAGATTCATCACTGATAAGTGATAACCAAAATTACTTGCAAGAAAAGGTTTTGAAGAATTTTAGGAAGGTTTGTGTGGGGTATGTAGGAAAAGAATTTTAATGCTCATTCCATGAAGCATGGAATCTCCACCACCTCCACCTCTCTTAAAGGGCTGATAAAACCTAATTTTATGGAATGAGACTTGACATGGAATCACAATAATATGTTATTTTCTACGAACAACATGGGAAAGCTCGTTCCATAGAATGGAATTGCCATTTCAAGCACTAAAACATAACATTAAACTCGTCTCTGATTTTTAATCCCCATTTTTAAGGGAATACAATTACGGGCTTCATGCAATTCCATTTTTAAGAGAACTAGTCCCTTATATATTCATTTATCTTCTGGAAATTTTTTGCCATTCCGATGATGTATTGATATTGATTGCTCAGTTACTGTAGGGGAAGTTAAAACATCCAAAAGAAGCCACAGTGCCATTTTACGCTTCAGTGTTAATAAGGAGAACAAACCATAAAGCAATACAGAAGATCCCCATCGTTGATTACTGAAATAGACATACTCATCAACAAAACTAGGTACAAACTACCCAAGACAACCTAATGTTCAAACAACAAAAATGTGTGCAGTAAATTATCTCACACTGGCAATTATTCTAACCAAATGCAAAGTTGAGAACAATAACTTCATTATCATCAAAGGCTTCATTCAAAAATTTTCTTAAAAGAAAGAAGTGCTAATGGCGACAGGCACGTGCTCTATGTGTGCATCAGGCACAGAAAAATATCACATGGAGGTTATAACTGATTCACAGAAATAAGTTCCAGCTCCTTACTCCTTTATTTGAATTGATGTTTTAGATAAGCTTGCTTCCAATTCATTCAACTCATCCATGTCCAGTTCATCATCATCATCGTCTTCGTTGACATCAACATCATCAGGATCTTCAGCATAAGCACTAGCTGTTGAGGTACTAGGACCCTCATCACCAGCATTCCCATTTGCCTAAATTAAACCAGACAATTAGCAAATTGAAATACACAGTCAAAAAATAAGGCTGCAGTATTCTAATAGTTCAAGCACATATTTTAGCCATTAATTCGATAGATCAAAAGAGGGCAAGTGAGATAACAGTGCTAGGCCTAGATGCAACAAGGCCCCCTAGAAACAGCTGGCCTGTATATATGTTTAGAGAAGGAATATTGAAATTAGTCTAACTACTGTTCTGAATGGGGAAGAGAAAGCTTCAATTGGCTATAATTCATGACATAGCTCCACGAACAAAGTAAAACACAATCATCCCTGGATTCATTCCGGCAGGGCATGTAATGTGTAGCAACCTAGATGCAAGATAATAATGAATTTACAGTTTTACTTACAAGAATTTTTACCTTTTTATTTTTTAAACCTCATTAGAGATAGATAAAGTCCATTTCAATGTGTTCTGAAACAAGCACAAGCTGTATACTAACTACAAAGTATACTTCCTGGATTATTCAGGAAATGCAGATCTAACAATGATTGTTAGTATTGTATGATTTGGGAGGCGTATTGTCTATGTTACATGGATGTGGTATGGGGGTTATGAAAGGGGTTGAGCCCCACCCCATCATAACCAAGTTCCAATGGAACCCCAAAAAGTCAAAGATTAACAATACATGTGCCCAACACTGCAAATTGAAGAAGTTAAATGTCAAACATTGTTTCCTCTTACTAACAGATTGAATACCCAGCATAATATGCATCACGTTTACATTCACCAGTCTGCTACTCATTTGCAACTATATCCATTAAATAGGCAACTAAATTAGGCAGAGAAATAAGTGAAGAAAAAACTAACATTCTGTTCAGTGACATAAGATTCTGGTTCTCTTTGGTACTTGTCATATGCTTCAGCATCATCCACAAACAAGCTAGCATCTGACAAAAATAGCTCACGACCACTGCAAATGGGAGGGAAACAATATAGCATGATTAGTGACAAACAACTAAAAAGATAACCAGCCTTCATAAGTTGTAACTAACCATGATCCTACCATTCAAACAATTCAACATCATGCAGTATCTTTGTTTTTTTGAGTAACAAGACTCGTACACACACGACACACTGTCATTCATTCACAAGTGAATCATAAAACAAAGATAAAGGATTACCTCATGCGATCATTCTTAGCCCTCTCCGCCTGTTCTGCAGCCAAATTGGCATCTCTCTCTTCTATCTTCTTCTTCTTCCATTCCATGAATAACTCAGGAGTCATAGGAGTTGTAGTTGCCACTTTGGCACGCTAAACCATGATAAAATATTTTTTTAGCTAACCTAATTGATATCAAATGGCATAGATCATTGCAGAATAATATTTTCACCTGATTTTCAATCTCCTCCTCTATTGTTATTTTTTCAGTTTCCTCCTCTAATAGAGCCTTCATTTGAGATTTTAAAACATATCCGGGGGGGAGAGCATGTCTATAGTGGCAACTCTTACCCCCGTTGGGGCAGACCCAGAACCAACCATATTGCTTCTTCTCCACTGCTTCCAAAAAGTATTTACAGACCTGAACAGAATTCGCAAACACCATATAATGGTCACTCTGAGTTGCACAAGCCAAACAGCAAAAAAGGTTTGAAAACAATCAATGTCCAATAATCAAATATCTGAAAGACACCCCCACAAAATCAAACAAAATGAGACATACTATGTCAGTTGGTTTGTTCTGATTATACTCTGTTTTCTTCGACTCCACCACCTTCTCCAAGGTCTCTTGATCCCAATCCTCCATCGTTTCTGACAAAAACAGACCCAGACAATGCTTAAATAAACAGAAACCCATCAAATGAAACCCAAACAACAGCAAACAAGCAAATAATTGTCACAATTGAACTGTCTATCATCCAATACCCTGGTCACGTGTATCACTATAAATGTCAATCTTTTCCCCTTTCCTCTGAACATTCAAATCATGGGAGAACTTGCACTTGAAACCCTTAGCACACTGCCCCACTTTAAAAAACTCACACAATATGGACTTTGGATCAACACCTGTTCAAATTATTCAGATATCAGTTTCCTGCAACACTGAACAAACAAACCCACGATGAATCTTAGATGACATTTACCAACTGGCACTTTAGGCTGACTAACAGCAATTTTGAACAAATCATTTAACTCCTTGTCCTTGGCCTTCTCTTCCTCCTTCTTTTTCTGCCATCATCATATCCATTATACAATCAGCGAGAGTTGAAAACAAATACACGGATTAACGATAATAAAAATAATTGAAGTAGTAATTAACGATAGAATTAGAAAAAAAAATAAAAATTCAAAACTCGGACCTTGGCAGCGACTTTGGAAGCATCGGGCTTGGGCTGCACGGATTGCTTGAGGTTCTGAACATATTTCTGAACATTTTTGCTCTTGTTTTTGTTCTTGAGACCGAAGGTTTTGTCCTCTACGATCTTCTGCTTCTTCGCTAAATCAGCTTTGGATTGCTGCTTGGGCGGCATGAATTAATAGCCTTGGAGAATTGGGAACGAAGAAAGGGATGAGAAAAATTAGTGTTTGAGGGGGTGACAATGTGGTGCTATGCGTTACGAGACGATGACGTTCCCTCCGCCAGAAATTGAATGGTGTGGTGCGGTTTGGTTAGGGTTTGAAGAACCGGAGAGGGTCGAGACTCCAAATTTTAAATTTCCCGATTTACCCTCTAACTCTTCAGAGGTGTTGACGTGTCGGGCTATCGTGGACCGGGGTGTTCTGGACACACACTTCACGGTTCCCCCCAGAAGGGAAAGTACGGTAAAATTAGTGATTAAACTAATTAATGTATTTTTTTTTTCTAATTTAAATTTACAGTTTCACTTTTTGTCTTATAAATTTAGTCATTTAAACTTTTTTTTTATTTCAATATTTTCTTTATTAATATCTCTATTTTTTTAATCTCAAGTGAATGTATCTTATGAGTAATTTATGTGAATGTAATGTTATTATGAGACATAGTTGATAATATTTACTTACAACATTGTCGTTTAAACAATATTTTATCTTCTTAATGTAGATTTAAAAATATGCAATAAAATTAGTAAAAAAAATAAGAGGATCAAACTAAAGGTGGCCACGATAATATACTTTTTAAGTGGTGGTTTGATCTGCTTGAAAGCATGGGTGAAGTGCTTGAAACTCATCTGGAGAGAGTGATGTTTGTGAATATGGCTTCCCCATTATTGAACTTTGTTTTTAGTTATAGCTTCTACCTTGCCTCTTCTCTCTTCTCACTTTTATCTTACTTTATCTCAATCTTCTTCTTTATGTTTTCATTTATTGTAGAAGGCATTAACGATTATTTATTACTAAAGTTATGTGAAAATGGAACAAAAACAAATGAAATACCAGTTAGAAATAGGTAGGAAAAAATGAAAAAAAAATAATATTTTAGACGATAGATTGTGGGCTAAAACTCATTATATAAACTTTGGTTTTAAATTTTAAACACAAAAACATTTATTACCCAACCATATTTTTGTTTTATATTTATTTTTAACATTTTTTTTGTTATTTTTACTTTTTTATAATTTTTTTAAAATCTAACATTCACTGCTATAAAATAAATTATTGGTCATATTTTAGTTCAATAAAACCTTTTTTTATGGGATTTACATATTTGACTTTCATTTTTAAAGGCTTATGTTTTATGTGTTATGTGTTTATTAATTTGTTTACCATTTCATAAAATAAACTTTTATGTCCTTAAACTTAAACTCAAAAACTTGTAACATAATATTATTTCTAATTTTAACATACAATTTTTTTTTATTTTATATATTGTTAAAATTATAATATACATTCTTCATTTTTACCTACACCAGTGAAATTCCTTAGTTGCAACATCTGTCACCAAAGCTCAAATTTAATGATACTTTTTCTTCATTCACAATATTATATATATATATTATATGATAATAACGTTGTGCATGTATTCGTTAAACGCATTAAAAACTAGGTTAACAAATAATGATTTAAGACTGATGTAAACTTATCCTCAAACAAATTCTTACTCTCACCTACTGTAATTCTTACACTCGTAGATCAAATATAAACTACATGAAAACTTATCACTTTTAAAACTCTAGAACACGTTATACATGATCATGTATTTTCTTTAAATTAATAGATATTACATTGAAGTCTTTTCTTTTTGATTTTTTTTTTATTAATATCTTTAAAAGATAAAACGATTAAAGAAATAAAGGAATAAAATATTATACCAACTTGGAAAATCATCTAGGGGGACATGGTAAAAGGTAAAACAATCTAGGATCTTCTTGTGTGGGTACCATAACGCTGAACATCCACCTTTCATATCCAATCCAATCCAAAATCCAAAACCCATATAAACCCCTCCATTTTCACTCTTCTTGCTCCATTCAAAACGGTTGGCCAATAATAATGATAGATTTTGTGATCCTTGGCTCCTCCTCCATTGTCACTCCGCTTCCCAACCCACAACAACCACAACACCGCCACCCCATCAAACCCCACAAGCCTTCTGTCCCAAAGTTCGCTCCTTTTCCTTCTCCTCCTCCCTCTTCGCATTGGCCCATTTCCTGCACCCTCCATGCCCCCTCCACTCTCACCCACTGTGCTGACTCCCACCTCGCTCAAGAATTTCAAACGGTCATTGAAGACGTGCTCGATTCCGGGGTTGACTCTGAACTTCTCGCCAAGGTGGTTCTGTTGGGTATTCGAGCCAAGAAGGTTAGCACTGTGATTCACACTCTTAACAAAGTGAAGGGTCTTCACATTTCTCTGTCTACTCATCTTCATGGCTCTGACATCGATGCCATTGCCAAGGAGTGTTGTCACATGGTCATGTGTGGCCACATTGAGGAAGCTGTTGAATTCATGGAGGTTCTCGCACGTAATTCTTTTTTCACCAATTTCCCTTCTTTTTTTAAATATTTTAAGCATATAAAAGTAGTATTCTCTTTATTCTTTTTATAAAAAAAACTACTATTTTTTTAATTATAAGAAATAAGCTTATTTTAATTTATTAATTGCTAGTTTTTTAATATGTTTATTTATTATAAATTTTGCTATTACTTATTTATTTCGTACTCAAAGAATAAAAAGAGTGATATTTTATTAGTAAAAAAATATTATATTAAAAATATAAAAGTACAGTAAATATTTATTTTTTTATTAAACATTGTGATCAATTTTAGTTTTTCTTTGAATAGTAGGAAACAATTATATAAACATCTATGCTATCCATTCATTCACTGAAATCTTTTAATCTTATTAGCGAGGGAGAATATTAAGCATGGAAAGAGCTTCCTAATGATTGACATCGTGGTGACTTGTGATAAATTACAATGCATGATTTTCTTCCTTTTCAGGTTTCCAATTATCAATCAGAGAAATTGTTCAGCCATCTGACGTAATAAAACGATGTGTTCTTAGTCGGAACCCAGTTTTAGCTGTTAGGTACGGTTTTATACTGTTTTTGACACATTGATTCTATAAAAATGTGCTGTCTTCTATTTCTAGTAAGTGATTCTGCATATGGTTTCTTTTGTGACATTAATTTTTAATTTATGGATTCTAAACTAGTGCTTCGTTCCGTATTCTATTCCAAATAGTTAATTTATATGATAGTATCACATCTTTCAGGTATGCAAGCCTTCTTCCACATGCACATATATTGTTCTACAACATTATATCTGAATTTGGCAAAAGGAGGGATTTAGCGTCTGCTCTGAAAGCATATGATGCAATGAAGAAAAACTTGAACAGTCCCAATATGTACATATACCGGGCAATAATTGACGCTTGTGGTCCATGTCGTGATTACAAGAAATCTAGGTACATATATGAGGTATTTTCTAGTCAGTTTACATTGACTTCCTTTAACTTCTGTGCTAATGATTTAAAGCTATGGACCTGTTTAAAGACTTCTTTTATTTGAGTATTTTATACTCCTTGATGTAGTTCTTATGGTGCACATGTCCATTTGCTTACAATGCCCATGTTTATGCACTATTTTGGTCTTGCTCCTGTTTTCTTTATTGAACATTCGTGCATATATCAAACCTGGAGCTATTTTAATGAATACAAGTATTGCATTGAATCAAGTGTTTTCAATTATAATTTTGTAGAACTCTGCAGCTAGTTGGCAGTGAAATTGTAGTACAAATTAATTGTAAATAGTTTTAGAATATCAGTGTAACATTATAAGGATTGTTTTATTGATTCTTATTCATGAATATGTAGTCTCTCCATTCACCATAGTTTAGTTGAATATGCAGCAGTAAAAGGCAGCATTCAAGAATAAGAATTCTCTTGGATGGGAAGAGATGGCTAGAGCGTTGGCATTATTAATTAATCAACTATTACTACTATGGCTACAACTTTAGAGAATGGCCTGAGGCTTATAGTTTGAAAAATGTGTGAAGAACGTATCAAACTTCTCTGAGCCTATGGAGACCACATCATATATTCTTATCTGGATTAAATTTGAATTTGTTGACTAAATAAAATGTAATTTGGCCTCCACTTGTTCTCTAAAATGGTGGTCTTAGAATTTCAAATATGAAGTTTAATCTTGATTCTTGATTGATCTCTGAAAGATAAGTACCATACTAGTGGTCATAATGTTTGCTTACAAATGACAGTGCAACACAATTGCACAAATCTCGTATTATTCATTCATTTTCTCATATGTGTAGCATTCATTTGCTCTGATGCAGGATTTGCTTAATCAGAAGATCACTCCAAATATTTATGTGTTGAACAGTCTCATGAATGTGAATGCCCGTGATCTGGGCTACACATTAAAACTATATCAAAATATGCAGGTAGCCCCCTCTCCCCCAAATATCATTTTGGTATACATATGCATGCGTGCACATACACACCCATGAAATATGCATGCATAAACCCAAATAATAATAATAACAGAATTCTAGAATGGAGATGTCCATTTATTATATCTAGTTCAATAGAGATTCCCAAAACCAGGCATAAGGGGATTACCTATCCTTACTGTTCTTGTTTTCTCACAATAATTTTCATTATTGAATAAAATACCTCAAGCAAATTATGTTTATATTACTTTCCATTTGGTTTCACTTAAAAAATGAGAAAGCAAGACTAATTATATTTTCTTCTGCATAGCTTGATGTAATAATTGACAGCACATGCTTTCATTTTCATGCCAAGAGTTGTCAAGAGCATTAAAGTTTCTCCTCATCTAAGCAAATACTGTATATTGTCTAAATTCCTTCTACAAATCCAGAATCTTGGTTTAAAACCAGATATGACAACCTATAACATCCTACTGAAAGCATGCTGTGTTGCTGGAAGAGTTGATCTAGCCCAAGACATTTATAAGGAACTTAAGCATTTGGAATCAGTGGGACAGATGAAATTAGATGTTTTTACCTACAGCACAATTATAAAGGTATATTACGATAGATACAGAATCACCATACTTTCATTGATTTGCATAGTACTTACAACCCTGAACCCTCTCTCCTTCATCCCTCTTCAGTTAAGGAATATGGAACACATAGTACACTATATTTGGTATCTCCTGATCAGAACTGATTTCAGGTCTTTGCCGATGCAAAATTGTGGCAAATGGCTCTAAAAATCAAGCAAGACATGCTGTCTGCTGGTGTTTCTCTTAATACTGTTGCCTGGTCATCATTAATCAGTGCCTGCGCACATGCAGGGCTTGTAGAGCAGGCAATTCAGTTATTTGAAGAAATGCTTTTGGCTGGCTGTGAACCTAATACTCAGTGTTTCAACATCATTTTACATGCATGTGTTGAGGCTTGCCAATATGACAGGGCTTTTCGCTTTTTCCATTCTTGGAAGGAAAAAAAGATGTTGTGGTCCTTTGGTGAAGGCGACAATAGCAATTTAGAGCATGGAGGCATGGGTAATGCTACTACTAAGCCAAATGGAATTTTTAATTCGCACATTTTGAGGTTTGCTGAGAGGTTCCCTTTCATGCCAACTACCACAACATACAATATTTTACTGAAGGCCTGTGGTACCGATTACTACCATGCAAAAGCACTAATCAAAGAGATGAAAAGAGTAGGTCTTTCTCCAAATCAAATAAGTTGGTCAATTTTGATAGATATATGCGGAGAATCAGGAAATGTGGATGGTGCCATTGAGGTAAAGATATAATTAATCTATACCATCATGTTTTTGCATCTATTTTGCACAATTTTTTGGAAACTTTTTTAGCCAAGTTATATCAGGATTGGTGTTTTTGGTAACACCGCCACTCGGAACATCATTTGCAATATTTAGTCACACCAAGGGAATGACTACTAAGTATTTATTAATCTCATAAATGTGTCCAATATGCTCAATTTTTAGGTTGGGTATCAATTGAATGTAAGCTTGGTAAATAATTAGATATGACTTGATTTAAACTATGGAGTTATGGAATAGTAAATAGGAAAACCCTTCCAAAATGTTGAAAAGAAAAACTATAGCTGCAGGATTTATGATAGTGGACCTGCAAAATTATCATGTTTGATTTGCAGCTACATAAACTAATTATGGGCATCGAGTCTCCCTTACCCATCTTTAATTAGCATACATTACAAGGAAATCATATTCCATGTAAAAGCAGACTTCACAATCATCAGTTAATATTGATATGCATGCAGTACATATTATTGTACTTAGCATAATAATATCATGTTAATGCATTTAGTTCTCATGAGATGACCGTGTTCCCATGCAGATTTTGGAAAACATGGGTGATGCTGGAATTAAACCTGATGTTATTGCATATACAACAGCCATTAAGGTCCAAAGCTTTACTGTGATAATTAGCTTATTTTATTTTATAAAATTATCTATATACTCAAAGTGGCATTTTTCACTATCTTAAAAGTATATGGCCCTTGACGTATGGGAATTTTGCTTTTTGCTTCACAGGTTTGTGTTGAAAATAACAATTTTAAGCAAGCATTGACATTATATGAAGAAATGAAAAGCTATGAGATACATCCAAATTTGGTGAGTGTCCATAAACTGTAGTTGTTATCATGTTATGATTCTATTCACAAAATGGTAAACTTAGATAGCTCTATCCACTAACTCAACTCAATGTGACTTGGATGAGGCTGCTCTAAGGTTCTACAACCATAAAAACCAACTAAAATATAAGTAGAATGGTTGACATGTCTACTCATGATAAAAAGAAATGAAAGACAATGCATTATATTGTAAATATCTGAGAAAAAAAAACTATAGAAATCACAACTTTCTTGTGATCTGGGGAAAAAATAATAGAATATGGTTCATATTGTAATCTCTATTGATTTTGTTAATTATCTCTTAGGTGACATATAACACACTTTTGAAGGCAAGGAGTAAATATGGCTCCCTACTTGAGGTGCAACAATGCCTGGCTATATACCAGGATATGCGAAAGGCGGGGTATGTTAGCTTATACTCTCATTACTCTGTACTTGGACTCATTATCTTTGTCAAAGTTATGGGTAGATGTCAAATGTTATGTATACCTTGTTTATTCCATTTTAAATCACATATTAGCAACTTTCTAAGTCATTGAAAGTTTGGAAGATTGCTACTTAATGGTGTCAAGAGAAGGTATAGCTAATTAATATTGTTAGCAGTATGTAATGTATATATGCAGATTGCCTATGCACAACAAGCTTCTTTATATGTTATTTCAAGCTGTATATGTGCACCTACCACATCCATAAAGAAGCAGTCTATGCTGATGCCATGTTCGTAAACGTTAACCTGGGTTTGCCTGGTCCTATTAGATATGAATCATTTACTATTAGGCATAATTTGTCATAGGTTGTTGCTTCTAGTCATAATTTCTCCAGAAGAGAATTGGTGATAAAAAAGAATTTGAGATAGTATACTTTACTGTAGTGATACCTATACCATGACTCTCTGAGTCTTCCTGAATCCCTCATTGTCCGAGGAAAAAGAGGGTATTCTGAGCCAATTTGTTGATGCTCGCTGTCCTCATGGTACAATAAAATGAGTTGGAAACTATTATAGCTTACAAAGGACTGAACTGAAGGATATAATCCAGGACTATCTTGTATGTTTAAAGTCTTAAGGGAATGACCAGAAAATCCTTTGACACCAACATTGCTTCGGTTTTAAACTAAATAATGCATGTATTGCAGGTACAGACCCAATGACTACTATTTGGAAGAACTGATTGAGGAATGGTGTGAAGGAGTGATACAAGATAACAGAGAAAACCCAGGAGAATTTTCTTCCAGCAATAAATCTGAATCAGAAAGACCTCATAGTTTACTTCTTGAAAAAATTGCAGCACACCTGCTAAAGAGGATAGCTGACATCCTAGCGATTGATGTTCAAGGGCTCACAAAGGTGCCTATAAATTCTTAAGTTAATATTTGGCATAAATCTGTCTCAACTCAAGCATGGGTTAAAGCTATGTTTTTATTTAGAGAAATGCTAGCAGGATAATATTTTGTGACAATTTTTTCAACATAGTATTGGGAAAATTTCATGCAAATCTCTCTAAACAGGAATGTAACTCACATGATTTAACGAGTCTTGGATGAATTTTAGCCAAAGTGTGTTAAAAAGAGTGTGTTATTACTATTTCTTTTCTTGTTAATTGCAGATCTTAAACAGCACTTAATCTGTTTCCATATCTTCTCTGGGCTTCTGTTACAACTTTGAAATTTATGTAATAAAACAATATTTTGTAAGTTACATTTGATTATGGTGAAGTCTTAGTTCTTACTTTTTGTCATCGACCCTTTGGTGTTAACAGGTTGAAGCTCGCTTGGTTATTCTTGCAGTTCTTCGAATGATCAAAGAGAATTATGCTTTAGGTATGAATAATCTGCATTCTCTTTTTGCATGGTATTTTGCCTACATAATCATTCAAATTCATATGAACTTAGCAAGAAAGCAAGTGGAGATTCAGAGAATAGTCCACGTAACTAAATATAACTCATTGTTGGCCTTTGTGGAAACAGGACATTCAGTGAACGATGACATCTTGATCATTATAGGAGCTACAAAAGCAGATGAAAATTCATCTGAACACTTATTAGAAGTGCAAGAGGCAATAATAAAACTTCTTAGGAATGAATTGGGGCTTGAAGTTCTTCCAGCCAGAACCAAATTTGCACTAACTGACACAGCAAAGATAGTGAGCCCCAACCTTTCAAATCTCAACATAGAAGCCTTGAAAGGAGAGAATGCATTACCCTCAACAATGGTGTGTCAGACAAGGAGACCTGCCGTTCTACTAAGGTTGAAGGTCACCAGAAAATCATTATACAATTGGTTGCGCAGGAAGTAAGCAATAAATAGTAGTTCGACTAGAACTTCTAGGAATTTTGTACAAATATTAGATTAGTTATGCCAAATTTTTTTTTCTCTCAATGGCTTCTTCAACGTATATATTGTATGTGGGTATAGCTGCATATGTATCTATAACCGATGTATAAGCTGTAAGTAACCCAATGAATGATACCCGGTATCATGGAATAAAATAATCTTTTTTCTTCTTTATTTTCATTATCTTTGTTCAGTTGTACTTGTCATTCCCAATTGCTATAGTGGTTTTCAATTCAGGATCATAAGAGAATCTCAAGCAATTCAAAAGTACTCTGGTTTTGGAGTTTGTTAAAGTTGGTCTCAACTTCCACATTTACTGAAACACGACTAGAACCGTTGCAGACACTAAACTAAAATCATAAAACAACATTAAAAACTGTTAGAAACATAGCATGATGGGTAAGGCCAATGTTTCCATTCCATCTGCAAGAAGAAAACAGAATTGCGCGTTTCAGGCCTCTCACCAGGTAGAATAATCCACAATGCTGGTAGCCAAAAAGGGAATGGATTTTTCTTGGAATGGAAAAAAATATTATATACAAGATTTCGAAATAAACGATAGAATATTAAATTAAGAGCTTAATAGTAATAGTTTACAAATTGTGAGCTTTCATTTGGTGTATTGCGGGTTAAAAAGTTAGCATATAACTGAGCCTCAAAGAAGAGCTACTGTTCAGCTAAAGAAGCAGCTAAATATGATGATGTAGAATGCCTTGTGCAGGGAGTACACACTTAACGAAGCAAGATAAGCAGGGGAAAGGACCGGCACGGCGTATTCCATCCTTTCTTCAAGAGCAACATGCTTTTAAGATATCTTCGATTTCAGGGTCATCCCCTGCTTCTTTATCCTGTTCACATGAATATTCAAGTTATTTAATTCATATAATATTTTTCTACAATATTTTTTACAACATTATTTTTCTCTTTAATTATCTCCTCTACATTTATCATTTAATCTCATATGTCTCTTCTTGTCTCTCTTTGTTGTAAAAGAAATAATACAAATTTGATGTACTAATATAATCTCTCTGAATATATTCCATGTAATGACATCAGAAAAATGTTTATAAGCCATGAATATTTTGCTGATTGATGCTAATTGTAGCTAAAGTGGCAAGGAAAATATATTCTACAAAGAATGGAGCAGATTAGGGGGTTGCACGTACCTTGTGCACGTATGAGATGTTATTTTTACCTGGACCTGCAACTACAATTCCTCCTTGCTTCCTGCCGCAATACCAAGTTCATGTTATAAAGGAAAAGTCAAGAGTTCAGCCATTCACAAAGAGAAGAATATGATTCTGTCAAGTGTCAATTACTGAAAATGGACTGGGGAAATGAGTCAGAATCTGTTATAATACCTAGAAAATATCTCATATCGTTATTGGAATTTAGAATATCTTAGGTGATATCGTAAGAGTGGAATTCATATTTCATTTTGCTTAGTAAATTCTTAGGTTACTGATTAGGTGAAAAGTCTAGTATTAGTATTAGGTTGCTATGGATGACAACTAAAGCCAATTCTTATTCAGACTCTTATTATATAAGAAATTTATATCATAAATTTTATCATGAAATTTGTTGGCATAAGATAAAAGAACTTATTTTGATAAGCTATAAAAAAAAAGCTTATTGAAATAAGCTGAAAAAAGTTGTAAGTTATTTTTGCTTTCTATAAGTTCTTCCAAATAACTCCTAAATAGAGGTCAGTTCTTTTTACTTTATTATCACAACATAATCATTATATGACAGTCCAATATATCATACCAGAGTCTTTAATTTCTTTTCTCCTTCCTTCCCTACCTAATAATATTAACAGAATTCAAGAAGCTTATATACAAATTTAACTATCCCCTCAAGTGAGAAGGCATATCCAAGACATTGTCTAAAATCTTAAAGGATCTAGCTTTCTAGCACTGGATTTTTCTTTTAGAGAGTGATAGATGAGAGGTTATCAATAACAACAAGGGAAGGTTAGAGAGGGATGAGAAGTCAAGCAGTCAAAATTTCGTGAGTCATTACAGCAGAAATTATGATCTTTATTCCAACAATGATATTCCTCCACAATATTCAAGAATAAGATGACAAATAAACAAATGTTCACCGCAGGGTTCTCTAATATCAGGAGGTAGGTGTAATAGATGGGCTAATGCCATTAAGTTGGAATGGACTGCTTATCTACTATCCTACATCATAGATTATTAGATTCATAGTAAATAAAAAACTTTGGGATTTTGAGGAGGACAAAAAGGAAAAGAGGACATCAAGCAGGATCCTTTTTTATAGTGGTATTAGTATAGATTAAGAGAGCCTTGAAAAACCAGCATAACCTGTCAAATCAGACAGTTTAACACTTATTGGGAGATAATTAACATACCAGCCTCCTTTGGTAACGGTGTCCTTTTCAAATGAAAGCTTCCAATCTTGTCGATAACCATCCATATATAATTGTATTATTTTAAGACCTGCCTGCAGTGTAACAGCTGAAATTAACATGGGAGATCCTTTGTACTGTTAACAAAAATCTTAATTTATGAACATATATCCTTCAACCACTGATGTTTACATTCTTTATGATAAAGGATGAGGCAGTTTCTCACTTACTTTGGGGGTAAATGTGGTTAAAACTCCAGAAACAAATTTAAAGGCCTCGTATGATGAGTGAGTGGGGTCTGCATAGATTTCTAGAACAGATAACAGGAACCAATCAAAGTGATGATATAAGATGGTTACATTACTAAAAATAGAACAAGCATTAGGTTAGCTGAATAGTACCTCCTTCAAATTTTGTTTTCTCAGCGAAGGCTTTAGCCTGTACAAAATATAGGTATTTAATACAACTAAATTCTAGCATACTCACATGGTAAGAGAAGGAGGAAATTAATATTTGGGAGCATTGGACTTAGAATTGTATCTAGTAAAGAGAATTCTAGTGCTCCCACTCAAAAATATAAAATAAGACTCTAATTGAATATAAGCAATCATCCCTTACACTCTTTCCCACTAAAAATTATATCTTACGACAACATGTTTTGAGAGGATTTATGTTTAATAAACCAGTTAAGCAGATCAAGGATGCAATAAAAAAATGCAACACCGAAAAATGAAAATAAAATCCAGCCCGACAGACCTGATCCAGAAGTACAGACATTCACTATAATTTCTTCTGATATACCTGATCAATGCTCCCAGGTCCAATCAACACAAGTGCCACACCAGATGCATCCATTCTATCCTGTTGACAGAGCATATCCACGTTAGTAGTAGACATATAATTTTTGCTGAAATAGAAATGTTTCTGTTTTACCACTAAAATTTTACCATAATAAAAAAGATTATATGTTATTCCACTTGCCAAGACTTTTATTGCAAGCTATAGAAAATTGGCACTCACTTTTCGGCATTCCACCCACGGTAAGGATTAGGGAAGATATCTTCATTCAGAAGTAGTCAAGGTAAAATGCAGCTTACACAAAAAGGAAGGCATCCAAACATTCATGTTTGGACCTGCATTTTGAATTAAGATGCATACTGGAGGATACCCTAAAGAGTATGTTTGTTTGACAAGTCATTTCAACTAGCTTATAGTTTATTTGACTAGCTTACAAGTTTGTTTGACCAAAATAAAGATGTTTGTATAAGTACAGCAGAAAACTTTACCTTCTTGGATGCAAGATAATCAGCCCTTTTGCGGCAAAGCACGCACCTGCAAATGTAAAGAAAGGAAAAAAATAATGCACAATTAATCGTTAAACAAACCCATAAACAAGAACTAGCACATCTAGCTAAATAAAGGGAACTTCGTTTGTGTATCAAACATGAGAAAATCACCCAAAATGGCGTGCAAATGCCACAACGGCTTTCCTATCTTTCCACAAGTCAGAAATTGGAATCCCGTTTCCACTCAAATCAAACACTTTCACCGAATCCAATGAACTCATGGTATCCTCACTCAATGCGGCAGACTCAACTCCTGTTCACATTCAAACAATCAACCTTAAATTATGAGTGATGAAATCTTAAACAATTCTAGTGCAATCAAAATTAACAAGTAGCTTGAATTGTCATGCTCATGCTGCTTCAGAACAAAAAAATGGTACAAAAATCTTCCTTTTTTTAATGCTATTCCATAAACTTATCTCTTCACTTACTTTACAAAGAGAAAAGACTAAAGGGTGTTTCGAAAAAGATGATAAGACTAAAGGGTGAGACAAAACTTGCCTGCAGAAGCAGAAGCAAAGGGTATGTTCGTTACACGGTGTAGTGTTGTTGAGAGTCTGAATATATTCTTAGAATATATTCGAAGGTTTTGTTTTGGTGGAAGAGTGGGATGTACATGCAGCCGACACAGACTCGTTGTTTTGTTAAGGTGAAGAGAATTTGACAAAAGCGTTGCAGAAGGAGAGCATGCCATGGAACGTGGTCTCAGGAAACAAAACAATGAATGGTTAAGGCTTCTGCTTCTTTCTGTTTTTTCCCCTCGTTTCTTAACATGTGGAAATAAAGACAAATCACACGTGTGATGTTTGAGGAGTGTGAACGTAGAAGAACTTAGAACTTGTGAGTTCCGAGTGAGAGAATCGACAAACGTGGCATATTCGGTGGCACATAATTTCTTTTAGAATATATGGACACAAACAAAATTTTCCATTCAAATTACGTTAAATAATGTAAAAGATGTATCATAATAGTTTTGCATCTAAAAACTCAAAATCATACTAATCAACGGTACAACACAGTTTTCACCCCCTCGAGATACATGATATGAAACAGTGACATTTTATTATGAGGATAAAATTTAGTCCTCTTTCGAAAATTTGAAACTGTAAATTGAACAAGTGTATGCAGTGGTAAAAAATTGTAAACCTTCGTAGGTAAGTAAAATCACACAAGTTAGTTTTATCACTAATCCAATATCCTTCAATACCACAGACAATCAAAGGGTTATTATATCTTTATGAAAAAAAAAATGATCGTACAATGACTAAATTAGATGTCAAATGAAATGATAATAAAAATGATAAATGTTGAAATAATATTTTTTTATATTTAAAATTGTGTGTATGAATAAAGTATATATGCTTGTAAATTATGGTTATCGGTATATGGGCTTTCAGTTATTAAAATTGATTAATTTGGTATTAACTTTTAGAAGAATCTCTTAAAGATCGTCGCCAAAATCTATATATTTATCACATATCCGTAGTGTGCTATCAATGAGATAGATAGTTTAGTAAAAGATTAATGCATATGATTGATTATATATTATTAAAGTTAATGTTTAAGATACTTTAAAATATATTTCAGGTGTAAAGAATGGTTTTAGTTAAGCAGCTATCTCAGTCACAAATTGGTTAAGATGATGAGGGGAGAAGAAGAAAAGAAAAATAATTTTTTTTACCAAATAGTTAGATTTTAAAATTTTTTACTTTTTTTTAATGAATCTATCAAACATAATAAAAGAAAATAAATAATTTATAACGATTAAATAAAAAAGAACAAGGCTTAAAACTTAAGCAATAGTTGTCGGTTAACGGTAACGCTAAAAGAAAATTAACGAAAAAACAATATCCCGAAAAAGATATTCTGATTAAAAATGAAAAGAAGAATAGAGCTAGACCTAGTAATCAAACGGCACAAAATGAATTAAAAAAAGAAAAGAAAAAAAAAATAATATAAGAAGTATAATAAAGAGGGCATTAAGCATTGTAATAGGCAATAGCATCACTTTCTTCTCATTGTTGTGCTTCGGAGTTTCTACCTGCGATTCCAATGGCGGCCATTACCCGCCTCGTAAAGCGCAACCCCCCTCTATTTTCCTTGGCGCGTGGATTTTCATCAACCATTTCTCCCGCGCCGCCGCGCAAGGAGAGAAACGTCCAGTGGGTGTTCTTGGGCTGCCCCGGCGTCGGAAAAGGCACCTATGCCAGCCGTCTCTGCAACCTCCTCGGCGTCCCTCACATCGCCACCGGAGATCTCGTTCGCCATGAGCTCGCCTCCAATGGCCCCCTCTCTTCTCAGGTTCCTTCTTCTCTCTCTCTCTCTCTCTCTCTCTGAATCTTACCCTTTTCGTTAGTGTGATTTGGTGTTGTTGATTGTTGATGTGCTATTTTATGCAGTGTGAAACGCAAATCGATTAGATGGCATAACGTTGTTTAATTTGAGCACGTGATTTGTCTCTTAATGCATTTTTAGTTCCAATATTAGGAACCCCTCTGTGAAATAATCATAAAAATTTGTGCTTTTGTCACTTGCAAAACTCTGGACACAACTCGCGCGCCTCCAATAGCCTTTATACGATCCCCTTGGTACTAGGTAGTCTCTTTTCTGTTGTTCACTCTGGCCTGTGTCTTTGAATTTTGATGCACATAATTAGCTGAATTGAGATCCAAAAGTTTGTCACTTGTTAGAGTGGAATGTCTAGGGATCTTAAATTAGTTCAAATCTCTGATTGGAGATTCGTGCTGCGACTTGTTTGGCATGCCCTCATTTTGCTTTGAACGGATCTGAGTTCTTTTAGCCGTTTATAATTGTTCCAAGAATGACAAATTATGCCGTATTGTTGTCACTTTACTTCTTGTTCGTTGTTGTGTTTTCGTGACAACCTGTGCAGCATGTATCTAAAACCGAGATTTGCTGGATTTCAGTTCCTTAAACATTTTAATCATTAATGTTCTTGCATTGTTATATTTGAGAGTGGTGGTGGAGCTTTATTCTGTTCTTTTGGTTGCATATTGCTCTTTGTTTACTAGCTTATAAGTAAAGCCTGCCTGTTTTGTCTTCTGAATTGGTGAATTCTTGACACTTGATTGGTTCTAATTTTTATTTTTCCATCTTTTATCATACAAGGTATTGGAATTTTCACTATTCTTGATCTCGTTTGAGGTTTTAACTATACTTAGTTATGGTAGTTCAGTTTCAATACATCATATGGAGTACCCTAGTTTTTACCTGTATATCAGAAGCTTGTGAGTGTGAATTGAAGATAACATGATCTTAACTTTTAAGAAGTAGCATACTTTTTAACCAAACAAGTTATAAAAGGATAATGTATTTATTTTATGTCAATCAAGCCATCTCTTCTGCTATCTGATTTGCAGTTTTTGGTCCTTTTACAGCTATCAGAAATTGTTAATCAAGGAAAATTAGTGTCAGACGAAATTATCATAAGTTTATTGTCAAAGAGACTGGCAGATGGGGAAGCTAAAGGTGAATCAGGATTTATTCTTGATGGTTTTCCTCGAACTATAAAGCAAGCAGTGAGTATCTTTGTATTTCATTATTCTTAAACGCCCCCACCTCCTAGTGTTCTAAAAATCTTTTAGATTGATACTCGAAATGCTATTTCCAACAAAAAGTAACAGAAGGAACTTTGTAGATTGACTTGTGTGCTTGTAATTGGCCGTGATGTTTCTAGAGACCAACTAACCAAACAAGCAGCTATATTTTCTGTCCTCCCCAAACCCCTCCAATCCCTCATGTTTGAGGTTGCAACAATGCAGTGACATGTTTACTTTTCATTGCAGCAATTTATTTAAAATGTGCTTAAATTTGTGTGCTCAGGAAATATTGGAAGGGGTAACTGACATTGACTTGGTGGTCAATCTGAAACTCCAAGAAGAAGCACTGCTTGCAAAATGCCTTGGTAGGAGAATTTGCAATCAGTGTGGAGGAAATTTCAATGTTGCCACCATTAATGTCAAGGGTGAGAGTGGGCGCCAAGGAATGGTCATGGCTCCACTTCTTCCTCCTGCTCATTGTATGTCAAAGCTCATTACTCGTTCAGATGATACTGAACCGGTAGTCAAAGAAAGGCTTCGTGTATACAATGAAATGGTATTTGTCCTCCTATCTATTGAATATCCCAACTTATTTCTCATATTTTTATAATTTGATTTCTGTCATTTTTTCAGAGTCAACCTGTAGAGGAATTTTACCGTAGTAGAGGAAAACTGTTAGAGTTTGATCTGCCAGGAGGGATCCCAGAATCTTGGCCCAAGTTGCTGCAGGCTCTTAATCTTGATGATTATGAGGAGAAGCAGTCTGTGGCAGCATAAGATATAAAAGTGTACTATACAAATGAGTATTTCATTCTTTGCATGCATGTATTGCATGCTTGGCAATTTTGCAGGAAATAGAACCAAAGAAGGTGGACTTCTCTATTAGTGTTATACGGATAAATAATGATTTCAGGAAGTGTCGGAATCTGATCTAACTTTACCCTGTTGGGATTTCCATTATTTTAATTTTGCTATATATGGCAATGGTTTTGGTGCTTTCTGATGTTGTCAGGAGCAGTTAATTTCTGATTGAATTGCTGCATAGATGGTTGACACAATTATGTGTTGTAACTGAAATAAGAATGAACCAATGTTATTGTATTATCAATCAAGGGATTTAGGGAATGCTTTTCGCTGGAGTTAACGTCGAGGAAAAACTATTGTACCATGCTATTTAATTTTAATATGCTTGTTGATTTCATAACAGTCACGAATGACTCCTTTTCATCGACTATGCTTTGGTTTGAATGCATTTTGCAGGTTTAACGTGAGGCCAAATCCTAGGCATTCTTATTTTACTGTTAGCAGGGGTGTGGGTATCATACATTTTATCTAGTTCAAATGAAAATGAAATTATCAATTTTCTTCTAGTTTATTTAATTGATATATGGGTTACTAATATTCAATTCTTCTGTCAAAGTTGCCTTCTTCCCAGATATCGAGGGGATTTTTCTTTTGGGTTAAGAAGGAAATGGAAAAAAGGGAGAAGGGTGTGGTTTTAGAACATTGCAGCTGGCCGAGCTGGTTGGCATAAGTGTTTGCTAGCCAGTAAGTTGAAACAGCTGCTAAAATAATACAGGGCATAGTACCAGCTCTTCACTGCTAAGCTTTTGTGGTGTAAGATAGATTGTGCCGTGCATTTTTTACCTAGTTAGTCATCCTCGTGTTCCTGTGAGTTCCTTTTTCTTCCACCTTTTTAAGCAGTTTCATGTGGACCTGCGGTTGAAGTTCTCTCATGGGCACTCACTGATAGATTTTGTCGATTCTTTTGTTTTGGTTTTTTCGTTTGTGTCAAACATTTTAAACTTATCTATTGTAACTGATTCAAGAAGGGTTGAGTTTCTTTCTTTTTTTATCTGGGAGGAATTAGTATGATTAATCATTAACAATTGCATTTTTATGTTCCGTTGTAAAATGGTTATATTTGTTTTTGTAACATTTCTGTGTGTGTCTGTGGGTGAATATTGTCGTTGAACAATGCTCAGAGGGGATGTTTTGAAAATCGCAAGTTTTAAAAGCTTTTTATTTGGGAGTGGGCGAGGGGGTTGGTTTTAAGGGCCGGATGTAAAAATTGAGACTTCCAAGTTAAATTATTAGAAAAATTTAATGTAATGTAAATTGTTGGTTTTAGAAAAAAAATTCAATCTTTTGCAATAAAAAAAATTATTTAGAAGTATGTATGTATATATATATATATATATAACGATTATAATCAAGGTAGATATTATTTTTAAAGAACTTTTAAATAAGGAAAAAATATCTTAAATAATTAATATTTATATTTGCATATTTTTCATGAATTAATAATATATTTTTTAAAATATAAAATGTTTCTGGAAGGTATTTCGAAAGGCCCAAGGCAGTGAACGTGTTGGTTTAAAGATGCCAATTTTTACTTTTACTTTTGTGAAAAAAAAAAGAGAGGATAGGGACTATAAAGTCCAGCACAAACAAAAACAGAAAATACACAGGGTTTGGAAGCCCAACCATTTCAATAGCAGCAAGCACAAGTAAAGGATGCAGCACATAATGAAAGCCAAGATGATGACATAAAAAAAAAAGAGCAAAATAATAATTTAATTTTTTATAAGTTAAAAGTAACTTATATGTTGTAAGTTTTAAAAGTTAAATAAGAGTTAATTTCTAATAACGTTGAAAAATATAAATTAATTTTAATTTATAGGAGATGTTTAATTCACGTTACTTTCTTAGACACAATCATATGCAGGATACGTTAAAACAGTTAATGGAAAGCAAAGTCAGCTTCCTTAGTGTAGTGAGTAAAAAAGGAGGATGTGAAGGGAGAAAGTGTTCAAATTCACATTATCCGTTTTTACTCTCTCTCTCTCTGATCCATTTTCTTTTTCTTACTCTTATCAAACACTTCCTTTGAGCAAAGGACATTTAACAATAGAATCATATTAAGGAACTAAGTCCCAATTAGAAATTCCAGCAATCTCTCCACACGATTGGTTAATGTTATTTCTATAATTGTTAAGGATGAAAGGAGGGAGAGGTGCTAATTAAGCATCATCACTTCTAATTTTACATAGTATATGTATATGTAAATGACTTCACAGGAATTTATTCTTGGGTTGGGAGGGTAAGGCCAATATTTACTTTTGAAGAGAATCTTTACTTTACTTCACATATTAAAGATATTCCACTTTTTCACGAAGCATTTATCCATCACGAAAAGTTTGTGATGCATGCTATTAGAAAAGAAACAAAATGGTGTCATTAAATGGAAGGAAACAGTTGCATATTTGATCGTTTAAAGTGAACAACATGTTTGGCTATACAAAGGCAGAAATGGGATATTGGGGGTCCTCTTAGACTTTGAGTTTGTCCCATGCAAGTGACAAAAATAATTATGCATGAGGTGAGCATGCCTTGGTTATGTATTCATAATGACAAGGTGCAAGTTGAGCAATTTTAGAACATAATAAGAAACAAACACCAATGAACTAATTTTCTTAGATTTATGGAGAAATTTCTTAAAGTTTAGAATTGTACCCATATCCTCAATTTCTCATCATTTATAAAGGTACGCTATATTCACTCTGCTTTTTTCTCAAGCCTACTAGAACTGTATTTGAACACGAGTCAAGATGAATATGCCAAAAGAAAATTTTCATATCACATATTTTGGGTGTTTGATATCTACTGGTATCATTACCAATCAATAAACTTAAATATGAATTTGTTGGACTAATTAAGTTTGCATATATCATACCATAAAAAGAGAATATATAGATAATTTGCACAGCATTGGTGAAAATTTTATTGTATACGGTCCTCTCGTAACATTTTTGCCGCAACTGATCAAGAGATTGGGTGCTGTATTGCATGGGTTAGGTTTCAAGAAATTTAAATATTCACATTTTGATAAAGTACCTTTTATTACTGAATTTACAATTTTGTCAAACTCTATATTTAATTCAACAACAAATCTTTGAAGAATGAATAAATTTAGCTAGAAACAGAGAAGAGAATATCTTTAACTTAAATTAGTCAAAGCAACAGCTAAACTAACAAGAACATATCTTTTTCTAGGTGCTTAAATATATACATACTATTTATATTAGACCAAGATTGATCTGAAGGGTTGTGCTTTGTAAAAGAGTAATACTACATTATGAAGATAAAATTCAACCAAAATTAGTTGAGTGATAAGAATTACTCATCTTTAGCCAACGGGACTATAATATTTCCCTTGCTTAAAAAAAAGAAAGTGGTAACTGGTAAATATTGAATAAATTTTCGTATACCTTGACTTTTACAACACACTTTTCCGCGAGAGACCAAACAAAATTAAATGATAATTTGAAATCACAAAACATATTCAATCTTTCTCATATAAAATGACAAACAAAATTATTAATAATGTTAGGACATAAAAATATAATCTCTCTCTGTGGGGACACATGTCACAACTACTGGTCATAACAATGGAAATTCCGTTTGGTAATCAAAATAATTTTATCCAGAGGGGTACCCACGCGTTCACTTCCCTTCCATGCTCCCAACTAACGTTCCAATTTTCCAATGCCTAAACTAACTTTCAAAGCACCCTATGTTATGTGAAAACCCTCATATTGATTCTAGAAATCTATGACACATCGATTCCATTCCTTTCTCATGAGTACTTTTCCTCATTCTGTAATCTAATGCATATTATCTTCAATCCTCATCACTGATTAAACACAGACTGTATATATGGTTGTACTGTTCAATAGGCACTACACTCTCCCATGCCTGTGTTATAATGATATTGATGATGTTTGAATCTTCAACTTCATGCACATTAGTTATATATACCTCTCATATGATTAACCAAATTATAAACAAGTGTTTTTTATTTTTATTTTTTTATATTGGTTTTAGTTTCTTAACATGTGTTTTATAACAAGCTTTTAAGGATTTTGATAATTAAGGATTGTTTTAAGGTACTGATTATGCAAAGAGTTCGAATAATATTAAATGTTTTTTTTAAAAAAAAACTAATTAAACTTGTTTAATAAATGATATGGAATGAGGATCCTTTGATATTACACGTAACGAATATGACAATGTTATGGTATGAAAGAGAAGGATATAAAATTAAATTAATGGAATATACATAAATAATGCAAGTATTAGTGCTTTCTCTTTCGTGGCATTATCATGAGTCACGTTTCTCATTAAAAAGAATTTAAATATATTTAATTTGATGACATCATTAAAGCTTTCTTACCACAACCTGAATTCTAAAAGCATATATTTTGTTAATTTTGATGCATGTATATAAGATATTACATAGTTTTAATTCAAAATTTTATTAATATAATTTATGTAATTAAAAATTTTAAAATTAAATTATTTATTAAAATAATCGATTTTATAATAGGATGGTCAGGACTATCGAAAGAAAATAAATGCTTACAAAAGGAACAGAAAGGGGCATTGACATTGACATAGTTACGTGAACTTTTTCACATGTGTGGTATGGTTCATTTTTACCTTTGATTAAAAGGAATCTTATGTTTATGTCGTGGTTCTTCCACTTTCTCACTGCACACGTATAACCTATGAGACAGTAAGCTTTAGCGAATGGTCAAAAAGAACACCGTAGACAGTTAGTTGTCCGTACATTTTGGAGGTTGGCTCCCACTGCCAACTACCAATCCCAAGATTCATAATTTCCAATAACCCATGCAACTATATTCATTTTTATAATAGTTTTTTTTTTTTTTAAATTATAGTTTTCATAATTGACTGTATTATTAAGAACTAGAGATCAATGTGTGCTGTAAATTTTTTAAAAGGGAACATCATCATTTTGATTCAAAACTTTAGGAATCAAAGCACTCCTCCTCTCTCTCTCTCTCTCTTCCTTACTCACTCACTCTGTGTCTGATTTTTATATATATTCATACATATGTATAAATATTTATGTATTAGTATATGGTCAATACTGACTGAAGAGATTCGAGAAGATCCTTGGAAGAAGCTGAAGGTCCCTTTTTTTTGTTGGTTTCTTTGGATGGATCAAAAGAGGACAATCTTAGCAGTGAGGCCCATCTTTCTTATGTTTGCTTGAGTTTGTTTCTCTCTTGCAAGTCAACTTTTGTATTTCAATAAGAACAGATATTGTTATTTTGAAGGCCGTATATGAATTTTGGTTCCTTTTTTATTTTCTTACAAAATTTTGAGCCTTCCAATGTACATACAGCTGGGAAAGGAAAATTCACCGAAGCCAACCTGCCTCATGTTAGCATGTTGGTTTTTCTCGGCTTTCTGGTTAGTTCTCTACTCTTTTTCTTCTTACTTTCTTCTCTAAATTATTATTGATAACACTACTTCCCTTATGAGAAAACAAAGAATAAAAAGATAAAGACAAGAAGGAAAATAGGAGCTTTTGTTTTTTCCATTTGAAAGACTATGGTTTGGAATAAAGCCAGAAGAGATGAACTTTGTTCAAATCACTTATACTACTACATATATATTTGGTTTTCACTTTTCAGTTTTCATACATCAAACGTAGAGTAGTGCAAGTTATAGAAACTTTTTTTTTTTTTTTGGATATTCTATTTGGGTTTGAGGGGCTAACTACTACTAAGAACAACACAAATTCAATCATCACTCTTCATCTCTCTCTCTCTCTCGCTCTCTCTCTTCTTTCTCTACAACATCATATCACCTCACATTTGGAATGTGTGAAGTCTGTGCAACGCATCTTCTGTATAAGGGGATCGACAATTTCCTATGTGAATTAAAAACTCATAACCGATGTGTTTAAGTAAATTTCAATTGACTTGTGGTTAAATATGTTTTTAATCTTTAAATTCATTTGATTAGAAGTTGAAAAAACAATTTGAATTTCAGTAAAATTTCAAACTATGGTTTGTAAGTTATAATACAAGCAAAGTTCCTTGTACGCATAATCAGATCGATGCTATTGACGTAAAAGGAATGATATTATACGGAGAAAAGGCTATGAAGATATAAGTGTTTGAGTTTGAAAAATTGCATGGAGATTGGTGAATGAACTTATGAGTAAAATGACAGCTTTTATCTTTAAGTTCAGCACTTGATTTTTTTATATTTTATTTTTTCAGTCACTTTATATTTTTTTTATCGCATTACTTATAAGGTGTATTGTTTTCTTTCTCTATTTTATCTTTTTCTTCTCCATCAATTTCTTAAAGATATTAAGTGTACATTTAAAAATATATTTATAAAGTTATAAACATTATCAAATACAAAAATTAAAAGTAATATTGTTTAAATAAACATAAATATAAACATACATAGCATTTATGTTTGCAGACAAAGTTCTTAGAACTTAAAAAAAGACATCTCTTTTATTATTATATTTTTGTAATATATATATATATATATATATCACTCATTTTATTAATTTTTTTTTCTCTTTTCTTTGTTTAATTTATATAAAAAATTAGACAAATTTATACCTCCAACTAAATTGATGCTTCTTGTTAAAGTTTCAAAGGCTTACAAACTTTAATATATCATATTTATAAGGTGAGACTAACGTCCTTTCATTTATTGTATGAAATAAGATAAAATGTCTTTTTTTTAAAAAAAAAATTAAATTATGTGAACTATAGATTAAGATCAGATGATTAAAAATGAAAGAAAAAAATTAATTATATAAGTTAAATTTATAAAAGGATATATTATTATCATATATGTTTGTATTCCTCATCCTTTTTTCTTTTCTTTATCTTTCTCTTTTCTTTCTTTTGTTATTCTCATCGCATCTTTCTTTTTCTTTTCTTCTCCTTTTCTTTACTTCTTATTTTCATTTCATCCTTTTCTTTCTAAAGGATTCATAAATAACATAACTTTTTATACATAAAGATATAAAAAATACTAAAAAAATTTAAAATTTAAAATTTAATTTTTTTAAATCTCTTTGAGTATTTAGGTTAGATAGATATCAACAAGTTATATGAAATAAATATATAATTTGCATAAATCAAAATTTTATGCTAAAAATCATGACTTTCAAAGTTCATGACATTAACTATAATAATATTCAAATTTTTTACTAAATTCTATGTCACTACTTTCTACATTAGGACATTAAAAAAATGTTACTTTTTAGGTTAATTTTCTTAAAAAATCAAAAGTAATAATTTCTAAGTTACTAAATTAGTTCTCTAAAGTAAGTAGTGTTTTTTTTAATCTATCTTCTACTTCAAAAAATTTTCCATTGTGATTGTGAAGGTTGAAAACTAGAAAGAAAACAAGAAAGATAAAAAAAAAGTGTGATAAAAAATAACATTTCTTCTTTACTTTTTATCTTTTTTAAATGAACAATATTTCATCTTCTTCGACAATATAGAATCAATATTAAAATTTAAATAATATATATTGTTAATTTTTTAATAGAATCAATATTATTTGTATATACTTATGTCACGTTATAAATATTTTATACTTATAATATAATATTAAAAATCATATAACTTCGATGTTTATAAAAGAAGAAACTAATGATCATGAAAGAAAGATAAGTCTCTAGGCCATAGTTAAAGGTACAGATATAGAAACAAAACAATTTATTTTTTTACTCTTTATGATTAAGATTTAATATATATTACTCATTTTATTTTTATTTTTACTTTTTTTTAATTTATCCATTAATTTACTACAAAATCATATCGATAGTTTTAAATAATTTATGATTTATTTATCTAAAAATATTTTTTTTCTAATTCTCTTACTTTTTCAAAATAAATGGGAGGACTGATCCATATTTATAGTCCCTTCCTTTCTGAAAAAGAAAAAATAGCATCCAAAACTGAGTGGTTGTAAAATATTAACACAGCATTGTTGGTACCGACAACTGCAAGTTGTACATCCTATATCTCAACACTTGCTAAGCTAAAGGCAAATGAGAACGCACTTGAAGAAAAGATAACTTTAGCCCTCCCCCAAATAACAAAATTGATCTTGCCTCTCTTTGATCGATGTTGAGTTAAAAGGGGAAAATTATTTGGATTGAGAACAGAAGTAGCATCCATTATATGTCCATAACTTTTTGAATTACAGTTCATTTATATGCATAGTGGAAATTCCGTGAAGCATACAGAACAAGTATTTATTTAGTGGAATCCAACGTCACTATTTTTTTCGCATTCCTTGTCCTGTTAGGAGAGAAGACTTTTCTTCCATGGCTGTCAGTATTTTCTTATTCTCACATTTTATCTCAATTATTTTATATTTCTTTTCATTTTTTTTTTATTCATTTTATTCAATATTTTTATTTTTTACTTTATTTTTATCTCTCTTCTTCCATTGAATTTACACCTTAGAAGAAGAGTGTCAACTTAACATTTATGTTGTCTCAATTACAAAAAGGTAGGATAAGATATTACATCATAGCATCATATAATACTATATACCCTCATATACAATAATTATTATAACCCTTGGAAATTTGTATTATATAATTTTAATCAACCATATATATCTGCTAGGTGATTTTAATCTTGGGTCAACTGGATCGTTAGAAATTAATTGGTGCTGAGTTTTGGAAAGTGAACGGCAAACCGGGGTGCAGATTTTCTTTTCTTGCAAGCATAATCACACTTAAAGGGCATATTTTGCAAGACATATAGTGATTGAAGATGGATATTAAGGAAGCAGAAAGGGTGGTCATTGCCAAACCAGTTGCCTCAAGGCCTACTTGTTCTACTTTCAAATCTTTCTCAGAGCTCCTAGCAGGTGCAATCAATGCTTCTCCCGCGATTGCATCTTCTCAAACTACAGTTTCTGCCATTAGACCAAAGACAGTGAGGTTCAAGCCAACAATAAATCGCCCTCCTGCTGGATTTGTTTCTTCTCAGGTCAACTAGGACAAACAGAATCTCTCTCTCTCTCTCTCTCTCTCTGTAAATATATATAGCTTCTTGCATTATTGATCTCCAATAACTTATATGTGGTATTTTACAATTGCAGGATGACATTTTTGGAAACTCACTTTGTGATTCTCCTGACAAGACTCCTAAACTTGATACCAAACAGTCACTCATATACAAGCCAACAGCAAAACTCGTGTCAAGAACAACCGTTTCACTTTTAGCAAATATGGTTAGTATATATCTATATATATATATATATATATATATATATATGTACGTTAGTCCGCATATACTAGACATGTCTAGTTAATTTTGACCCTTCATTATGATTGAATTGTGTAAATGCATCCTTGTTTCTGGCAGATGAGTGTCTTTATCTATGTATGTTTGTGACATCTTTTTGTCTTTATGTTTTGGAAGGGAAATTGCGGTACTAGTCAGCAACAAACACGGCAATCAATGGAGACCAATCTTCAACATTCCATCCATGAAAATATTAGAACCAATATGAGCTCAAATCTTCATCATTGTATTACTCGAAATGCTGAAATAAATCAAACCAGTGAAACTAGTAAGATGGTACAGCAGAACATAGAGGAGGACCAAAAAGCTTTAACATCCTCAACCAATTGTGATCGACCTTCTTATGATGGGTATAATTGGAGGAAATATGGTCAGAAACAAGTAAAAGGAAGCGAGTACCCACGAAGTTATTATAAGTGCACACATCCTAATTGTCCAGTGAAAAAGAAAGTTGAAAGATCATTTGATGGGCAAATAGCAGAAATTGTTTACAAAGGTGAACACAACCATTCAAAGCCACAGCTTCCTAAGCGGAACTCATCAGGGACACAAGGATCAGGAGTGGTGTCTGATGGAATGGTTCAAGATATTTGGAGTAATAATCAAAGTGAGAGGAATGAAGGAAACGAAGAGAGAATTGAGAACACGGGACTTTCTATGCATTCAGATTATCATGTTAAAGCCCCACATCCTAATGATTCTGTTCTAATTGGTGCAACTAATGCTTGTGGAGGAAGCACAGAAAATTCGTGTGGTCTAAGCGGGGAATATGAGGAAGGAAGCAAAGGATTTGAGGCAAATGAAGATGAACCAAGAAGTAAAAGAAGGTAATACGTCTATAACCATCATACGTAGGCATGAATATGATACGTATTCGATGTATGTATCGTATCTACGTCTATTGTTATTGAAAATATACAAGATACATATTAAAAAAAATTAATTTGATATCAAACATGTTACTGTATATGTATATAAAATTTGTAAAACATAATAAAAAATATTATTTTTATAAATTCAAACCAAGCATCTTTCTTGAATATTATTAAAAAAAATAGAAATTATCAATCGTTATTTACTGTCAACGAAATCTCATTTCCTTGAAATTGAAGGGGATGCTTCCATGTCCAGTTCATGAAGTGTATGACTATACTTTTATGTGTCACAACTATTTGCAGTAAAATACAAAGAAATAAAATCTGTGATATATACATTTTAAAATTAAGATTTGACGTAGCTAGGTGGTTTACTATGGATAGGATTTTCACGTAAAAGAATAATTGATTTAATCATAAAATATGAAGCAGTTTTACTTGAATTAATTTAAATAAAATCTAAATTTAGCTTGATTCAATTAAAACAATTTTTTATGATTATTAATTTAATCTTTGTGATTTTTATTGGATCAAACCAATTTATAAATATTCATATATAACGAGATATTTCACAGATACGTATTAGTAAAGTATCTAAAAATTTCGTTATTATATACATATCTGGTAATGATAGTCTATAACTTTCTAATGTCATGTGATGTGCGTGTCAAATAGATGGATAAATCCATAGTTTCATCCTAAGTTTTTGGGATACATGATTCATGACACCCTTCTTGTGCATCCTTCATCATGTCCAAAATCGAAAATTTTCCATTGAGTAACATAATAGTACAATTTTAATCTGTAGCTAATATATTACTACTTTGTCATGTAATTTTTAATTAAAATTTATATATATTGTTAAAAACTTTTCATCCTTCAGGAAAAATGAGAATCAATCAAATGAAGCAACATTTTCAGAGGATTTAATAGAGCCGCGCATTGTGATGCAAAGTTTTACGGATTCTGAAATACTTGGAGATGGCTTTCGCTGGAGGAAATATGGGCAGAAGGTGGTGAAGGGAAATCCATATCCCAGGTTCATACTTGTTACCTCTTCTTCTATACCAATATAAGTTGCTAGGCTCTCCATCAAATTAACTACATTAAATAATTTGCTTCAATATTGCTTTGAAAGGAGTACTTTGGATTCTGCTATGCATTGCCTTGACGATCTCTAAAATTATAGATACAGCTGCAATATTATAGTTGAGGGATACAAGAGAATCCTAAAATACAACTCAGGAACAATAATTCCTTGAAAATATTAAGGACTCAAAATTGATGAGTTTGATTTCCTATTCAAATAGCTTCTTACTAGTATCTCTTTCTATTTTCCTGTTTCATAAATTTTTCTAACATTTCTAAAAATTTGAATTTTTACTGAGTTTAATCACATCATATAATTCATCAGTAAAAATTATATGATGAACTAACACCAACTAATTGTCTTGCAGAAGTTACTATAGATGTACTCATATCAAGTGTAACGTTCGCAAGCACGTAGAGAGAGCAATAGATGACCCAAGGGCATTTGTCACAACATACGAGGGAAAGCACAATCATGAGATGCCACTCAAGAACACAGGAAGCGTGGCCTCCGAAAGAGATTCACAGGCTTCACTTAGTAAAGATAAATCATGATTGATACTTCAAATTAGTTAACAACATTATGACCCAATGGCATTGGCACAAGAATACAAAACTAATTGAGAGGATCCATTACCTTTATTTCCTAAACTATGCTCAGAATAATTGAAGTTCATCAGAAGATATTGACAATTTCGAATGCATTAACTACTGATACTAGGATATTTACTCATGGGGCAACTTGTTGATGCCGGTGGTGGTAATTTGTATCATATTTATGGAATCAGTGGCATTCTTCAATAATTTTGCATCTCTGCTAGCTGCCTTGGTATACCAAATCGGTATATTCTATCAGCTTTATCACCATATACATTTATTTTCCTTCCGCATTTAATCTGAACTATATATCCTATGCTAATAATTCTTATCGTAAATCACTGGAATCACCAGAGGAACAAGAAAAGACCTTTATTCAGTATTAGCTATGGAGTATGGACAATATATATTTATATATATTACTTTTTTTTCTTCTTCAATGCAGTTTAATTTGATATAGTCTGTACTTTCTTGTTCGATATGTTATCAGGAGTCAATAGTTTATTATTGTCATCAATCACAATCGCCATGAAAAAGAAAAAGAAAAGAAGTTAACGACATGCTTGGATACCATTTTGTCAAAAAGGCTATGATGCTATATTAGAGAAAGTAGTCTATTAAAAGTGATATGTTTAGAGACTTTTATCGACAAAAGTGAGTAGGAAGTGCTTGATGGTTGATTCTCTTGATCATGCAAAAAGGCATGGTGGATAACACTAATTACATAAGTGATAAATAGGAGGCAAGTAAACGCTCCTCAGCTACTAACACCTAATCAATACTCCTTAACAAAACTCTTCTATTTTATTGCAGTTTGATTTATCATTTTGATAAGGTTTCAATGGCATTAATTGCTATATCAACCACGATGCATGTTAGGGTATGATTCCTTTAAACTTTAATCAAAGCAATTAAGAATTGTCTCAATTCAAGTTCTAAAAGAATATTGAAGATCAAATAAACTCTTGGAAAAATAACTATTTCTCCTAAATACATCTCTTGATTCCTTAAACCGTACTTAAGAGAAGTATTATATTTAAGAATTTTTTAAATATCATATTGTCAACCTTAATTTTAAAGTGTCACCAATCATGCATATTATTAGATCTTAATTTTAATTTTTAATTTAATTTTTTCAATTATAACTAGAGATCTACAATATCTATTTATAATAATCTTAGAAGGAAAAATATGACATTTTCAATTATATAGCGATCTAATATTAAATGCTGATAAATGACTATTCAAACATTAAGTATCCAAAATGCTTATTCCTTCACCTTATAGCCAACATTTTAACAATCAATTTCTTCTATATTATAACACTCTTTAATTTATAAGTTTTTTTTAATTTTTACTTTTTTGGATGAATCCTACCCACTATTTCGATCAAAGTAATCAATTTTATTATGAATCAACCTATGAATCTTCAATTACTATAAAAACTACACATACTAGAAGTCACATCATGAAACATCTATTTTTGAACGATTTAAAAAGAAATCAAATGTCTATCCAAGTCGAATACACATATGTGTAGCTTTATACAGCAATCTTTTAATGTAACTAAAGCACCTTCCACTCTAACCAATATCTTAGGTTGAAGAGGAAAGATTTTTTCTAATTGTTTAACTAAATTGAATAATTATACGGGCTTTGCAACTTGATATCTTTGTGTCAAAACAAAGTGTTCACCAATCAATAATACAAAAATTGCAAGACGAAAAAAGGAAATCAATTGGAACCAATACCCTGCCTCCATAATACAAATATGTTTGGTATTAATTGGTCAGCAATTGATGTGTTTTTATATGTCAAAATGAGGAAAATTTTGATAAAATAAAAATAACAATAGCATCAAAAGTATAAAGTTTTAAATAATATGGTTTTGATGGAAAATTTTAAAAAACAATTAATATTTCGTTAATTTTCTCAAAGGACAGATTTAAATAAGCAAAATGACTTTTTGAAATATTGATAAAAAGAGGAGATTAAAAAGTGTTTTGCGTTTAAAAAAAGGATGTCTTTAAGTTTTTTTTTTTGCATGTAAGATATTAAGATGTGTGCATATATATAAAAGAAATGTTACATAAATATATTTTACAGTAATTTAAATAATAGACTCAGTAGAGATAACACTTCTTTCGTTCAAAAGCGTAAAATCTCCCGTTTGATATTGGAAACAATTTTAGACCTTGAGTAGTAATTATTTCTAATACCGTGAGTTCATTGCGTTTATAAAAATTGAATTTAAAATAATAAAATGCATATCATTTTATTAATTTTATTTTTATTAAAGATAAAGAAAAGAAAACATATGATTGCATTACAAAAACAGGTGGCACGCTCATAGAGAGCCGTTTCCCACCAGCTGTCTCCGGGTGGTAGATTTGTTAAACCTGAAGCTTCTATCCATATTTTCATGTCTTTTTTTAAGGAAATTAAATTAGGTCCAAACTTTTTTTTTTTAATTGAAAGGATGAATATGAAATTAGAAAGACGAAAGCGGAAGAGTGAAACTTTTCTTTTTTTAACACCATTATGACAAGTCCTCCTACAATTAGACACCTATGGATAGAAAGTTTATCCAGGTTTTGGCCTAATCCCTTCATTTTTATTTTTCTTTTCATTACTTTAAAAAAGGAAAGAAAGGAGAAAAAAGAAAGAAAATTGGTAAAACTGTATCTTCTCTCACTCCAAAGAATAACTTTCATTGACTAGAAGGGGAAAGAAAAAATCAAAGAAAAGAAAGAGAACTAATTTTAGATGGTGTCATGAAACCCATCTTGTAATAATTATAGGAATGTCTTTAAGATCTACAGCTGTTAGTACTTGTTCAGTTTGTTTGCCAAAAGTTGAACTCTGAGAGCGGCCAAAATTATGATCATTGAGTTACACTGTAGCACATGTATTAATTAGAAAAAATAAATCTTCTTACAACTTTTTTTTAAAAATTATCCTAATTATTAAAAAAGAAAAATAAATTTATTTATATTTTAGTTAATACTTAATCACTAAAATCTTGAGAGAAATGATAAAAAAAATAAAAAATAAAATATTATTCATTGATTGAATGAAAAATTATATTTCGGTAGAAGAAAATTGTATATAGGAATTGTTCAAATAAAAGAACAAAGCATCTATTTTTATAGATTCCCGTGGCAGATAGTAAGCACTAAGCAGGGTGTGGAAGGCAGATAGGAGTGGCTAGCATGACATGATATGACAGAAATTAACTTAATTCCAAGGCAATTATTTTATGCTTAGCCAAAAGAAAAGAGGCAAATATATATATTAGATTAGTTTGGAGTTGGTTTCGGAGGTGATCCAGTGAGGCGCATTTGAACCAATCATGGGGTTTTTCCGACCAAAAGACAAACCAATGACTAAATTAATGAACTCTAACTAAAACACCAAAATAAAGAAATAAACACAAAATATAAACAAGGAAACATAAACACATGATAAAAGTAAACAAACACACACACATATTGAGAGAGAGAGAGAGAGAGAGAGAGGCTGTTTTCTAAGTTGGTGTAGTTAGACGCCCAAACACCGTGTGTCGGGTCGGGTCATAAGAGAGTGATTTGATAGGTGCTGTGGTTTCTGATCACTGTACTTTGTTCATCTGAAGAGAGAAGGGAAAAAGAAATATGGGTTGGATTCCCTGTTCTGGAAATTCAGGCACTAAGAAGAAGATTGAAAAGATGGAAGTTCAGGACAGCCTCGTTGGTCAGATCAAAGCCACCCCAGGTACCTTTTTTTTCTTTTTGTTTTGGTTCACTGAAGGAAAAAAGCGAGTCACCAATGGGATTAAGATAGTTGGACCCTGTTTGGGACAATTGTGCTTTCACTTAATTAAGGTGGTTTGGGGGCTTATGCAACATGTCTAGTAAATATTTTATCTATTGCTTTATATGGGGTTTCTTGCAAAATGAAAATTTGAGTGAGTTTTATGTATTCGGTAGACCGGATTGGTGTCCCTGACGTGTGAACTTTCTAGATATAGGTACCTGGGATTTGACGTGGTTAATGAGGGCAATTTTTTTTATGCTATAGAAAAATGTTTGTTTTTTTTTAATGGCGGGGGAGGGGGGATTGGAATATGCATGTGTAATCTAATAATCTGCTATATTCGTTTCTATATCCAAGAAAAATCTTTAATGCTGCTCTGCGATGTGGTGTTGGATTTGTAGAACTTGTGTGTTAGCATTTTTATCTTTTTGTTTTGAGCCGTTTTAGACTCTCTTCTATTACTTTCTTGGATGCATTCCGTTGATCGGTGTGCTACTAGCTTTCAGGTGATACACTAAGTTACTACTGTCAACCTATAATATTCCAAGTTAATATAAGTATTCTTGATAGTTTTCTTAATAACACGAGACTTCTTATTTATTTTGTTTTCTTTCAGCTCGTTGATTTCCTGAATTACGAAGTATATACCAAGCTTAAACTTATATTTGAAATGACACTATGCTAGTAGAATCAGTTTGGGATTCATATTTGAATAATCTTCAGTTATTTGTTTCTGAAACATGGACAATGGGGCCAGGTAGTATTTTCATGGTTCCAAGAGATTGCATTAACATGTGTTGGTCTTAGAAGACAAATCTAACCCTGCTGTAGCTTGTGCTTCTCCCCCTAAATATTATTCTTGTCATTTGGGTGCAGGAAAGTTGAAGAGGAATTCATCCACGAATTCGAAAGATACATCTAAAAATGGGAATCCTGATCACATTGCAGCACAGACATTCTCATTCCGTGAGTTGGCAACTGCAACTAGAAATTTTAGAGCTGAATGTCTTTTGGGTGAGGGCGGCTTTGGCAGAGTATACAAAGGGCGCCTGGAAAGTATTAATCAGGTGATTCTGTTTTCTCATTATTCTCATCCCGCTTTTACACTTTGATTCTTCTAACAGTTAGAATAATAGAATGAGTTTTGTTAACACAACACATTGCATAAATTTTATGTAGGTTTAGTTTGTAATCATGTTTCATCATTTCTAATGTTGAAAATAGGTTGTCGCAATTAAGCAACTTGACCGAAATGGACTGCAAGGGAATAGGGAATTCCTTGTTGAAGTGTTGATGTTAAGTCTACTTCACCATCCCAACCTTGTCAACCTTATTGGCTATTGTGCTGATGGAGATCAAAGACTTCTAGTTTATGAATATATGCCATTAGGATCCTTGGAAGACCACTTGCATGGTATTTGTATTTCAACTAAGCAAGTTTTCTTTCTTCCTCTTTGAAGTTTATATTCTTTTTCTAGTAAATGTTGGTTATAAATGAATGATTGGCAGATATTACCCCCGGCAAGAAACAACTGGACTGGAACACACGAATGAAAATAGCTGCTGGAGCAGCAAAGGGATTGGAATATCTACATGACAAAGCTAATCCTCCTGTCATATACCGAGATTTGAAGTGCTCCAACATTTTGCTTGGCGAAGGGTATCACCCAAAGTTATCTGATTTTGGTTTGGCTAAACTTGGCCCAGTTGGGGAAAACACCCATGTATCAACAAGGGTTATGGGCACCTATGGATATTGTGCTCCAGAGTACGCAATGACAGGTCAACTCACTTTGAAGTCCGATGTGTATAGCTTTGGTGTAGTTCTTCTGGAAATAATCACTGGAAGGAAAGCAATTGACAATTCAAAATCTGCAGGAGAGCAGAATCTTGTTGCATGGGTAAGTGATTCCGACTGTTATGTCATTTCCTAGGGTTTGTTGATGACTTAAAAGCAACCCTTAGGACCAATCCATGATTGGAAATGCTCTTGGTTGAACAACTCTAAAAATATTTTCATTTGCAAGATAAATGGTTAAACTTAAAAACAGCCAGTGTGGATACATTAAGGTGAGGCAATTAGTTTAATATGAATCAGTCATCTTGCATAACTGTGCTTGAGCGCAAGAATTTGTGGTAAGAAATCATTTACATTCCTTTAGTTCACAATTACCTCTTTTAAGTCTTAATCAAACATAATATATGGAGAATATTTCAAGAAAATTTGTCATTGTGGTTGAATAGTTTCTTCAAGCTGATAATTTGCTCTTGGTTTTAGTTTTCTTTTAATTTCCTTTCTTTTATTGGTATTGCTTATCCTGTTCTATATTTTCTTCCATTCCTGACAAATTATTCTTTTAAAACAAAATTCCTGTTACTGCAATGTTAAAGATAGAAGTAGCAGTTTGTTGAACTTTTTAATATGCATATCACATATACTCCTCAACTGGATTTTGCATATCTCTGGTGGGGAGAAATTAAAGTATTTCCCAACGAAATTCATTACGTGACATGGTCCTTGCTCCTTATCTGAGTAGTAAATTGGGATGGACTATTCTGATTGAATTGCAGGCTAGACCCTTATTTAAAGATCGAAGAAAATTTTCACAAATGGCTGATCCAATGCTCCAAGGTCAATATCCTCCAAGAGGGCTATACCAGGCCCTTGCTGTTGCAGCAATGTGTGTTCAGGAGCAGGCTAATATGCGTCCTGTTATAGCTGATGTTGTCACAGCTTTGTCTTATCTTGCTTCACAAAGATATGATCCCAATATGCAGACAGTTCAAAGCTCTCGCCTCGTTCCTGGTACTCCGCCTAGAACTAGGAGGGGGCTATGATATGGAGCTCAATGTTTGGTTGATATAAGGTAGTCTGGAGAAAACTTCTTCAAATATCTTACTTAACAGGCTTGTCAACATGCTTCAAGACATAGGTTTATAGATGTTAATATAAGTTGTCCTTTGGTGGTGTTTTCTCGGCTCACAGCATAGTTACAAAAACCTTATGGAATTTTGTTTTCCTCCTGTGCTCAAAACTGCTCCTATTTCTGTTTGGGGCTAAGATAGTATTTCCACTTTTTTTTTCTTGAAAATATTATTTAAGAGCAAATTGCTGGATTCATAATTCATGTGCCTTCTGTCTTGGCAATGGTTCTACAGGAGTCCCTGCATCCAGAGAGGTCCCGGCCTTTACTTATTTATCCTAGGTCTCTGGAAAAGCTATATTTCCGGAGAGCTTAATAAACTACACAACATAGAAATCAAGTTGATTTTGCTTTTTTTAGTTGCGTAATTGCACATGAAGTATCTTTAACCTAAGCTGGATCTTTGCATCTGCACGCAACTTATTTAGAAAGTATTTACTAAATAATTTATTTTGTGAAGTATTTACTTATTATGACATTATTGTTATATTTTATAAGCGTATTTTCACACGTAATAATCTCTAAACAATATATCTGACTCACAAAACGCAGCTTTTTATCTAGTTTATACATATGTTTTGAGATAATGAATACATATTCTCCACTCAGTTCATCGAATCCTAAAAAGTACAAAAAAAAATCACAAAATGACTGAATTCATCGTTAATTACCATGGTCGAGATGTATAAAAAGACGATTCAGTCATATAACTCGAGATTACATACACAAAAACATAATAACATAGGGATGTCAAAAGCCGGTACGCAAACATCATTATTACTCCATAAACATCAAACAAGCTGTTAAATAAACATCACTGACATTAAATTCAGCAGACAAACCAACATTTGGCTATAAACACAAGCGACACTTTATTGTCAACCATCAACACCTCAGAGGACGTGCACTCTTTCACTGTTGAGCCTGCAGGGTAGAAGTGTAGGAAGTTTAATAAATTGGCAAGCGAATTGGCAGAAAACAATCACAATTATTCAAACTCAATCTTAAGAGGTATGTGGATGTTGTTTACAGTACCAAAAAACGTTTCTTGAAAATATCAACGATTTCCTTGGGATCAGCTCTTGTCTGTGTATAAGCACCGATCTTGTTCACCTCCTGCAAAAGAAACATGTTTCGAATGAATATATATTTTGTGACCAGTACGTCTGAAGCAGTTAGTAGTCAGGACCCATATCAAAGGCATGAACAACAACGTTGGATGGGCCATTCTGTTTACACTTGTTCCAGAGCATATGGAGTTTTCTTCATGTTCAAATTGATTTGTAATCAATTCATCATATAAAAGAATGAAAAGCAGTGGAATGTCTTTAAACCAGAAAATAATTTACATAGAACAGCTTCTAAGTGTACCTCAATCCATGCTGCAAGTTTAGGCCTTCCTTCCGTAATATCATTCTTGAACACATCAGAAAAGACAAGCTGGAATCTTTCTACAAACGGAATATAGGCAATATCCACCTGATAATGACAAACATTTACAACTTATATGGGAGAAAAACTACAGTCACGGATATTATCATTTATCTGACACTGTATTTGCACTCAAGTCATTACTACTTTAATACATAGTTCCATCAGATTATTATGTGCTTTCAGACCTTTGGTACGAATTTGCTGAAATTTCTTAAAGTCAATTGAAAAGGAGCATCTTCAAGACTTGATTTCAACTTACCCAACTAAACTGACCAAGAAAGAATGGCCTATCATCAAATTTACCAAGAGCATTCTCCAAGTAATCAAAGGCAGGACCTGAGTTAGATTATCAATCCTGAAGGTTAATTTTATATGTCGTTGAATAACACTTCCCTCTATTAATTAACTTCAAATCTTACTTACTGGCTTGTTGTATTGGATCTCCTTTCAATGAAGAATACAGGTCTTTGGTGAATGTATCAACATGGGAAATCAACTGCTCGCCAACCTTTTTCTTGGCAGGATCCTGGAAAAACATCTTTAAACCATTTCACTGAGAGGCATTTGAAAACACAACTTAAGTTTTTATTCAATATGTTATTTTAATACAAGGGCTTATATATTTCACCATAAAACTTCTTAGAATAAGTTAAAAAGAACTTATTCTGATAAGTTATTTGAAATAAGCTGAAAATAACTTATGAGAGATCATTTACTCTTATAAGCTCATCGGTTTAGAGCCTAAATGATAAATAGCGATTGGGGGAGAAGGGAGAGGGAGAAAGTGCAGTTCTTACACTGGGAACTAGAGATGGCCCTTCGAAGTTGTCATCTATGTACTTGATCAAATCGAGACTTTCTCCCAAGACCTTCCCATTGTGCTCCAATGATGGCACCTATAACACAAGAACAAAGTCATGATCAATTACCAGCCCATAGACTAATTTATATTCTTCAATCAGCGAGTTAAACACCTTGTTTTCAGGGTAGACTTTCTCCTTATACCAAGCAGGCCTGTTTAGAAGATCAATAGGAACCAGTTCAATCTTGTCTTGTAGTCCCTGCAGTATAACCAAATTGATCATCACTCAAGAAAGAAAACGACCTATGCCTCAGATAATACAATAAATTAAAGAGTAAATTTCAACTTGATCCTCTAATTCCTCAAACTTCTAAAACATCACAAACTAGTCCTTTAAAAGATTCGGTGGCCTCACCGTTTAAGTAAGATGATTTATTGACAATATTTTTTAGATTTAACGTTTTAGAAGTTCGAATAATGGTTAATAAAAATTAAGGTGAATATTTCACAAAGAGGAGAAGGACAGAGGAGAGAAACAACCTTATAGTTGCGAGTGATCCAAGCACGCTGCGCATAGGGACAAACATAACTGATATACAACCTAAAAGGAAAAAAAATCGTTACAAAATGAGCATAAAAAAACAGAGTTAATAGACGAAAAAGAAAAGGAAGGACCTGGTGGTACCGTCAAAAAGTGGAGGTGGATCTGAGGTGGAAGTTAACGGAGGAGCACGAACTTCTTGCACACCGCTAAATTACGAAGAGAAAAGGAATTAGATAAAAGGAACCAATTTCCGATTCTGTAACAGATCGTGAAAGAAGAAGTGTCTTACGCAGTTGCCATGGACGTATTTCTTTGGGAGCTTACTCAGTGAGGCTTTGGTGGAGAATCTTTTCCTGCACGCAATGGCGTCTACAATTGAGCGAGTTCGCCTTTTATACTACAAAGTAAAACGATTATCAGCACAAATCTAATAATTTTTTACATAAAATAATATATATTTATTGTATTTTTTTTAAAAAATTTATTATTAATAATTGTTTAACACATTTTCCTACTTTTATATTAAAACTAATAAACGAATCAGTTTAAAGTAAATTTTTTTAGTTCTTGTTAATCATGCTTTGAAAATCGAGAAACTCGGTTGCGGTCACCTTCCGTTACAGGCACGTGCTCTGGACGTAGCGGTGGTGACGAACGTTTTGCGTTCGTATTACCGTTCCACGCTCTGCTTCTGGAAAACTCTAAAAATAGTATTTGTATCGTGAATGCATGATTCTACGGCTTTCTCATTTCTTATGTTAATTGTAATTATTCAATAAACTGAATGTTAAATAATTTTTTATGATTTTAAGATTATTATTTATGTGAAAAAAATCGACTGGTTCAATTGAAAGTGGACTAATGTTCTGTAGTTATAAGTTACTAGATAACTCTAGAAAACAATTAAGGGTGTCATTCGAATATCTCTTTTTTAGTTCTTAATAATTATACTTTTCAAAAATATTTAAAATACTTTTAATATATCTTAAATTTTATTCAGAATGTAATATAATATTTTTTAGAAATGTTTTGATATTATATTTCATTTAAATATTATTTTTTAAAATATTAGTGTTTCTTTTAAAAATATATTTTTTATTTTAAATATTATTTTACTTTATGTTATAATTGATAATTTTATGTTATTTTAAAAAATAAATTAAAGTTTAAAATAAAATAATATAAGGTATTTATAATACAATAAATGTGTGTGTGTAATGGTATTATAATAACCTTTTAAATACTTTTTAATTATAATAATAAGTTAATAATAAAACTTTTAATTTAAAAAGCAATAATAAAATAAAAAATAACATAAATTAAATTAAAATTGAAAATATTGGTGAATTTTTTTTACTTTTATATAAATATCTTAAATTTTTACTCCTGCCAATATTTTTCTGAAATAGTTTAATTAAAAACCGTATAACAAGTTAGGTTTCTAAAAATATAGTGTTGATACTAAATATAAGAAATTAATATATTCAAATTAAATCAGTTGAATTTTATCAATCTAATTTAAAGGAATGACATTTTATAAACTTAACACTGTCCTGTTATATAGAAAAGGAGAGGATCCTATCTCAATAAATTGACAATATGTTTTATGACATTTCAAAATTAATGTGAACAACCATGAATGATGTGTATAAATAATACTAGGAATATTTTCAAGCTGATAATCAGAGACATTTTATCAGATCATAAAGATTATCAAAGTAAGATTTACTTTTTTTTAACAAAGTTTTGCCCAAACACATGATTAAAAATCAAATTCTCATCATCGTGATAGGAATACAACTATTATTATCCCAAAATAAAATTAACCAAATCACAAATAACCCAACACATAATCGTTGTACTACAAAAGCATTTCACTGTAGAGACCTCTCTCTTTTATTATACACACATGTACTGCCATCCAATTCCAGTATTGCAATGTTCATTGCTGAGCCTGCACCATAGAAATGAAGATTACAAAGTTATGCACAAGATGTAATAAGACTTCAACTCATATATTCATGTGGGACTATGTAAAGTACCAAAAATCGTTTTTTGAACATTTCCAGAAATGCCTTAGCGTCAAGCTTTGTTTGTGTATAAGCATCGATCTTATTCAGCTCCTACAACGAAAAATTCAATTAGTTCTAAGACCCTTAGCAAACCACTACTTTTATTGCCTCTAGCAAGAGTTATATGCCAGAGAATTAGAATAACATTCTTCAACACAAGAGCAGAGTCACAATTAAGCTAGAGAATAAACCAGGGTCAATTCTTAAATACAAGTGCAAAATCATAAGCCACAAAATAAATTCATATATAAATTGTTTCTATTATACCTCAATATATGCTGCTAGATTAGGCCTCCCTGTTGTAAGGTCATGCTTATACACATCAGGAAATACAATTAAGAATCTTTCAAGAAATGGAGCAAAGGCAGCATCCACCTGATGGTCACCGTGATTTCCAAAGATTAACGAAATGAAAATATTCGATATTATATATACATTTGATAATTCTATTTTTCTTTTGTTCTTTAAATTCTTGAATTTAAACTTCTTACCAAGCTAAATTGGCCGAGGAAAAATGGCCCGTCATTAAATTTACCTAGAGCACTCTCAATGTAATAAAAAGAAGCACCTGAATCCAAACGTATTAGGTTTAATCAAATTATTTTTATCTTCAATATCAATCTCTCAAATTTAACGACATTAATCTTACTAGTTTTTGGTATAGGATCTCCTTTGAATGTAGAGAAAATATTTTTGGTCAACTCATCAATGTGGATCATCACTTGCTCACCAAATTCTCTCTTTGCCGGGTCCTGAATAAAAAACAAAACAAAACAAAAATATTCAAATCATTCCACTAACATAGAAAAAACAATTCGTAGACTCAGATTTTCTCAAACTAGCAACATACTTTATGTGATTAATTTATTTTTATTGAATTATTTTTAAAAAAGTTGAAATGACATTTAAAAAGTGAACAATTGACTAAACAAATATAATGAATTTAAAAAATAAACTAATAATAAAGAATATTACATTGAAAAGTGTATTAAAAAAATTTGTTGCTAGCCTTTATCTTGTGGAGTATAATAACACGTGTATAGGATGCAATTCTTACACTTGGAAATAGAGATATTCCCTCAAAGTTGGCATCCACATATTTGATTAAGTCAAGACTTTCACCAATAACCTTGCCATTGTGCTCCAAGGATGGCACCTATATGATATCAGAAGCACGACAATAATTAATGACACAAATTTCTTAGATTTTCAAGTATAGGATATATGGTGATCTTAGCTGTGTTTTCCACAGTACCTAGTTTCCCACCTTATTTGGAGGGTAGACTTTCTCCTTATACCAAGCAGGAATATTTGCTAGATCGATAGGAATCAATTTGATTTTGTCTTGAAGCTCCTGTAACATTGATCACTTGTCAAGAAACATATAAATAAGTAAACATTTCATGGGGAAGTAGAAGTGGGAACAACCTTATAATTCCTAGTGATCCATACACGTTGCGCAAATGGGCATGTATAAGACATGTACAACCTAAAAGAAGAGACACACACTCTTGAACTGTGGACATTTATAAGAAACTAATCGTATTTATCATAATGAAAATACAAACACTTGTGATGACATAGGGATGCACCTTGTGGTTCCATCAAAAAGTGGAGGTGGGTCGGAGGAGGAAGTAAACGGGGGAGTACGCAGTTCTTGTACAGCTCTAGTAAGTTACAAAGAAACAATGTTAGAAAGGGAGGAACTGGTTCAGAAAAAAGCTAAGGTTGATGAACTTTGTGAAACGTAATTGGAAATGTGGAAAAAATTCTCTTACGAAGTTGCCATGGATTCAATGATCTTGTTCTCCTGAAATTCACAAAGCTTTTTTTCAGTGTCGACGATGTTCAATCAATCTTGTTAATCCTTTCTTATAGACTTTGGTGCACCCAGGTGGCGCCAGCAATGACGAAATTTAACGAAAAATAAACGATTATATTAAAAGAAACAGAGTCTTTGACCGGCATTAAGGAAAATTAAAATAGAGCGAAATAGTTTATCGGTTTACGATTAAAAAAGAACGGTGGTCATCCTTGGTTGGCCTTATTATATATATTTGTTGATTACTGATATAAAATACACGACTAAGATAACGAGTATTTTAATATTATGTTCAAATTTTTTAGTAAAAAAATTAGCTAAACTAGTATGAGTATCAGATTCTACCATTTTAAACATTAAAAATACTAACAATACATTTGTAACATATTTTTTAATATTTATTAAAATTTATTAAAAATTACAGAAATTATGTGTTTCATTTTTTTATTTTTAAGTAAATATTTCTCTTACATATTTTTTTTTAGTTTTCAAAAAAATATATTAAAAAACGTGTTAATAACATCACTCTTTTAAGCATTGAGTTAGCTTTTCCAAACTCATCTAAGTTGATATTTTATCAATTTTAATTTTTTAAGAAAATTATTTTAGGTTTTAATTTTTTTTAATTTAATACTTTTGTCTTTAAAGATGATAAAGCTAACTAAAATATTGTCACATTTATCTGCTTCTAATGGAAAATACCTGTAGTCTAAATAAAAAAAAATTATTACGTCAATTTTTTTTGTTATGTCATGATTGTAAAAAAAGATAAAAAGTGCTGAATTAAAAAATTTTATAGACTAAAACAAAAAATATTTGAGAAATTAAAATTAAAATCTTCTAAAATTATATAGACTAAAAATATATTTAAGTATCATATGTTATTTTTAAAATTTGACATATATATATATATATATATATATATATATATTAATGCGAGTAATCGATTAAATAAGTATGATTGTTACGGAAACTATACTCATACCCATCGAATTTAGTGGGCACATACTTAAATCTAGACCTATCAAACAAATATTTACCACGCATTATGATGTTTTGCAAGTACTCACTAGTTATATGAACTAAAAAATATACTATAAAATTATATATTTAAGCGATGAATGTTATTTTAAAAGTTTGATAAATTTATATATAACTAATATAAATTTTAGTTAAATTATTTTAAGAACAATATATTATATTTTTATAAATAATGATATATATATATATATATGACAAAAAATTAAATAATATTTTTTTTAAAATATTTTGACCTAACTCTGTAACTACGAATATTATATATTAAATTTAATAAGTTTAAATCATTAAAAATATATTTTGTTTTAAAATAATATTTTTAGTTAATTTTCAATAATGTGTGTGTCTTATTAATCATAAATTAAAGATATAAAACTTTTAAAACTAAACTTTAAATTTATAAAAATAAAAATTAGCGTAATTTTATAAATGTTAAAATGAGTATTAAAAAAATCAAGAAACAATTTTAATCTAAAAAAAATAGGACAATATTAATATCATGGAAAATAAAGTTGTAGTAAAAAGTAAATTATCATGGAAAGAAAGTGAAATTCAAATATTATTTTTATTCAATTAAAGTTTGAATGAAAATAATTACATAAATATTCACTTGTTAAATAGTAGATTGCCATATCTAACATGGAGGTTCATTATTTTAACAAATATGTAATGGCATCTATAAAAATTTTAGTCAAGATCCACGGGTGTCTATTTATATTTGTACAAGTAATTGAGTAAAAAGATATGTATGTTTATACTTTTACTCGTCAAATATTTTAGGTATTTACTCATAGATACCCACCTATTATAAATATTTTTTAGAAGTACTCAATGGTTATAGAAACTATTTTCATGCTTGCGACTTGCAACCTACATTTTGTTCGCTCGTTATCCATTTTCTTTGGTGTAATAAATGAAAACAACTGAATATATTTTAAAAAAAATTGGAGCGCTTGACAAAGTTTATAAAATATTTAATAAATAACACTATCATAGTTTTTTTTAATTAATTTCGATTTAATTCATGATTAAATTTATAATATATTCTAATTATATAATAAAAACTTGTGAAATAAACTTTAAATTAAACTACTTGGTAGTTCGAGGAAGCGAATGGCCTACTTTAAGGTGAAAAACCATTAATTTAACATACATTACAAATACATATCAACCATATGACATTTTAATTTATTATACTATAACACAATGCATTACACACTGGTACAGAAATATTATTACAAATTATATTTGCAAAGTAGCCATTATACAAGCCTATGCGTTTGTAGTGTAAAACTAAAGCATTCCTTGAAGCATTCACCTCACACTTTATTTTGACTAATGCCATCATAAACACTTGCTGTTGGCTGATGTTTATTACTGACCCTGCATAAGATCATAATAATTAAGTTACCAAGGTGATATAAGTGTAATATAATGAAAATTAACTATGTATACGAGTAATTTTAATATAGTACCAAAAAGCGCTTTTTGATGAAGTCAACGAACTCTTGTGGATCAAGCAATTTTGTTTGCTTATAAGCATTGTTACTATTCAGCTCCTGGAAAATGTGTTACACCAATTAACCAAAATATCTTTTCTTTAGGGGGGCGGGGAAACAACATTACTTTTGAATCAAAAATTATTTATTTATTATTAAGATTTTCTATCAAAAGGGGCCAAACAGGACCCTTCCAATTATATTTTGATAGCATTAGGAGGAGCAACATATAAAAACAATAATTTAATTTGATTCATTTTATATGTGAACTTCGAGTAAGTTGTTGTTGTTATTCAAGATAGTTAAGAGGGTATATGAAAGTATTTTGAAATACCTTGATCCATGCTGCTAGTTTAGGCCTTCCAGCTGTGATATCATGCTTATACACCTCAGAGAAGAGGATTTGAAACCTCTCAATGAAGGGAATATAGGCAATATCCACCTAATAATCACCATAATTTTGTTTTAAAAAAGAATAACTATAGTCATAATTAAAAAAATTAAGATATCAAATAACCACTTTATAAATGTCTCACCAATCCATCTAATTTTCAAGTATATTAAATTTTCAACTTACCAAACTAAATTCACCAAGGAAGAATGGCCCATCATCATATTTACCAAGAGCATTCTCCAAGTAATCAAACGAAGCACCTAATTCAAATGATGAATTTTAAACAAGGCATGATCTATGTTTATCATACCCTTCAATTTAGAAATGTAATTCTTACTAGTTTGTGTTATGGGATCGCCTTTGAATGAACCAAACACATCTTTTGTAAACGTATCAACATACTTTATTAGCTCCTCTCCAAGTTCCTTCTTGACGGAATCCTGAAATTAAAATAATATTCATATCATCATTAATTATCCCCAATCAACATACAGACACATGAGTTGGGGAAGAGAAGGATTTTCTTATCAATAAATTAAAATGCTTTCATTCTTACATGGGGAAATAATGATGGCCCTTCAAAATTTGCATCGACATATTTGATCAAGTCAATACTTTCCACTAAAACCTTACCATTATGTTCAAGTGATGGCACCTACGATATAAGAAAAATATAATCATCAATTAGGAAAATTAAATAATTCAATCAAGTTTATGTTACTTTTATGTAGATCACTATGTTTTTCTTAAGATTATTCACCTTGCCTTCCGGATGAACCTTTTCTTTATACCAAGCTGGCTTGTTCATAAGGTCAATAGGAACCAATTTTATCTTGTCTTGCAATTCCTGGTGCACAAAAAACATCAATTGTTTATCATAGTGGAGACAGATATCTACAGCTCTACTAAAATAAATAAATGATTGAATAATAATTTATTTTTGTTACATTCATTTTTTTCTGTATGATTTTTTCTTTAATTTAGTTTTAAAATATATAATTACTTTAAATTTATTTTTACCTTTTATTGTCATTTTAATACCTGAAAATAATATAAATTACCATTCATTATAGGAATAAAATGAAAATATGAATATTTTATACGGGACACACACTAGGCTTAACTTTATATTTTAATTTGGTCTCCATATATCCCTGTATCATGTTTTAACAAATGACGATGAAAAATATTAAAATAATTTTACATGAATTAAATTAATGTTTAAATAAAAACCTATCTTATAGGGGGAAAAAAAACCATAAAAGCATCAAATGATTATAGGAAATTAGGAATATAAAACGAGCAAACACATGAATGAGTGAAGAAATACTTAAACAGAGAAAATAACCTTGTGGTTCCTTGTGATCCATACGCGCTGAGCAAATGGGCATGAATAACTCAGGTACAGCCTAGAAGAGAAAAACAATCCAACGTAAGATACTATGCACAGGCCAACCTCAAACTCAAAGCAAAACCATGTTGACCCAACAAAAACAAAGCAAAACCATGAAACAAGATGAATTGGAGTTTAATAGGACTAAATGTGAAACCTGGTTGTTCCATCAAAGAGAGGTGGTGGTTCGGAGGTTCCAGATAGCGTAGGAGGACGAATTTCTACCACACCTCTGGATTTCACAGTACACAGGACAACGTAAGATAAAACGAATCAATTATGATAAATAGAAAAAAGTAACGAAAAACATGATTTGTGATATTAATAAAATTAAATAATTCTTACGCAGTTGCCATTGATATAATGATCTTCCGAGATACTAGGGATCTTATATTATGCAGAGTAGAGTGGTGTTTACTTACTATATTCATGGCAAGTTGGCAACCATTGCTGAGTTCTTATAACAAGTTGTTAGTGCCGTGCAGGCACCGCCAATGAATAATGACGACGACTTCGCCTTTAGTTTGAATTATGACATTGTTCAAGTTATATAATTCAACTTTAGCAGTGCAATAATTCAACTCTGTGCGTGTAAAGAGAAAAAAATTATTCATATTAAAAAATTAATTATTTTAGTAAAATTATTTGTTAAATTTCTTAATTAATTAACACATAATCTTGAATTCAAATCTGATAAATTTAATTGTGTTAAATATTTAGAGGAAGTTTGACTTAAAAGTATTTTTACATGTAGTCTAAATAAAAATAATAATATAAATATTTATGTGAATAGAAAAATATAAACAAAAGAGTATCAATAATATTTTAAAAAATTTATATAAATAAATAAATAATATATTTTCTAAATTGATGGATAAGAACAGAAATATTATTATATTATCCGTTATTATGTAGCTATCAACAAGTAAGATCTAGAAACAGCAGAGTCAACCTTTGACCAAGTTATTGGGGAGAATTTTAGATTTGAATACTGGAGATTAATATGTAATCTAATACTAATACTAACACTAATAGAATAGTGTTTTCTTTTCTTTTTAGTTTAAAGTTGAATAGGTGATTATTCATTGTTAAAATAATTGATTAGCTTGCCATATCAATTATCACTTAGCAGTTACGAGGTACCCTCCTTCTTCTGCAGTTTACTGTATAAACATGACAGCTAATGCAGGGGAAAAATCTGGAAAGTTAGACCACAGCGTATTCAGAATCTTACAAATTTTATTCTATAAATTTTAAACTTTTAACATAAGATCATAGCAAATGAAAACTCATAATAGCAAAAAAAATCACTTTTATCTTTTCAGCAAATCACAAGAAATTTTAGATTGTGTCCTTTCAATGCCCTTTCTTAATTGGGCTCAGCCTCTAGAAACCACACAGAGACAGTTTTTCTCCCAACTAGGTCCCACCGCCAACGTCCCAATGTTTGACTTTTGGTTTTGGTGAGTACCAAATTTTTTTTCTTGGGGGACTTTTGATAATACAATAAATTTATAGTAAATATTTAATTTAATTTAGAACAGGATAAAATAAAAGTCCTCTTCTTCACCATGACCTAACACAAGACACTGTATGACACAGACAAGATAGTATAATGGGTTAACTTGCTCTTTCTTTCTTTCTTTTTTTTTGGGTTAAAAATATCAACTTATTCTATCTTTAAGATGGCTTGGGAGATATACCATTTAAAGAACAACAAATATAATAAAAAATAATATATAATTAAATTTTAACTTAAACAAATCTAAATTTTATTAATATTAAAATTTAATTTTTAATATTATCAATTTAAATATATAAAATAAGAGGCATGAGAAAAATTTAAATTATATATATTTTAAAATATTTGACTAAACAGATCAACTTATTCCGCTACTTTTTAATCCGCTTTAAAACCTCCTTTCCCCTCCTCCGAATCTATTTAATAAAAAAAGAGAGTTAAATATGTCAATTTGAGGGACTGAACCATAATGTGAATATTCTAAACACACATAAAGTTATAATAAAATTTAAAATTATAAAAAATGATATAATATTACAATGAATTAAATTAACATAAAACACGGATTTTTAATTAAAAGAGAGAATTGATAATTCAAAAATAAACTTGATTTATTGTAAATATACTAAAATATTATAATTTATTTAATCGTTATAATTTTCATTTATACTAATATTAAAATTTAAAGAATTATAAAATGCATATAAGAGTATGTAAAGTGTTTAAACATTGTCTAGCACCAATATATGTCCAACGAGATATTACTTTTTTTTTATATGTTTGTTTCCTTGATTAGGATAATAAAAAATATAGCTTTTATAATAATAAAAAAAAATGACACATCAAAGTCAATTTTTAAATAGGATACTGAAGTACTATATGAATCTCCAAATAGCAAAAGTTTTATGATTAAAAAAAAAGTCATTTTACGTAATTTTTACAACAACTCTCATAGTTTTACATTTTATTTATTCACATTCATTATTTATTTATTTATCTCTTCACCCTCTTGGTGTGAAATATAATTATTCTTTCGGGAAATATAAATACAAGGTGTCATTTTTGAATTATGAATTTTATATTTTCTTGTGTGGCGTAAGAAAAAAATATTAATAATGTTTTAAAAAAATAATAGAATATTAGATTTTTTTGAAAATGTCCGTATCACAATTTTTAACTATATTTTTTTAAAATCCTTAATAACAATTTTTATTTTTTATAATTTTTAAAAAATTATTATTGATAATTTTTAAATTTTATATCTCCATATTTTTTTCAAAATATCATATTTTTGTATATATATTTTTAAATTTTTATATTTAAAAAAAATTCCGCACCAATAACATGAAACATACCTTAACGGTACAATAAGTGAAATATATTTTCCAACTCATTTGAAAAATTCGCCAATTAATAAAAACATAACATCGGATTACCAATTGCATTTTAAACACATTAGATTTCGGGACTCTACAATAGGGTGGTTCCGTACAAAAACATTATTGAGAAATCAAAGTAAGTAACTGCAACACAAGCAGATAGAAAACACCATTCTTAAACTGAAAAAAGCATTACATGAAGGTAAATAAATATATTCATTGACTATGTCTTAAACATCATGATTGCAGCACCTCACTTTCACTGTTAAGCCAACTGTCAGCAATCTAGCAACAAGCCTGTCAAGACAGCAATCACAAATTTTCAAACAAAATGAACTATAACAGTGGATGATGTTTATTTTACCAAAATTTTTTTCTTGAAGGCTTCTAAATATTCATCCCTGTCAACTTTTGTCTGCTTATAACCATCAATCTTATTTGCCTCCTGCAAGAATAATCAACATAAAAATGTATAATTTTTTGGAATCGGTATCTAAATGGATCATTCCATTTCCCTTTGCAAAGCGGCTTATATTGAAGATTACGATCAAATCATTTAAGAAACGAATGCAATGTTTCAAATTATTATTTTTTTCTTTCAAAACAGAGAGTTAGAAAGATTGCACACAATTATGTACCTCAATCCATTTGGCAAGATTGGGCCTTCCTTCCGTGATGTCGTGCTTAAAAATTTCAGAGAAAATAATTTGGAACCTTTCAAGAGACGAAACATAGGCAATATCCACCTGATGATAATTACATGCAGTTTATAAATCATCAGAATGTTGGGGAAAAAATATCATGCATTTTTGTTTATATACTATAATTTTTTTTTATTGCATCATGATCTGATTATTTCTCTTTCCTACTATATATATAGCTAGATAACAGATTGGTCTGAATTCCACAAAACTTTCCAGCCAAATATAATGAATATCATTTCTCTTAGTGGCCAAGTTAACAAAATTTCAAGACTGATGACAATTTCAACTTACCAAACTAAATTGGCCCAGGAAGAATGGTCCATCATCAAATTTGCCAAGGGCATTCTCCACGTAATCAAAAGCATCACCTGAATCAAATTAATTATTTTTCACACCATCTAGTTCAATTATCAATATTTTCTCTTTGATTTAGAAAATTTAGATCCTACTGGTTTGTTGAACAGTATCTCCTTTGAGTGAAGAGTATATGCCACCGGTGAATGTATTAACATGGGAGATCACCAGCCCACCGTATTCTCTCTTGGTAGGATCCTGGAAAATCTCCAATAAGCATTACTTCACTGAAAAAATAAACACATACTATAGGCAAAGGGATAGTAAATAATGAAATCAAATGCACAATTCTTCTCACCCTGGGAAATAGAGCAGGCCCTTCAAAGTTGGCATCTATATATCTGATCAAATCAAGACTTTCTCCCAAAACCTTGCCATTGTGCTCCAAGGATGGTACCTATAATATAAAAGAATGTGTGATGATCTTTCAAGCAAATCAAATAGTTTTCTTCAGTTGTGTCGATCACACTTATCTACCTTATTTGGACGGTAAACTTTCTCCTTATACCAAGAAGGCCTATTTTTAAGGTCAATAGGAACCAATTTGATCTTGTCTTGCAGTCCCTATGGTTCACAATCACACATCAATATCACTAATAGGCAAAAGGGACAAACCTTTCATTGAAATTTCTATGAAGAACAAGACTTTATATCAGAAGAACTTGAAAGCTGAAAGAGGGGCCATAGATACAAAAACAGCCTTACAGTTCCTAGCTATCCATGCACGCTGTGCATAAGGGCATATGTAGCAAATGTACAACCTAAAAAGACAATCATAATTACACTCATTAAATTACCATACTACGAAAGTTAAATCATATATTTGATTAATGGAAAAAAAAAATTAAAATTGAGTTGATTGATGAATGTCACCTCGTGGTTCCATCAAAAAAAGAAAGTGGTTCGGAGATGGAAGTTAATGCAGGAGGTCGAACTTCAAGCACACTCCTAAATTGGCAAGGGACACAAACTTAGAAAAGATGAAATGACCAATTAATAAAACACTAATGCATGAAAGTTGTTTAGAACATGCAAAGAAATATATCTTAAGGATTTGCCATTAATATATTTCTTTTTTTCTAGAAAAATGATTAGTAGTATATGTATATATATTTTGCAAATAAAGAATGTAGGATTCTGAATATATAGGACATGATTTTAAACTGTTAAGTTTGAAATCGCAAGCAGTGACGAAACAATTGCTTTGCATAGTGTTGGGGCGGCACTAAGCATTACATTCGAAATTTGAGACTCCAATGGCTATGCAAAGGTGGTTTGATGTCATGAATGCGTTGGGGTAAGTTGCATGGAAGACATTTGTATATTTATTTGACTTAAGCAACGAATTGGCTTTTTGACAATTTTTCTTAATTATTTATTCAAATTAATATATAAAAAATAATTTAGCAGTTGTGTAATAAATTTCATCTGGGGTTAATTTAGCAGTTTTTTTTGTTGTTATTTTTTCTTCTGATTATTTTTTATATGTTTATACGTAATAATAATAATAATAATAATAATAATAATAATAATAAAAGTAATATAGAAATATATAGTTATATATTAAATAATATTTTAATTATTTAATGTTTAAATAATAAAATTTTAATTTTAAATCTTTATTTTAATGTGGAACTATAAAACATTTATTTAAGAATCAAATTATAAAATAAAATGATAAATAAAAGTCTGAAATAATGAAGATATAACAATATCAACAAAAAAATTCTAAATTTGAGAATTACATTCACAATAATTTTGGAATAACTAATAATTTTTATCAAGTAATATTATATATATATAAAAGCTACTTTTAGAAGTTTTTAAAGCAATTGGTAACATATTGTAACTCCTTTTATACGTTTGACATTTTTAAATATTTATTTAAATATATTCAATATTTTATAACTTTAAATATAAAACGTATTTATTTTTTATTTAATAAATTTTACAAATTATTAAATAATTATAGTAATACATTATATAAAAACATAACTCATTAAAATGAAAAAAAAAATGAAAACTCTTTATTCACATTTGTTTGTTTGGTTTTTTTTCTCTATTTATTTTAAAGTTAAAACTAATTTCATATTTTATAACAAAAATACATATTTTAATTTAAATTAATTTATATAGACATTTTAATCATATTTAATAGTTTAAAGATAATTTTATTAAACGCACAAACTTGTGCATGTTTATGCGTATTTATGATTTTCAATAAATTAAAATTGTCTGGTGTAATTTTTATTCAAATAATATAATTTTAAGGTTTAAATTTAAACTTTAATTAACAAAACTATTTATACTGATAAAATTAAAATATATATCAAATGTTTAAATTATTAAAAACAAAGAGACACAATTATGTTTATGTAAAATAATTTTGGTACTCCTTGTTTAAAATTTTTCAATTAATTCAAAGCACTGTTTAATTTAGAATTTGATAGAATTGATTTTTAAATATTTTTAAATTATAAGATATAGTTAAAATTAATCTGAATCATATACTTATATAAAAACTTGTACTTTTATTAAAAAATAGTTTTATAATTTGAAAAGAAATAAGGATAAAGACTAAAGAACAAGGATGCAATTATAGTCAGAGGAAGTAGTTGGATCAAATTACAGGCAGAGAGAGTGGTTCAATTAGATCAAATTGAATAATATATACATTTTTGTCAAATCAAGTTGAATGAGTATAGAAAAATAAGAACATAAGAAAACGTGACATGTGTTATTGGGCCAAATTTCCTAAAATAAAAGAAACGAAACAGAATTAGGGACCCCTCACTCGATTACCAATAATACACCATTAAGGCGTGGGCTATGTGACCATTTGGAAACATAGCACAAAGAATTTTCATAACAAAAACATGGGAAAGAAAAACACAAAAAACCAATAAATTAAATAAATAATAAAAATAATGGACCAAAGTCCAAATTCAAAATCCAAAAATATTTTTAATTCATTTGAGAACCCTATCTCCGAACCAAGCCGAGCCATTCAAGAGGGGCACCTCAGAGACGAGCAAGGTCCAATTAGCTTCTCGGGTTGGTTCCGAAGCCCAATCACTCACTCACTCTCTCCTTTTGCCACACACAAGATCTCACTCCGGTCAGCTCCGAAGCTCGGAGCGGCACTCTGCCGATCCGTGTTCACCGTCACATAGCTGGTAGATTCCGATGCCCTAACTTTTTTATTTCTCCAATTCAAAATTTCCTTCATCCCAAGCCTATTTTACTTGCACTCTTTGTTTTCCATGAATGTCCAAGCACTAATTACTCGTGTTTCTCTTAATTAAATTTTCACTCCAAGCTTTGATTTCTCGAAATCATGATATGATTTAGTGGGTCTTCCATTTGATGCTTAATCTGGGCTGAATTAGTTCGATAACTGGATTTTTTTTTAATAAATAATTTAATGTTTGATGTATAGTTTTTTGTGTTAATTCCCTGAAAGATCTGGTATATCAGGCTTCAGATTTTATACTTTTTTTTTCAAGCTTGAGATTTTATACTTGATCATGGGTGCTGGATTTTGCTTGGTAGAGAATCTGATTTGATATGGACCTTGGGTTATTCGGTTCATATTATTATTAAAATTTCCTATTGCGATTGAACTGGGCTGACCTGGCCCAACTGTGGGCCCAGGTTCGCTGAGAGTGGTGTATTCTAGGCTTTCATCCAATCCAATATGTTCAACCTTTGTGACTTTGCGTGATAGACTTAACGGGCATAAGCAATTCGAGTCAATAATTTGCAGTGCGGATGCGCATTGTGTCTGCATGCATGGGATTATTGTTCACTTTGGATTTGAGTTGCTCGTATTGTGTTTTGTGTATTGAAATATGGTTGTATAGACATGGCAACGATTATTTTCACTACTAAGGATAAGATGTACGAAATTTCTTTCCCCTTTTTGCTATGTGTTAGAGTGGGTTCACACCTTAGGATAAATTCCGTGTTATGCATGACAAGTTGATAAAGATATGAATGTCTCCTTCGAATTTCAACCGATGCAAATTTAGTGCTCACTTTACTTTTACACTTGAATTGTGTGCTGCTTAAATGAATACCTTTATTTCAATAAATATTTTTGCTACTTTCACAGTCCTTTTATGATTTTGCATTATTTGTTTACTCTAAGTTTTTAATTCCTTTCCTTTTGTCTCGATTCACAATCATCAAATTTGACTTTCCATGTTTCAGTTATTCATGCGGACAGATGCAATGAATGTTTACTTGTTTATGTTCATTAATCCTGTATTTTTTTTCGTGGGAGGGGTAACACAATGCCTCATGCTCTAGCGATATCATTTATCTTCATATCTATGGTGCTCTATTATATCCTTATGCAGAAAATGTTTCCTGCTTCTAATTAAACTGTTTGTTGTGGCTAAACTTGGAAGATATATATAAGACAAGATGGCTACCGTTGAAGCAGACAAAGTGGTGGTGACCCCTGATGTCAAAAACGAGTTAATCAGTACTGACAAGATAGTGACCCTTGTAGAAGACAAATTGGTGGTGACCCCTGACATAAAAAATGAGTCAACCAGTATTGATTCTCAACCTACCAATGACCTAGCAAATTCTGAAACTTTGGCTAACAGTAGTGTGGAAAATTCCAAGTCTCAGGCTGACACGGATCTCTCCAATCCCAAAACAAAGCCTGACGAAGGACTTCCTGGATCTGAAACACTGGTTACTAGTAGTGATATAAATGAGTTGGACGACAACAAAAAATCTTCGTACAATGAACTAGAGAATTCGGAATCGCTACCTAACAGCCAGTTGGACTCTGCTGGGGCTCCACACAGCAATCAAACTGTTGATTCAGAGGCAATGCCTGACCATTTGTCAGTCAACTCTGAAGCACTGCCTGATGACAAGCTTCTTAGTTCTGAAATTACTCTTGATAAGAACCCTACTCCTGAGGCACCACCTAGCAACCAGGCGATCAATTCTGAGGCACTTCCAAACAACGCTGTGGTTACTTCTGAAATTCAGACTGGTAATGATGTGGTTGTATCTGAAACACAATGTGGCAACGTGGTGGTTGTATCTGAAACACAGCACAGTGATGAGATGGTTGTGTGCGAAACTCTGCACAGCAATGAGATGGCTGTATGTGAAACCCAGCACGGCAATGAGGTGATTGAATGTGAAACACAGCACAGTGACGAGTTGGTTGTATCTAAAACACATTGTGATGATGAAGCAATTTTGTCTAAAACTCATCAAAGCAATGAAGTAGTTATGTCTGAAACTCAGCAAAGTAATGAAGCGGTTATGTCTGAAACAAAACCCAGCAATGAGGAGTTCATCTCTGCCCCACATCCCAGCAGTGAGGCTGTCATGTCTGATACGCAGCTTAGCAATGAGGCAGTCATCTCTGATACACAGCCTTGCAATGAGGTAGCCTTGTCTGACATACAACCCAGCAGTGAGGTAAGCTTGTCTAACACACAACCCATCAATGAGACTGTCATGGGCGAAGCCCAGATCAGCAACAATGTGGTCATATCTGAAACTCTGCCCGGAAATGCGTTGGTCAGTTCCACAACAGATCCCAACAGTCATCTCTCCCATCTGAAAACTTTTCCTGATAATAATCAGTTCACTAATTTCCATATGATTCCTGAAGATCAGCTGCCTCAACCTGAATCGCTGCCAAATTCTGAACCCCCAGTTAGTTGTGAACCACTGGCAGACAGTCATCTCACAGACATCAAACCAGTACCCCCTAATCATTTGCCTGAATATGATACATTTCCGAACAATCATGTGGAACATTCTGAGGAACTGGCCAACAATCAGCTAACTAACTCTGAAACATTGTCACATGATCAGCTAGCCAACTCCCAAATGTTGACTCACTATGAGCTGACAAATGGTGAACCCGAGCACCCCAATCAGCTAATCAATTCTCAAGCTCACTATGAGAAAGTCAGCAGTAACACCCTTCCTAGATATGAGATTGTGAGTGTTGAAACTCCACTTAACAATGTGGAACATATCCCAGAAACGCAGCCAATTAAGAGGAGGAAAAAGAAGTCTATAGTCTGGGAACACTTTACCATAGAAACAGTCAGTGCTGGATGTAGAAGGGCATGCTGCAAGCAATGCAAGCAAAGTTTTGCCTATAGTACTGGTTCAAAAGTTGCTGGTACCAGCCACCTTAAAAGGCACATTGCCAAGGGAGCGTGTCCAGCCCTTCTGCATAATCGAGATCCGAATCAATCAACTCCATATACTCCACGCTCAAGGGGAAATGGTGCTGGCAGTGTTAGCTATACACCAAAGAGACGGTATAGATCCCCTAGCACTCCTTATATAATTTTTGATCAAGATCGTTGTCGCCAGGAGATTGCTAGGATGATCATTATGCATGATTACCCCCTTCACATGGTTGAGCATCCAGGATTTGTCGCATTTGTCCAGAATCTGCAGCCCCAGTTCAGTATGGTCACATTTAACACCATTCAAGGAGACTGTGTTGCAACATATTTGATGGAAAAACAAAACCTTATGAAGTACTTTGAGGGATTATCAGGGCGTGTTTGTCTGGCACTGGATATCTGGACCTCAAGTCAATCTGTAGGTTATGTGTTTATTACAGGACATTTTGTTGATAATGATTGGAAGTTGCAGAGGAGAATTCTCAATGTTGTGATGGAACCATACCCTGATTCTGACTCTGCTATCGGCCATGCTGTAGCTGTCTGCCTTTCTGATTGGAATTTGGAGGGCAGGCTGTTTTCTATCACTTGTAATCAGGCACTGACTGAAGTTGCCCTTGAAAATCTCAGACCTTTACTCTCTGTGAAGAATCCACTTCTCCTCAATGGGCAGTTACTAATTGGAAATTGCATTGCCCATACCTTAAGCATTGTTGCAAATGATTTGTTGAGCTCAGCACAAGGCATAGTCAATAAAATCCGGGAAAGTGTAAAGTATGTGAAGACTTCAGAATCACACGAGGAAAAATTCCTGGAGCTTAAGCAGCAACTTCAGGTCCCCAGTGAAAGGAGCCTTTTTATTGATGACCAAACCAAATGGAATACAACATATCAAATGCTAGTTGCAGCTTCTGAACTAAAGGAAGTGTTTTCTTGTTTGGACACTTGTGATCCTGATTACATGGGAGCTCCATCTATTCAAGATTGGAAGCTTGTTGAAACCCTCTGTACTTACTTGAAGCCCCTTTTTGATGCAGCAAACATTCTTATCACAACAACTCGTCCCACTGCTATTACCTTCTTTCATGAAGTTTGGAAATTGCAGTTAGATCTAGCTCGCGCTGTGATGAACGAGGATCCTTTCATTAGCAACTTCACTAAACCTATGCAAGAGAAGATTGATAAGTACTGGAGAGAATGTAGTCTGGTTTTGGTGGTTGCTGTTGTTATGGACCCTCGATTCAAGATGAAGCTTGTCGAATTCAGTTTCACAAAAATCTATGGTGAGGATGCTCATATGTATATCAAGATTGTTGATGATGGAATTCATGAGCTGTTTCATGAGTATGTAGCCCTTCCCCTGCCACTGACTCCAGCTTATGCCGAAGAAGGAAACATGAAGGTGGACGGATCCCCAGGAGGAGCTACGTTGGCAGATAGTGGTCTCACAGATTTTGATGTCTACATCATGGAAACTACTAGCCAACAAAACAAATCTGAATTGGACCAGTATCTGGAAGAATCATTGTTGCCACGCGTCCCAGATTTTGATGTATTAGGTTGGTGGAAGCTAAACAAACTCAAGTACCCTACTCTTTCCAAGATGGCCAGGGACATATTATCCATTCCAGTTTCTACTGTCCCTTCTGACTCTGTATTTGATAAGAAAAGCAAAGAGATGGATCAGTATCGAAGTTCCTTGAGACCAGAGACAGTGGAGGCCCTTGTATGTGCCAAGGACTGGATGAAGTATGGAGCAGCTGATGCTTCGAATTTGCTTGTAAAAATGGAATACTAGATTTTAGGTTGTACTCTGTATGATATGATGGTAGGTTCTCTGGTATTTTTACATTTTGCTCTTAGTTCTCTGTTAGGCTATATTTTGTAACATTAATTTTTTTTTCTTTTGATAATTGGATGTCAATATTTAATTTCTAGTGAACCTTTGGTTTTAGTCCTTTAGATGCTAAAATAGATCTGCCTTTCTGTGACGCATCATTGCAAGTTGTGAATATACTATTGGAAAAAAAGATTCCATGAGGATTCAGGAGTTGAAGATGATGGGATTGGGCTGGTTTTGCCCCAAATGAAATAGGCATAATTCTGAGGTGTATCACATATGAAGTCTGCATCCTGTTGCCTACCATATCAAATATGCTTCCCAGCCTGCAATAGTGCGCTAATTTGCTGCCTTTTAATTTTTAAAATTTTCTTTTGGCTTCTGACATGTCTGTGCGGACTGAAACACTTGCAAGATAGCCCCCGACTGTATCAATAAACTGATATAAAATAAGGAAATATATAAGAGTAAACAGGACATACAGTTCTTGAGCAATGTTTTCAATTTTCAAAACTGAACTGATAGTTGAACAAGTATGGAGAGAGGATCAATACCAAGTCCATCTACAGCTGCCATGAGGAGGCAAAGAAAGCCCAGCTTACCCACACTTGCACTGGTTTCCATGACTGGTCCAGTGGTGGATGATAAAAAGGAAAGCAAAAGCATTCTGGTAAGTGGATATCCTAATTCGTTAGGAAAGCAAGAGCATCAAGTCAGTGCACATCATAATTTGTTTCTCCCATTATATTTGGCTGTTTCCTACTACTTAAGAGAATTGGGTATGCAGAGTATCTTACCTGGTCTTTCTGCTCTCTGTTCTCGAGTTTTAAAATCCATCGTCAACATTTTTTGTCCCAAGTTAATGGGGCTGGAAACATTGAGCCCGTAAGGTCCTTTAGTCACTTGCAATGCATTGAGGCATAGGAAGATGAACAAGACATGTATTTATCATTCTGTTGCAAAGTAGAATAGAAGGCCACAAGTCTTAAGTGGCTAGGATCTTGGTTCATTGTTCACCTAAAGCAAGGTCTTCAGATGGAGTATTGTAAATGATAAAATAGGCATTGAGAGAGTTTTGGCCTCTCCACTCGATTTGAGTCAAATTACTCATGACCCAAGGTTAAAATTAGGCTTGACTCCATTCCATAGCCAAAACATTAATTTTTTGTATAAAAAATATTAAGAATTTGTCACGATCATAGTAATGTTTATTCCAGTCAAAATAGCATAGGTTTGCAAGTGATTAGCCAGCTTTAAGATGTTATTATGTGCCATTAGAGTGACACTCTTACAACTATTTTGAAGGTTCATTTCTATGACCAGAACATTTGACATCTTACAGATATACCAAAATGTAGCTTCTTTAACCCCGTCCACATAATGCATGTTCTAATCAAATTGTTTATTTTACTTTACTTGTTTATCATATAATACAAAGGACTCATAAGCACTTATTACAATTTTCAGTAGAAGAGTCAAGCGAACATCATCGAATCTATCATAGTTTGATTGCCACCACTTGTCATAATGAAGTTTTATCACATAACGCTCATCAACATATACAACTCTCATCACATCGCATAAGTCTTATCTTTTCAATTTTTTTTATCATCAATTTTTCCGTTAAATTGTCTTGTGGGTTATTTATTCTTGATTAATCTTAGTCTCAAAGTTCCATAGTTTGTCTTAATCATAATTATTCTAAGTATCCTAATTGGGATTTTACAGAGTTGTTTTTTTTCTATATAATAAGTTATTAGATTTATTAAAAAATTTATAAGAACTTAATTCATTTATATTTTCTCTATTGAACATGTAACAAAATCTCTCATTCATATTTATATAAATAATAAAGAATTATTAACATTTTTTCCTCACTCACATATTTTTACCTTATTATTATCTTTTACCAAAAATTATAATTTTTACTAAGTATCAACCATCTTAAACAATCACTTTAAGTTCAAATCATATTTTTGTTCTTTTTTCTTCTTTTCTATGTTCCATGCTTTTTGTGTGTCAACTCGTACACCTTAATATTTATAATAGTGATCATTTTAACAAACATTTAATTCAATACACATCATTTCAACATGATTCATGCCATTTTAGCCATCAAACACATTTTATTGAGCTTAGACACATACTTTTTTTCTTAAGACTCCATATAATAAACATCCATTTTCTTTCTTACAACCAATATTTTAGCCATTAATACATAGAAGCTCAATGCTAATACATAACAAACATTTATTTTCTTTATAACCAACCTATGTTTTAGCTAAAAATTCATAGAAGAACAATGCTAATATATAGCCATGTGAATGACATCTCATCATAGTTTTATAAGCACAAGTATGGGTAAGACTTTTTCCCACAAAATACAACATTTTTCAACACAAGTCCAACCATGTATATATGATAAATATGACAAAAATAAAGTCAAAAAATAGTCTCAAACATGGACATCATTATGTCCTAAATCACCTATTAGAAGTCCCTTAGCAATAATTTTATTGCTAACCAAAACAACTAACAAATGAAGAACACTCTTCCTTTATACTTCTTGTAGTTTTTCACCTTTTCTTTATAAGGAGAGGGAGAATGAGAACAACTTTAATCGAGCTCCCATACACCAAAATGAACAGCCAAGAACATATCCAAAATAGAAATTGAGAAGTGGTGAAGAAAAAGGAAAAAAATTGAAGAAGAGCAAAAGTGGAGGTGTGAGAGAGAATGATTAATTAGGCCAAGATGAAAAGAAGAAAAAAGAAAACTTTTAAAGGAAGAGAGAGTATTTGCACAACCAATAAAAGTGAAAGGTGTGATTTTTTTTATTTTTTTTTATTTTTTTGCAATTTTATTCATTTATAGAGAAATAGAAAATAACCAAGGTTAAGATTATCTCTCATCAATTTAAATCAAGGTCAAAATTAAAAGACTTATTTAAAAAAATGTAATCAACATGATAATTTGTCATGTAAAACAGTAACTATTGGTTACATCCACAATGACTAGTTATGTCACAAAAAAGTATTTTTACTCCCAACTCTTATTTTAATTTTAAAAGTTAAAATCTTTGTAACAATAATAATAATAATAATAAATATTTTTGAGATTTCAAAACTCAACTATCCTTGTTCCATAGATATTACTACTAGCAAAATCTTACATTACACTAATTTATGATATTAGTGAAAATAATATAAAAAATTAAAAATTATCTTTAAAATAATTTTATAGATACATTTTTGAATTATGAAAAATTTCCAATAATTAAATAATTTTAGTGGGTACGAACAGTCTTGAGTTTGTTACACTGCAAATTTTTTTCACAGAGAGCATAGCAGATTTCCAAACCAATCCAAAACAATAAAATTGCCTTGAAATAAATCCAAACAAATAAACATAGCATCCTAATAATCATCAATGCACACTCGTACATAAAACAATCATCCTCATAGGATAATTTCTTAAACAATTGTTTATTTTACCCTAAGAGTTAATAGACAGAAATAAGAAAAAGAGAAGATGTTACACAAAACTTATTATTGTTTTAAATTTCAAAATAGTTTTTTTTTAGAACCTCACTATTCGTCTCTATCACATTTTGTTCATTCTCTTCACTCTTTAACTTGATTTATCTTTGAAAATGACGTTTTCATCAACATTTGTCAATCTATCAACGTTAATATTTTTTGGAAAATAAGTTTATGAAATTAGGATTCTACATTTTTTAAAATAATTTTTTGAAATTATATTTTCACACATTAAGAAAAATTATTAATCTTTTTCAAAAAAGTTTCCAAAATTAGAATTTAATGCTTTTAGAAATAATTTTCTAGAATTAAAATTTCACACTTTTATAAATTAATTTCAAATTTAAATTTTTACATTTTTAGAAATTAATTTTGAAAATTATTAATTACTTTTTGTAATAAATTTATAGAATTAAGATTTTCCACTTTTAAAAATAAAATTTGAGAATTAACGTTTTACCCTTCTTAAAATTAATTTTCAAAATAAACTTCTGAAATTAACCATTTTTATGTATATTTCCATAATTAAATTTTAGAAGCATTTTTTATATAAGCTTTTTAAATTTAATTTTCAGAAGCCAAGTTTAAGCATGTTTTCAGAATTAAAATTTTGAACTAAATTTGAAAAAATAAAAAATAATAATTTTTTTAATTATCGTAAAGAATATTAAAAATATCTATAATTATTTTAATGGGGTGTATTTTTTTTTTTTTGTTAACATGAAACCCCTGTATGCTGACTGACTACTCCAGGCCAGGCCATGAGGCCCAGTAGCCCACATCCCACCCTTAGCCTCAAATAAAATTAAAATTAAAACGTTAAATGTATATGTAATGATAAATTGGGAGTAATATAGAGTTTAGAAAAGGAGTTAAGTACAGAGTGTATATAGGGAAGGGAAAAAGAAGCTCAAGAGTTGCGAGTCATCCAATTTCATTTTGGTCGCTTACGCTCACGCAGTGTTTCTCTCTTCTTCGATTCGATCTTCCACTCCCAATGGCAACCCCTATCGACAACAACCCACCACAGGAAAACCCTAACAAAACCCTAGACCCCACCGACCCTAAACCCGACCCTCTGGCAGATCCAATCCCCACCGTCAACGACGCCGACGCCGCCGACTCCAAGACCATTCCCTCTGATGCCGGCAACGACGCTCCTCTTTCCGATGTTCAAAAGAAGATGCGCCGCGCCGAGCGATTCGGCATTTCTGTTCAGTTGTCCGAGAAAGAGAAGCGTAATTCACGAGCTGAAAGGTTTTATTATAATCTTTTCGATTTCAATTTTTAGGGTTCGATCTTTCTAGTTTCTAAGATGCATTAAATCATCCATGTTATTGTTTTATGTTTGTCTTGACTGCGCATTTTCTTCACTTGCAGGTTTGGCACTGGGTCCGCATCTCAGGGATCAGAGTCATCAAAATCGGAGGAGCTAAAGAGAAAGGCTAGGGCTGAGAGGTTTTCACTTTTTCTGATATTAACTCTGAATCATTTTTATTTATTTTTCACTGGGAATTGAGGAGAACGCTTTTACTGATCCTCCTTCACAGGTTTGGGATGCCTAGTCCATCTACAGCTTCAGATGAGGAAGCAAAGAAGAAGGCTCGGCTTGCTAGGTTTGCACCCGTTTCCAAAACCGATCCTTTAGAAGAAGATAAAAGGAAAGCAAGAGCTCTCAGGTGAGTGAGTGTCATAGTTTTTTCCTCCCATTTCATGTACACCCTTTTTCCTGTTGTTTATAAGAGTCAAGCATGCATGGACACGATGTCTTATTAGGTCTTTCTGTTCTCTGTTTCCAGGTTTTCTAATCCATCACCAACTTCTCTATCTCAAGTCAATGGCGAGGGAAAGCTTGAGCCGGTAAGACCCTTCAGAATTTGGTCATTTGGTCACTTTATAATCCATCATCATAGTTTTGTGTTGACTGTTCTGTTTCAAACAAGAAGGCAGCTATTGCAGGCAAAGCTGGAGGAGGGACCTGAATGACAGCTGCATCTTTAGCTGTAGGAAAGTTTTTGTAAGTCAATAGCCTGTTATCCTTTTGCTTTGCTATGTTGTATGCCTTAAATTTGGGTCTGATTTGTGATTTTATTTTCTCTTTGTTTTGTAAGCTTTTTTTTTTTTCCTTAAATTTTTCTGCAGTTTTAGTTTTTAGCAGTTCAAGATTTGCAGAGTGGCCTCCATACCGATTCTACTTTTCGTCATATTAATCTCCAGATGCATCTATATTTCATGGTTTACTGTTCCCTTGCTCTCAATGATGGAAAAGATTCAACTGGTCTGAAGAAGCTTGCTTTTATTTTTCTATTGTTGGCTTAATAGGTGACACCTTTGGGGTAATTAACGGCCATCTTCATAGGGTACTTACCTTAAAAGCAAAGATTTGAATTTTGGAATCTACAGCCTAAAAAAGAACAATGAACTAAGGTATGCTGGAACAATGGTTTTTATCAATTTCTTTCATCCTTATCACTGCAATTCACCAACACACTGTCTCTAATCTACTGCTTTGGAAATGCCCTTATCATTGTGCTAAAAGGTAATATCAATTTGGTTTTGTTGATCCAACATCTTGCTGATCCAGAATCTGTTAATGTTAGGATAGGTTTTGTTGCATAATTTGTCTTTGAGGAGTGATGATTAAATGAGGAAATAGGCGTTCAAATAGAATAGCTGCATATAGAATGAACTTGTTTCTGCTTAATGCTTAACAATTTTTGGGCTGGGGGGGGGGGGGTTGGAGGTAGAACTAGCATCATTTCGTTGTCATCAATATCAATTATGTTGGTTCACTTTTCTATTTTGCTTTTCCAATGGTTATACATCTAAATTCTCATTGATATGGTGTGGGTTTGAGATGCTATAGATCTAATTTCTCATTTCATAACCTACGTTTAACCTCATTGCCACTTTCAGAGTTCTATCGTGTTTAGGTTTTATTTTAAAGTAGATATTAAAGCACATCGCATGGATGAGAAGCATGTTTCTTGAAAACTGAATCAATAGACTGCGTTTTGGTGCTTTTTGAAATGTATCACGTTTAGTGTATTGCTGTTGCACGACTTTACTGGATCAGCAAGGATGTTGAAGCTCAAGTTCCTGGTACTATCTTTTGGCACTGATGAAATATTATGGGTGAATAATGGTAAGCTGAATGTTTCAAATGAAAAGTCAAGTGGTGTGGCTGAATTCTGTAAATGTTTTCAAGTCGGATTTAAAACTCGGTTTATTTCCAAGGCTGTAGCTTCCAATTTTTATTATCTTTGCTGTCGCCTTAAGATAAGTGAACCCTTTGAAGATGTTTGGCAGTTTACTTAGTTGCCAAAATTTAGGATTGTACATTTGTAGGACTGGATGTGGAGGGCGAACTCTGTACTTCTTTGCTTTATTATCTTGTAATTTATTTTTTTGCTTCTGTTTGGACCAAAGTTTGTAGAATGTGGATATATTCTGTTTCTCGGGTTAAAATATTTTGCCTAGCTAGTTTTATGCAAGGACTTCATGCGATTCATTTTTAGAAATGACCAGCCCAGTTTATGCAAAATAATATTTTCCCCTGCTTTGAGTAAATACAGTTACATTTAATTTTTCTCTAACATAGCCATGGAAGAGGACCACTAGCCAAAATAAGGGATATTATGAAGTTTACAAGTTCTTAAGTATAACCTGGGAATTTCCTTCCAATTCCCGGTCGAGCCTCCAAACCTGTAAGGAGACGGGGCGTTAAACGACGGATAGGCCTGATGGGCTATGGTAATGACCAGGATAGCGTTTATTAATGCCAATTTCATAATAAACGTTTAAAACTATTGGCTAATTAAATGTTTGATTGGTATTATATTCGGAGGGGTTATGAAATGTTTTCCACATGTTTGGTGATTGGTTTTTATGAGTTTCGATTTATTTTGTAGGATGGGAGTTTTTCTGTTTATCTCTCTTTCTAATTGTTCTACTAATAATTTTCTTATGCTATATTTATAGTTTATAATACAAGGAAAAGTTACTGGTCAGTGAATAATGGATATGCAATAACAAGTAAAAAAAAAGTCAATTAACTTCAAATGCTGGACATCGTCTCAATCAGTGATAGTTGATTGGCCTACTCTACTTTTAAAACAGCCTACCTTTTTACCTTGAAAAAAGCACACGTTACAATACACTTAGAAAAAGCAACAATATTTTCGATAAAACTTTTTTTTTTTTTTTTGTGGGGGCGGGGCGCACTTCGTCTTCAAGGCGAGGGACAATAATACATGACAATTAAAAGACATCAGCACCTGCAATGCCCACACGGACTAATATACATAGAAATTACTGAGCTTAGCTATTATGCATCTTTGCTTGAGCTTGAGCAACCTGGCGCTAGATTCATTGTCGTAGAAATCCAATTAAAAATTACACAAAAAAAATACATTTTCTAGCTAACCAGATCCTAAGCGGAAAAAGAACTCAGGAGAGAGGTCGTGGAACATTATATAAACTTGCTTGGTTAGTGATAATTGCTCATTTTTTTAAATTATTGCTCTTTTGGTAAATTAAGCTATGACAGCATAATGTCATACTACTAATGACTATTTTTTTGTGGGGTGGTGGGGTTGGGGAAGAACCTGTGTGGCTTTGCCTCTTGTTTTAATCTCTTTCGAAAAGAGTTATTCATTCCATAATAATCTTAAAACTTGAACCATAATCAGAGTCCGCTTTGGGGAAATGGAAATGATGCATTGCTGGTGTTGTGGAAGTGTGATATTATGTCATCTGCCTATCTGCTTTATACAATAATTCTGTAAACAAAGTATGAATGGAAGCCCATAATTGTTGGCCCTAAGAAATGGCAGGTCCACCTCCTTTGATTGAAAGAGGAGAACCCAAGAGGGAGCTATTATCAATGAGTTTAGGATTTAGAAATACAACAATAACAGTAATATCATCGTGGAAGTGTCTCCTCACTCCTTGTTCAATCTTTTGGAGGTCAGAGAATCTCATTTCTCTCTTTCTAGCCGCTTCTCGAAGTGCAGCTTTGACAAGCCTCCTAGCAATTCCCTGTTACACCAATTGTCAGAACAGACAGTGCATAATAAAATAACTGAACATCCTTCAATGGACACAAAGGAACCTTACATTCCGTGGGTTGTTGCTGACTATATTGACGGCCTCTTGGTTGCTGAGTTGGTCCCATAAACCATCAGAAGCAAAGATGATAAATTGATCGTCAGGATGCAGTTTATGCATTGATATTGATGGTTCATAACTAAGAATTGGCTTGAAGAATGGTTCCGGTAGTCTAAACTTCAATGGTAGAGGCTCCTTGTTAAACTCGCCTTTCTTCAGATATGCATCACCTATGGATCGTGAAACCTACAAAGGCTAAATCTGTTAACTTGGAATTGGAGTCATAAATAGTTCTTTGTTATGTACAAGAAATTACTTCTGCTCTATTGGTTGGTCTTTTTGCTTCAAAGGGTTTGGCTCTAGAATCTTACATGTGCTTGGTAACGATTAATTTTAGAGAAATAATCATGTTTTCTTTTTCATCATTTAAGTTTGAAAAAAGAAATTATTTCTAAATCATACTAACAATAATTTCTATGAACCTTTCAAATTTCTACCTGTATGATGCCTTTCACACGCCAAACATTGTGTTTCTTAACCACGATTTGTGAATCATAAGGGTGCTTTGACCGAAGTTCATCTCTCTCTGTTAGGATGTTTACGTTGTGTTCTGCAGATAATTGAATAGCTGATGTTTCCCTTGTAGCCCTCTCTGCTCTCCCCAACACTGCCCTTGAGTCTCCTGCATTAGCAATATATAGCATGCCATTGCAAATTATCCCCGCCAAGCAACATGTACCCGTGGATGCAATCTGTGGCTTGCTTAGCCACTGTTTCTTCACAACAGAGAGAAAATCCTCTTCTGTTGCTGCAAAAGCCCTTCGGATAACATTTTCTGAGATGCCTTGATGTTCAGCTGCAAAACCTGGTTCACACAAAAATGATTTAGCAGGTACCACCACAATAGAATAAATGACACAAGATTTCTCTTGTTATGAAGTTTTTTAAACAACTATATTTTTATTTAGTTCCACTTTTAGTCTTTTACAATTCAGTTCTGACTGTAAAATATAGGTACTAAATTTTGTTAGTTTTCAACTATGGTCCAAGTATGCGAGATCAAGATTCAATTGAGAACAATGTTTAAAAATGAGCTAGCAAAAGTTGAGAGCAACACAGAGAGAACTATACTTCTAAGAAATATATTTTTTATATTTTACAATAAAGTTGAGAGCATACTCTTGAAATTGCTGAAAAGATTGTCACTGACGAACTGAGAGGCCGCAGTGCCACCATGACCATCATATACACCTACATAGGTCCCTTGAGGACCAAAATAGTCAGAACTCAAGGGTCCAGATTCAAGTTGGCTACGATCCTCCAATGAACTATTAGCTTGAATAACAGCCATTGAAAATTCCCCATAAAGATGGTTCCCCAAATCCTTGTACCAAAGCAACCCCTCAACTCTCCCATTCACATCATCATCACCCACTACAGTTGGTCTCCAGCAGGATCTAACCATAGTTTATATGGCAACCTTTAAAGTAATTAAAGATCAAGCTTGAAGTGATTGAAATAAGATCAAGGTTTTTTAGATGCTTATGCTTCAGACGATCTCATTTACTCAAGTTATATACACAGGAGAAGCTGACATCATCAGATATGAACAAGTCTGAGCTAAAATCCAAACTGGTATGGGCTGAACTAACTGAGAAATGTACCTTGGGATGAGAAACCAAGTAGCTTTCATGCAAGTTCAGAGAATACTGAGACATGCTGGTTCTATGTACCTTGAACCTTTGTGGAATGCATTTAGACCATTGAGGTGTGCCATATTCCAGTAACAGACTTAGCTGTAAAAGCACATATGGACTCAATTTGGCAGAGTTGGTCTAAGATTTGAGTGATAAAAGGGAGCAACGGATAAGAGAAGGGTTTTGGATCTTTTTGACAGAAGATCTTCAGAGTACTGAGACTAGATCTAAGATCAGGAAATGAAAAGAGATTTAAACTACAAATTCTGACATTGTAATTCTTGTCCTTTCATTTGTCCCCATGTGATTTTAATGTTTTGTGGCCATGTGGGTTTCCAAGGTTTGCATGGTTGAGATTTGAGTTCCATCACATTTAAAAGCAATAATCCTCAGTATTAGGTAACTTTGCTTGTCTACTACCACTTTCCATTTTTCTGGGTAAACATAATCCTTTTCCTGGTTTAATTATGACCCACAATTTTTTTTGACCCTTTCACCATAATGGGTTCATGCACTTGATCATTCAACTGTAATAGTTCTCTCCAGATTTCTGTTAAATCACTTTGTTTTACTCAAGAATTCAACTGTAATAGTTCTTTCTAGATTCCTGTTAAATCACTTTGTTTTCCTATAGGTCTATATTTTAAGAAAAATATAAAATCTAGATGAGGGTAAATATATGATGAAGTTATACAATCTGAGTAAAATATGTTTGACAGTGGTCCTTTAACACTACTTGCCTAACTGATTTTGTGGACAAAACTGTTTGTGGACGGTTAACTAGATTTTTAAGTAAAAAGCATCGTTCACGTTTTCTTTTACCTAACAAATTTATCCAAAAAGAGAAAATGGAGCATAGTAAGAGCCATGTCATGTCAAATATCTACCAATGTAATACCAAATTTATTCACCCAATTTCTCCTGTATAGTCAATTCCACACGGATCAGCCAGACATTCGTGTCACCGACTAACAATATAATGAATCTGCATTTTTTTCTTTCTTTTCTTTTTCTGTTATAATAAAATTTAGATTGTACTACAAAGAGAGTAAGCCCATTTTGATGAACCTCACCTACTTGTATACATGTCTTAGTCTAATAAGCTTTGAAAGTTTTGATAGGTAAGTGTCACGAGGATACTTTAGCTGTTGCCATACATAAAAATATATGGTACGCGCATGAAGACACCTTGGAAATTGAAATCATGCATGCACTCTCTGTATACAATAAAGACTAACTTGCTTTTCTTATTCCTTTGTCAACAATATAAACTTGTGGTGGTCTCATTATTTGATGAACGTGTATTAGTTTGCTAGCCATAGTTTAAAGAAATAAAAGCGATTTCAAAACGGATTTATCCATTTATATATTGTGGTTATGGATATTGGCAAATTGGATGATGTTATGTATGGGTTCCACCTATAATAAATTGGATGTAAACTCATCAGGGAATGATTAGAAAACAAGACCGCATGATAGATCATATTTAGTTATAAAAGATTTTCAATGAATAGTCAGTCTAGAAAGGTGGGCCTCATCAGCTCAACCTCACTCGATATGGAAAAATGTTAAACATATATCCAAATGTAATTAATAATGATAGTTACATGTACTCATCCTTGAACATTTCTATCATACTCGTGTCAATGTTGAATTATTTTTTTTAAAATGAATTTATTATTGAACATTTATTTAGAGAGATACTTTAAAGATGATAGCTAGCATGTATAAAAGCCAATCTTTTATGTTAATTTTTCATTAAGATAAATAGAAAAATTTAAAGCAAAAATATAACAAAATTCGTTAAGGATATGATAGAGAAACATGTGGTTCTTGATCTTTCAAGCCTTACATGCACAATTCCTCTTGAGAATAAATAAACTTTTCTTTTCTGATAGCATGTCAGAAAGGGCGACTGTATTAAATAAAATGAAATGTCATCAATATCTGTAACTCGGTGTCTATGTTGTTCAAAATTAAATAAATTTAATTTTAAATCATTGAATTTGAATGAGATACACATCCATTAATTTAAAGCATATATTTTTATCAGAACATGTATTTTTTAATAACATGATATTTTTTTCAATTATAAAACAAACAGTCTCTCAAACCTTGTGAATTTATGAAAATATACTCCTTCTCATACTTTTTTGATATTCTTGAACAAGTTATTATTTGCGTTTTAATCTTGTCATAATATTTTTCAGAATGATCCAAATGGATCAACTTTAAAATCCATGAAGAATTTGAGAAAATTAATTATATGGAAGTTTATTCTTTTAAAAGAACAGTATTGAGATTTGCACACAATTGAGATTTGAGTGAATATCCAGTATCTTCCATAAACGTAGAAGATCTCAAGTCTTGAAAATAATTTATGTCATGATAAAGTATTAAAAATCAAATTCAAGCCATTGATTATCCACCCTTTATTATGTAAGAATAGAGATTATATTATTACAAATAAGAGTACAAGACATATGCACCAAAGTCCAGTCTAGTACAGATTAAAAGGACAAAGAAGATGCAAATTGGCTGAAACAACAGACACATAAGATCATACTCTTCATTTCTAAACAAAATCCCAGTGGGATGCCATAGAAGTTGCCAAGCAGATATTACCTGTCACCATCTGAAAGCTACCTTGAAACCGAGCCAAAATAATAGAATGGGTAGCAGTGCAAAGGACCAGTTCAGTTTTAAGACCCTAGAGGATCTTGATTTGTAGCAACACAATTATTAATAATAGTACATCTCTTAGATAATTATTAGAGCGCATGTTACAATGTCACAGGTCACTTTCCAGTCTTTACGAAGCAAGTCATAATGCTTCCTTCGTTTTCTACGCTTCTAAGACTAGTATATTAATTCTTTCGGTCCATTTTATAAAAATTTATTATTAATATTTTTTATTTTAATTATAAAAAATAAAAACTTATTTTAAATGTATTAATTATTAAATTATTTATATATATATATGTATAATACATAAGTCACTAATTTAATAATTTTATACTACAGATATTTTTAAAATATAGTATAAATTTATGATGTATAGTTATTTTTTAATAAAAAAAACTAGAAAAAGACAGTAGAAGTCAAACAAATTACTGTCCAAATCTGATATTCATTCTATTATGTCTACTTGACATATCTAGTGAATTAAATTAAATTAATTTTTTAAAAAAGAATTAATTTTAATCTGAACCAAATCGATTAAGGAACATAGTTTTGAGTTCAAAACCTAATAGATGCAGTTGTATTAACAATGATCCTATTCGAACAGAATTGTTTTTAGTAAAAAAAAAATTGTGTTTTTAGATAGAAAAAAAATACTAATGACCCGCACCAATAATAAAGGTACGTAAAGGCGTATGCTTGTTAAATAAGTTTTGATGTTTGGTTTAATGTTTGCAAACTTGTACATAGAAATAGCGTTAGTTGCAACTCAACCCATGCAAAATGTACAAGGGAAAGGTTTGGAGATTTATATACACAAAATTTTTTATTGTAATATTTATCATAATACCCTCTATCCAGTGTAAAAGTTACATTGTAAAGTTGATCCCGGTAAACTCGATCGCTTATCACCCATGGATATAGATATGCACATTTGTGACAGCATTGTTTTTGATTTTTTCCAAGTTAGCAGTATTATTACAAGTGGCCTGTTATGTTTGCCAGAAAAGTCGCAACAAATAATGGCTGTGTTACGATAATTTTGAGCTTAAACCATAAACCTATACCAAATTCAACATTGGGAGCCATCACAAAGAAATTATATTGAAAGATATAAATTATTCATCTAATATAATGTCTCCGCATGTTCAAATGTAATATTGTATCTGGGATTTGGATTATCACATATTTTCAGGGAAAACATGAATTGGGCTTGGATTTGAGTTGTAATCATCAGTACCATGAGAGTTATAGCCTTTTGGCAATGATTTTGAGGTTGAACATGAAAGCCTGACATATTGCCAAATGCCAAATGAAATCCAATAAATTAAATTAAAAGACCAGAGTTTTTTTATCAAATGCAATGACTCTAGCTACAAGTTCAAATTGGACACCTCACACCTGTTTTTATCATTTATCAAATTCTCTGAGCTCTTAGTTGGAGCATCATGTAACTGATAACCCCCCACTCTTTAGTAGTGAATGAACTATTGTTGGTCTGAATGAGTACATATTCTTCTTCAACATTATGGTTGTGGCACAGCATTTTCTAGGAAAGCTGGATTCATTGTATGAAGAGTTGTTTCATTTGCTTCTAAATGTCTGGAAGGTGTACAACACGAGGATGATCCACAAAAAAGTCCACATTTTTCGGACGAATAAGATTGCCCTGATGGGAAGGACATGTTGAAAGATTGAAACTTCCTCTTTAAAAGTTGAAGTTTTCTTTGGGCTTTGTCTCCTAGTTTGATCTCTTCTCTTAGCTTGTTTTCTAGCTCAACAAACTGTAAAGTAAACCACCCCCGTTTTTTCTTTTTTCAATTTCAGGAATCCTATAATAAAGCTCATGGAGAAATGCTTGAACATATTCGTTTAAACATATTCTTCAACACACTTTATATGATAGTCATTTTTTAAAATGTTAGAATTCTTACCTCATAAATTGATTACTCTTTTAAAGTTATTTTAATTATTTAAAAAATTGACCTTTCCCAAGAAGTATAATGAAAAATGTGTTTAAAAGAGTGCAACTATGTTGCTAACATCTTGTGAAAAAAATTTAAAAGGCTTCAGAAAACAGAACAGTAATGCCATTTTCTTTTTTTACAGTGATAATCTAAATTCTCACATGGATGGACAAAACAATTATTCATGATTGAAGCTAGCTAGCAATGTATGAAAATTACCTTGTTGCCCATTGATTCTGCTTCCTCTTTTGCTACCTTTGAAGCCTGTCTCTCTGCTAGTAACCTCCCTCTGAGGCACTCTAAAGTATTCAAACCATCAAGTCCTTCCATTTTCTTGCCACAGAGATAAACCATTTCAGAGATTAATGCGTATGAGAGAGAAAGAAAAGGTGACTCTTATCTAAAAGTCACTTTCTCTTGCGGTTTTAAGCTTCAGATCAGAACAGAAAGTGTTTCACTATCACTGTTTTTAATGATCAAGGAAAGGTGACTCTGGTTTGGTTTCTTTGTAAGGCGAATCCGTGTCATGCATGTAATGTTTAAATATTATTTTATCTTATTTATTTTTTTTAAACTTATTTATTTTTAATTTTTATACTCTTATAAAATTCAAGTTTTGATACTTTCTTATTGACTTAGTTTTAAAGAATTTGTCATTTGACCTCTTATTTAACTAGTAATTAAGAATTAAAATTGCTGAATTTTATAAAATTAACCAATTAACAAAAATTTAAAAAATAAAAATAATATTATTAGCATAAATTTTTATAAACAAAATTACATGTAAATACAATGTATTATATTTTTAATATATATTTATAATATTTATATTATATTTATAATTTTAGTGGATTGCTAATGTAAAATTTTTTACATTTATAAAATTGATGTAATTTTTATATCAATTATTATAGAAATCAGCAATTTTAGTTTTTGTTAATATTCGCCTTCTTGTTCTTGTTCACGAATTAGAGTCACAGCCACGTGATTACCTGAAATGTTTTTAGTTTTTTGAAAAATTCAGTTAGTTTATTTTGAATTTTTACTTTTTAAATTGGATCAAATTGATTTATAACACTCCTAAGTTTAATAAGAAACAAAGGAGAGATTACTGGGTATAGTTTGTGATGTGGCCATAGATAATATCATTCTGTCGTCTAAAACGGTTTAGCTCACGCAAAGCAGCCGCAAGGTTGTCTTCAAAGTCTCCTTGTTTGGCAATGTGCAAGTATTAAACAACTTGAAAACTAGTCAGTATTAGTTACTTCCAATATTCTGATCTCTTCATAGCTTTTGCAGATGACTAAGATTGTGTAGACTTTGCATCGTTTGCCATTGTAGGTATATGAAGAATTCAACTGTTTTTTTCTTCTGTATAAAATAAAAGGAAAAGATAAATAGAGTTGAATATAACTGGATCATATTTTTGCGGCTGTGACGAGAATCTCGGGCTCCGGCATTATATGATCCATTTGGTTGTGGTCTGAACTATTTAGTTTGGTAATGGCAAGTTGCCAACTCCTTATTGAAGATGGGCTTTGTCTCGGTGAAGTTGAATGAGGAAATAAATGAGAAAGGGAACTTTGTAACTTATAACATCGACTTATTTTAGGTACATTCTTTTGTCCTTCATAAATCACTTCCAAAAGAGAGTTTAACACATTCCAAAAATTTAATGCTGCAAGTTATATATAAATCACTTTCAAAATTAAATTTTTTTAAAAAGTTTCAGAATTATAACTAATCAGCAATTTAGGTTGCGAGGCTACGGATGCAAACATTTGCGTTAGGTCGCACTATATGGTTTAGTATGTTCAGCGTAGTGGCTAGCACTCGTGAATGACAACAGAACAAGCAGAATGATAATTTTCATCCTTTACCCATTATATCATTAGCTGGCTCCTTTTGCCACCTATAAAATGCACCAAAACAAAATTGCTATGCCAGCTAAAAGATGTAGAAAAATCAAACATCAATATATTATAATTGAGCATCTTCCCCCCTTGTTTTTGTCGTCCTTCACTTACATGCACACATTCATATCTTTCAAGGCATGGGGAGTGGTTTCCTACCCTCATGGAAGTCAGCACATAATTACTTCTTGTGCGAGTATGTTTAAATGACATTGGATGCTATATTAGCAAGTACTTGGAGAGACAATAATGGGTTGAAGTTGCAATTGCCTCTCATCACCAACATGGCGACCTCACAAAACAAAATTAACTTGTACCTTCAAGCTATTCTTAAACTGAAACGTGATTAAAAAAATGTGGGTTCCTCTGTCATCCTTCTCAATCTCATGATTACGCCATCTGATACATAACACCATCTTAAATAGACTAATGGGGTTAATAAAATCTCTCTATGTACCTCATGAAGTAACTTAGACAAACCTAATACAATCAACATGATTTGTCTGAGATCTCTATCAAGCTACTTTTTGTTTGGTTAAAGGAAAAAATATATATGGAAGGGATGTGAGAGATCTTCATAAAAAAATTATTTGGTTCCAAAATTTAGAGGAACGAAAAAAATAAGGTCGGTCAAGATCTCTCGTCTCACCTTTTTACCTGTCAGTTATAATGATGTTGAAAAGATTTTCTTTTTGAAGAGCAGGAAAAAGACAGAGAATTCCAATCAGGCCCTGAACAATTGTTTGGCGGTGTTCATCCAGGAGCGAGCGTTCACCACACTTAAGCCCAGTTGGTGTCTAAATTAACAAGTCATTTCTTGAATTTTTTATCAATAAGATCCAGATTTATCTAAACCTCCGATGAGCTTAAAATTTCAGTAACAGAAAAACAAAGATAATATCATCAGCACTCCCCCCAACAGAAAAATGACTAGGCACTTTGCTGGAGTTCATTGACTATATGTCTTCTTAGGTTCATAATCAATAATCAGCGGCATAGATTTCATATAGACACATGTGACAGAAAGAAAATGTGTTCCTAACCTAGAGACCCCACACCCTAATATAGATTGACATTTTATCTCCTTTAAATGAATCCATTTAACTTCACTCGGGCTAGTTAGATTCAAAATTAGTTATAAGGCATCACAATCACCTTCAGAGCAATTCTTGCATGTATTATTATTATTAATAGTAACGTGTACTGAAGTCTTTGTCCAAGTTATTTTATTTATAGCTTTTAATTAGTTATAACTAACTATAAATAATTTGCTCATGCAAGATTGCTTTCACGTTGCGGCTTCATCAATGATCCCTAATTAATGAGCACAAGCTAGCTGCCAATATACTATTGTTGCTCTGAGTCAGGTTTTCTTCGATTATGGGGCATCCGCGCGCAGAAAGAACAAGTGCCAAACTAGAATCTCTATGAACAGCATAATTAATAAACGATATAATTGCTGTCCAAATTGTTATGCTTCTTCATTGTGATATATGATTGATCAAAAGCCTAACTTAGTTTGCCATGAGTCTACAGCAATGACAGTGGCAACATATATACTATAAGCTTACATTTCTTAAATTAAATCGACGAGTTTTTTGGGTATCGTACCAGAAATCATATGAATTATGTACTCAATACTGGTTTTCTATTTGATAGATAAACCCATAAACCACGTACCCTGAAATTATTGTGGCGTAAATAACTAGGTCTTCTCATTTTTGTAAAAGATGTATAGATGATGATCAGAATCCAAACTAAACTAAACCGGGGCACACTTTACGTGCGTTTCAATCACGGCATTGCAACCGTGGAATGTGAACAGGCCCACATGACTAGGAATAAACCGTGCCACACCCAACATGTTTCATAAAACCCAATCTTTAGAGCATCCTGTCGTTGAACAAGAAATCAAAATTAAGACAAGATCAAAAGTAAATATAAAAAAAGTGGGCGTAAAAATAATAATAAAAGAAAAAAATTTCATTCTAACATGTTGCTCACAAGTCCAAGCTCCTTATAATTATTTCCTAAACTTTAAATTTTTTTATTAGACGATATCACTCTTTTTTTGTTTACCGCAAATGTCAATTGTAAAATTCAGATCGAAAAGTAATAGACGCAGTTGATGGAATGAAATAAAGAAGTAATGATTAATTTTTGTTATAAATTCGCTGATAAATAAATATTTGTGTCTGTAATGTTATTACTTTTTTAAATAAGTATATACAAAATATAATTCCGTCGCAATTTTAAAACATCTATTTTATTTTATTTTATTGTTATAATAAGCTAATTGTAAATTGTGTAATGATATTTTTAATTTTAATATAGAGTTGATAAAATATTATTTGACCTATTTAAATAGGACAATCGCAAAAAAAAAAAAAAAAGAAGTTGAATTTAATTTAGAGTCAAAAGTGATACTCAAATTTAAAAAAAGTCATGCTTTTTTACTTGATTGGATAGCGTTAACAAAGACTTGTATTTAATTCATATTCAAAATTTAAAACTTAGCTCTTATATTTTGTTGTGTGAATTCAAATAGTTTCACTGAACAAACTTATTTTATCTAATTTATTTTAATACATTACATTTTTAGTTCAGAATTTTTTAACATTTTTATTTTACTAGAAATACATTTTTAAGTAGGTATAATGTGTAATCTTAAATCCCTTTTATTCATCACAAAAATTCATGTCACTTTATTTAATTTAAAAATTATTTGTCTTTACATAAATCAAACTTAATTTATATATATATAATTTGAAAATTTACCTAATGCTTGATTGAGAAAGTAATTATTTTGTAATAGAAAAACTTGAAAAATATGAATTTAGGATATTAAAGGGAAAGACCCTATCAATGAAACGGCGCGTTTATCCTGCGAAGATGTGTCATCGTCATCTTCTTCCTCAATTTTGTTAGGGTTTTCACTCTTGCGTTTTCTTACACTCACGAGAGACCGTGGGTGAGGGGAGCAAGAAATAGTGCGTTCTGAAAATCCCCTATTCGAACGCAGGAAACGGCTCAGCAGAATTCTGGTCGCAAGTCCTTCCCAGGTTCGTCTCTGGTCTGTTACTGTGTTATTTTCCCTTTGATTCATCAACAAGACAAAGATTTAGTGTCTGTTTGTTTTAAAGTTAGATGAAAGTGATTTGGTTGAATTGATTTTGAATAATTGAACATAATCTTGTCATGTGTTTCAATTAATTTCAGTTATAGATTTTGTATTAGAAAGTGGGTACGATAGGAGGACTTAGTTCTGGAAGTTTAACAAAGACTTCCTTAGTTAGCTTTTGTACCAAACAATGAAAGAAGACTTTGGCCACTTTCTGATTGCAATTTAAGTGCTTCTCTAATCTGACATTAATGCCTTAAATATATAAGCTAATGCGGAATCTAGACCTAAGGAGGTTACAGGTTCTCTTGTGAAGGGAAAAACAATGATGATTTATTTGGTAGATTTACATCCATTTCTTTCTACATATAAGTTAATTATTATTAATTGCACTCTGCACCATTTTTTTTTCTTTTGTTTACATCAAACATTGTTAGAATATTCTATCCAGGCTCTGGATTATGATATCCCATGGCGATTTTGCAGGATCACAAACATGTTATCAAACACTAATTTTGTTACCTAATGTTCATGAATCATGCATGATCTAATCTACAATCTCCCTGAAGTTGTAAATTGTGGAGTGTAGACCCAGGATTATCACTTCATATTCAATATGATTGTTTACTGTGTTGCTGTAGGTTTTTCAGAAAGAATTTTTGAAATGGAAGGCAATGGAAATAAGCAGGAATCATCAAATGCTTCAGCAACAGGGGTTTATGAGTTGCCTGGGGAACCTGCTATTGTAATTAATGGGGTGCCAGACATAATCCCCGGTGCCAGCACTATCCCTCCCAGTAATGCTTCAAGCACAGTTCAAACACACTGGCCTTTCGGTTTGGGTGAATGGTTTGAAGGGAGGGAAGTCCGGAAGTGGTTTATGGGAAGATATTACTCGGGTACAGTAACTGATTATGACAAAGATTCTGGGTGGTACAGGGTTCACTATGAAGATGGTGACTCGGAAGATCTAGATTGGCAGGAGTTGGAAGAGGTGCTTCTTCCTTTGGATGTTACCGTTCCGCTTAAGGCATTGGCACAGAGGATTGTTAGGAAAGGCACGAAATCTGTTCCTAAATCTGTGAAGAATGTAGCTCATTCACAAAATCCCCAAATCAAAAGAAGGTCAACAAAAGGAAAGTAGACCATACTTCCATAGCAAGAGGCTTTAGTAGAAAATTTAGTGATTTGTAGATATAATTACATAGCATGTAACACCAGGATTGGCACATTGAGAAATTAACCAATTTTGAAATTGCTCAGCTGAAAGAGCAATTTAGACATTGGTGCTGTTGGAAATTAACAAATTTGTTGTAATATTGGGGATTGCTTGTTTTTGTAGTAGGGGATTTGGTCCCTCGGAAAATTTCGTAGTTTGTTGTAGTCATGGTGATGATATTGTGTTTTACCTGGTGAATTACATTACTATCATGGCGTCAACAAGATCTGCTATGATGCTCTGGTCTATGTAAAATATAGGCAGAAGAAGTTATATTTTTGTATCATGCAGAGAGAGGGGGGGGGGGGGGGGTTTGGGTTCTGAAAGTTAAAATGATAGACACCAAAGAAACAAGTAAAAGATTTTCCGTCGTTAACCAGTAAAAAATCTGAGATCGACACGTGCAGGCATTTATATTGCACGAGTAAACAAATCTAATTATATGTTAAATAAGAGCTTTTATTTAGGAAATTAACTTGAAATCAAGGGATCAAATTTTGCTTTTAGTCGATCTCCATGTGTAGATGCATGCGTGTATTAGTGTAGTGTTCTTGGGAGCAAGAGTAAATAAATCGCTTCCTTATTAAAATATATTAATAATGTTTGATAGACATGTTAGAACGGAACACAAAATAAGAAACCAGTGGACGGGGGCGTAGCTGCCTATGCTTGCTATACAGATAACGTTAACAAGTGGAATGAGAAGATTGTCATTCACTAGGGTGAGACTTGTTGATGGCTTAATGAAATGGTTGGATTGCCGATGCTTGCTTTAACGAACAGGAACTGAAAGGAAGAGAGGGGAGGAGGAGAAGGCAGCACCAACCCGAACCAATCTTATTGAATTAGTTCCCCTCGGAATAACTAAAAATATTTGTAAGAATCGAATCAACGACTTAATCTTTATTGCATTAGACTTTTTTTTTTTCTGAAATCCGACATAATATGATTCAATTACACCGTTAATTATAGTAAAAAAAAAACCGCATATAAACAGTATTAATGGGATTGAATTGGAGTGTAATTTATATATAGTAAAAAATGGGAGTTCTTATAATTTGTCGGGGTGAACGTTATTTATTATGGTTAAAGAAAGCAAACAGTAGTGTCACATGTAAAAGCGATAAGATGATGATGACATGTGGCCGTACAGTACCTAAACCACCAGAATAACCAATGACCAAATAAGTGATAGCTGATAACTATGAACACGGACAGGTCATAGACCCACTAACACGATGCCAAAAGGCCAAAAAGGAAGAACGATTTTGTCAAACTTACTGCACTAACATAACATGCGCCGTCCCAGACCGCCTTCGGACATGGGTCCAACTGGCCCACTCGTTAATGTTACCGTCCTCGGTCGTACGTACGTCCCGTTAGTTTCACATAACTGTTTATAAAATTTATGTCTTATAGAAAGGTTCTCGAAAAAGTCGTGTATTATTCTTTTACCTTAGAACTGTGTAAAAGTGATATAATATATATGGCGTACGAATTTAGAAATGGTTGGGTCCCACCATTAATGAAAAATAATAATGAGTCCTTGATTTGATACCTCATAAGCAACTGCTGAATCAGTTACGCTCGTCTGGGGAAGGTCGTTTCTGCTTTTGGCCTTCCCATGCGGCCTTAAAGCAACGTTTTGGCCTACAAACTGAGCATAGCGTATTATCATCGCAATGGAATCCTTCTTCCTCCTAGCAGCTCAGAACCACCCATTGCAGGCCATGGATTGGGATTGGTCATGGCTGATTGAGTTTCTTAAGGGAATGGTGAATCCTGTGGCTGCCACTGCGGTGGTGTTTCTCGCTGTGGCCTTGTCCTTCCACCAGAAGCTAGGGATGGAGATTGAGATGGTCGTTGCCATTGTGAGGGCATTTCTTCAGCTCTCTATTATTGGCTTTGTTTTGCAGTTCATATTCAACCAAGACAACGCTGGATGGATCCTTCTAGCTTACCTTTTCATGGTAGTCTTTCTTCTTTCTTCAATCTCTCCTCTTTCAATAATACATATACTATATATTCATTACTTACATTAATATTTTTTACAAATAAAATTATAGCCTTTTTTTTTCAATCTTTCTATAACATTAAGTTGATTATCAAAGGCTTAACTCGGAGTTTGGATTGCTTTCTGTAAAAGATATCTATTATATGCCTTCGATTTTTATACACCTCAAGAGGACACTTGACCATATATTTAGATTGCGTATATATTAAAAATAAAAATAAAATAATATTAATTAATCGCAACTGATCTTTAACGACCAACAAGTTGGTGGTCTTAAAGATTAAGTTGATTATCAAAGGCTCAACTTGGAGTTTTGTATAAAAACAATTTATCCAAAAACTTAGTGTTATATACCATAGAGTAAATATTTTAGTTTGAATTAATTGCTGTTATTAATTTTGGTGTTTTTATCTGAAACATTATGATTTTGTTTTATAGGTGTCTGTTGCTGGTTATACTGCGGGTCAGCGTGCCAAACATGTTCCTCGTGGAAAGTATGTGGCTGGGGCTTCAATTCTCACTGGAACTGCGGTGACTATGTTCGTGCTGGTTGCACTGAGTGTGTTCCCTTTCACTCCAAGATATATCATCCCTGTAGCAGGCATGATGGTTGGGAACTCAATGACGGTAACCGGAGTTACCATGAAGAGACTTCGCGACGACATTAAAACACAAATGAACTTGGTATGTCTTGTCCTTGTCAGTGTTCTAACAATAAATTAATCAATACAGTTAGATGCTTGCAAGTTGCAACTTGGCTATGTGAGATGAGATTTGCGCGAATTTGAACAGATCCACACACGCATGAAACAACAATAACAAAAGAAAGTTCAAGTCAATGATAAATATCCGCCACTTTTAACTAGAACCACAAAATTTAAGATTAGTTTATTGATGTGTGTGTTGTCACCTTTGTGTATTTATTGTCATTGTTATCTAAAATATATTTATATTAAGTTGATTAAAAATATGTATATTTCAGATAAAAATTATTTAAATAGAAGTAACAAATACATGAATAAAATTTATTTAGTAGTCATAAAATAAAAACTTAAAAGTGGAATTCATTGCATAAAAACTATAATTAATTAAGAATTGATTTCAAACGGAGTATAATAATTAATTTTGTCATGATTACCTTTTACTTTTGTGCAATCATTGTCATGTTACGCATGTATGAATGTTATTCTGTGGCAATATTTTATTTTGGGTGTTATATTCATTGATCAATTACTATAAATAACATAGGTATGGTTGACTTGAGATAGATCAATGAAATGGTCTTTTGTATATTTATAAAACTGGTTGGTATGGGTGACTTGAGATAGATCAATGAAATAGTCTTTTGTATATATTACAGGTTGAGACAGCACTGGCTCTTGGTGCAACCCCGCGACAAGCAACGCATCAGCAAGTGAAAAGGGCTCTAATCATAGCCCTTTCTCCAGTGGTGGACAACACCAAAACAGTGGGTCTAATATCCCTTCCGGGGGCAATGACTGGTCTCATTATGGGAGGGGCTTCACCGTTGGAAGCCATTCAACTACAGATTGTGGTGATGAATATGATGATAGGTGCAGCAACTGTTAGTAGCATAATGGCTACATATCTATGTTGGCCAGCATTCTTCACCAAGGCCTACCAGTTGGAAACCAAAGTCTTCTCAAGTTGATTCCACGCCTAATAACTTGAATTTGACCCTTTCAATTTCCCTCTGACCCGGGATACAGCCTTCGAATTTCGGAAAATGTGTTCAGCTCCTATTGTAAATGACCGGGTTTTTTAATTTTTAAATTGCTCAATTATGAGAGAATCCGGTCTTAATTGAGAAACAATCTCCATTTTTTTTTTTTTAGCTTTAATCAGTAGTTAAATATGCTTTTCCATACGCTCCCATTGCTTTCTTTTCAGTATTTTGGTGCACTTTGCCAGCACACTAAACAAATGATTGCAGATCTATCCACGTTGGTAAAACCAAGCCCTACATTGGAGGGTAATGACTGAATATAAAGTAATTACAAGGGTATAATGTTTAATTTGTCTAGGTAAATATTTAAATAATTCTCTTAAGTTGAAGTCAACTTTGCAGAACCTAATATCTAACCAAGGAGTTGGTCGGATCAGAGCAAAATCTAATAAGGCTTGCGGCTTAAGACCCAAAGTCTGAAAGGAAAGGCTTGATGAGAAAGAGACTTGAGCAAATGTTGCAAACTTGTTCCTTAAGAAAAGGAACACAAGTCTATGGATATATGTAAATGAAGATATACTTATGAGCTCTAAAACTCATTTAATGTACAAATTCCAAGAGTCTATAGGTATGCCCATAAAAAGTGAATATAGTTAAACCAAGGGGTGCCAGCCAAAGTCCAAATTACCTACACATTTATCCCCTCCCTTCTTTACTTGAATCTAACTTGGTAACATTTTCCTCACTCTCCCCCATAAAAAGACTTCGATGGACCCCATCATAATTCCAACAGTTTGTATGCCCATACAACGATGAGCAATTAATTGATTGTAAACTACTTGAAAGACCTATGGTCGCAAGAAAAATAGTACTTGCTGGTTTTGCCAAGCATTCTTATTATACTTCTCTGTCTTAATAAAAAAAAGATTGGAATTAATATTGGCAGACATTCTAATTACGTGTAATAATTCAAAATTAATTCTATAAAAAATAACTAGATGGATGGACAAAGAATATTTTCTTAATTACGAAACGAGTCTTTTTACAATAAAAAGGATGTTAATAACTTTTTATTTTTTATTTAATAAATTTATAAATTTCATAAAATGATATGTTATTTAATATTATCGTTTTGCATTTTTAGAACAAGTGACAATGACAATGAGCAATATTCTAACCGTAAAAATTTATATCAATTAGCAATAAAATAAGCTGCCAATTAACAACGCATATCAGTTATCAGAATGGTAATATATTTCATATTATTGATCAATAATTTACTAATCTTTAACGACAGGTGTAATAGTAAAACATAACTAGCTTCCATCACAGCAGCACAACTTGACCAATTAATATTCAAGTTGATTCCATCCTATAAATGGGAAACGCATGGAGCTTTTTCCGACTGCAGAATGGAATAATCATGTTCAATTTCTGTTATTCCAGCATCCATTAGCTAAAATTATTAAGTATATTTATTTTCTTATGTTAAAAAATTTCCTTAACCAAACAAGATAAACTTAAATTTTTTTTAATAAAATAAAATAATCATAAAACATTTAAGTAATGAAATTCTAAAAATTTAACATTAACTAAACTCCTGTACAATCTAAAATTAACTTATGAAGTAGAGATAAAAGAATATAAGATATACCACCAAGCACATGAATTAATAGAAAGTTATTCTAATAACTATACTACATATTTAGAGCAAATATATGAGTTCATTCAATAAACCTTTCTCTCAGGACCTTCCAGCAACAATGACGTGGCAGGATCTTTTGTGTTGGTGCGCAATGCGCATACTGGGTGGGACCCACCATATGGGATCAGATTCCAACCTATAAAGCAATTGCGACGCGACCAAGTCACTCTCCCTCTTCCCGCGCTATAACCTTCAACGTCGTCGTTTAACCATCTACGACATACACGAACGCAGCACAACCTCTGAATCTCAATTCCTCCATTCAAACATATTTTTTATGTTCCTCGTTGATCAACCACTGCCAACCTCGAAATTTTCTTGCCATGTCGTTTCGACGTATGCGAAATTCTAGGGTTTCTCATCTCCTCTTATTATTCTTCTCCATATTCCTCACCTGTTTTCCAGGTAAGAAAAAACACGCAAACTTTCTTTCTTTCATTTGTTTATGCTTCGCGAAATCTAACGCGTATACAACAGGGTTGATACTATCTGCGGACGTAACGCTAAGCTCGATCGAGATCTTCACGACCCACGAGTGGCTAAGAGCCACTCCAACTGTTTATTTTCTATGCATAGGGGGAAACAAGACCCTTTTGCCTGATGTTAAGAAAAAACATGTCTTTTACGCGTTTAAGGGTGAAGAGTCTTGGCAGGTGAGGTTCCCTAATGTTGTATCCTCGCTCCATTTCGGTTTTTAAGCTTTTAGTTAACTGCTTTTAATTAGAGATTATTTAACTCTGCTAACTGGCTATTGTCTATATGTATATAAGTTTTATGATAAATAAATTGGTAGTATGATATATATGTTTATTTAGCCAAACAATTTTTGTTTTAATGTAGGTAGCTAGCTCTTCTGATTATATGAAAAGAACTATTATGTTTGTTAGGGATTTGCTTAGTAAACTGTAGCATAGTTATTAAACTCAAGTGGCTTTGCATTTGTAGTTTCAAGTGTTGCTGTTTGGAGCAGCTACTGATATTTTTTGGCTTTGTGCTTCCAGCCTTTGACTAATTTTACAGGTAAAAAGTGCAAGCGATGTGGATTCTATGAGGAAGACAAAATTCTTTCGGATGATGTGTTTGACGAGTGGGAATTGTGTCCTTCTGATTTTGTTGGCCCGGATGGTAGATATGTCCACTTCAAGGAAAAAGAATTCAATGCTAGTTTTCTATGCCCCGAGTGCTTGTCTTTTTCTGCAGGTGAGTGTCTTGGGACCTTATTCCTTTGAAATCTTCTCTTACGGCTATTGTGCTATTGGACCTTGCGGACAACTGTGTTACTGAAAACATCAATGAATTATTCTAAAGAAGTAGTTGTCACATAAATGATGCCCACTGCAACAATTATAAAGTAATAAAAAGGAATTAGTTTCAACTTTGATGAACTGTTCTTTAAATCTCTAGTATATTGCTTACATATCAATGTTGCTGTGTCAGAAAAAGGCAAATAACCTCAATCATCTATGTATATTGTAATTTATCAGTGTTTCTCTTCGTTGATAACTTTTGTATTTAATTCAAGTATAATTTTGTTAAGATTCTGAAGGAAATAAAAAATCATCTCGCATTTTTTCCCCATAACAAGGTGCATAGGCTTATTTATCTTTAACTTAATTTGTATACGAAGTATGTTCAATATTATTTATCAGTGGGGTGAGGCTTGATTACTTGCTGTGAGTATTTTCTTTTTAATGTTGATTTATTTTGTCTTAGTGGATCTGTGAATTACTGGGCATGCCCAAAATAAGTTTGCTCCCCTTCCTTGCATTTCTGAATTACTAAGCAGCTGTTTGGTTTAGAAATTGCTCACTTTTAATTACAAAACTGCTACATTGTTTTTATTATTTCTTGTTTTCAAATATTTGTATATAAACAGTAAAAATAGAAATAATAAAGTTTTTTTTAGTGTTTCTTATGCAACTCTTTGAAAATAAAAAACAAAATGAAATTAAGATGACAATTTTGAAATTAAAAGTGAAAACAAAAACTGTTCTCTGAAACCAAACAGCCCCTAACCTTTAACATTATTTTCCAAATTATTTTTCTTAGGTGTATGCTTGCATCTATTCTTATTTACTTGCCAATCTCTGCAATCTTATATGTTCGCTAATAAAAATTGTGTTCATGTGTAGGTTCTATTTCTGCACCTGCTGGGAATCATGTTAAAAAAAGAACGAATGTAGCAGTTGTGATTTTATTAAGTATTTTGGTTTTAACTATATTGGTCCTGGTAATGGTGGGTGCATACAAGTATTGGCAAAAGAAAAAGAGGGAGCAAGATCAGGCTCGATTTTTGAAGCTATTTGAAGAAGGAGATGACATTGAGGATGAGCTAGACCTTGGCCCTATGATATGATAGCAAACGAATTCCCTCCTGTACAGTAGATTTTCCTCACAATTTTGTTTATGAAAAAAGTATGTGAAAATATTTTCTTGTTTGATGTGCAACATTCAATATAAGTGATAGTTGTCAAAGTGGACAGCGATATGTTATTGTTCATATTACCTGCACATAATACACATACTATATATGGCTACTGAAAACTATGCTTTCGTTGATTCTTCCATTTTCAAAATCTACCAGTGGAACTATGACCCAGATGCTGCTCAGGGGCTGTATTTGTGTTGCTTAGCACCTATTTTCCTCTCAAAAATTAAGAATTTGACTCCTCTAAAGTGAGGAGATAAGTAAAGCAAGAAAATGATAATATATCTACTTTTGACGTACTGTTAATTATGTTTACAACATGCTAGAATTTAAATCAATGGTATATAAACTCATTTTTCTTACTTTACACGTTAAATTAAAAATTCTGTCTTTCTGGAGATCTTGGGAAACTCTAATGACAGCTGAAAACTGTGATCAGATGGAGCGAGACTACTTAGTTATGACAAAGGAAAAGAAACTCTTAAACCAATCCCTGATGTAAATCTAAAATTGAATGCGGTGCTAAGTAGGACGTTGCCCACAAGTTCTTGTTCGCTGAGTTTCTTTGTTCACAATTTATGAAGCAGACGAAAAAATTGTGACATGAGAAAAAAAGCGTGATTCTTGAAAATTGTTTAGAAGACAGCTTAGAGTTTCCATCATGGATTCAATTTATATGAAGTTTCAATAGGTTGTAGTTGGCAAATCAGAGCTATCCAGAAATTCAGATGTTTTATTTTTAATGACAGCAGATCTACTCGCTAACTTAAGGCTCATTCATCCTAGAAAGGTAAATTAATTTAATTAGTGAAGTTTCAATTGAAGAAAATACGAATCCTAAATTTCAGAACTGCAGCTATCGGTTGTTGGAAACTGGATAGCTCTGCTACAATGTTTATGTAGTGATGAATGGCCATCGGAAAGCATTTACTGATCATTAATTTATGCAACACTCGTTTTCATGGATACGAGTACCACTAATATTTAATACAATGTTGTTCTTTTGTTATAAAAAAAATTGCACAATACTCGTGTGTAAAATAGTTTTGTATTAACTAACAGAAAAGATGTTTTGCATTATGGGCATATTTGAGTAAATTTTCGAAGTTCTTATATATAAAATATATAAAAATAAATAATTTTTTTATAAGTTAGAAAAATAATTATTTTTATCAGAAATTCTCTTCTTTAACTTTTTAAAAATTAAGTCATGTTTCACTTATGAGAAGTTTAATTTCCTTTTTATATTATTTTTTCATAAAAATTATATTAAATGTTTTTCTTATAAGAACTTCTATGACTTGTGTAACATTAATTTGAAATATTTTAAAAGAAATAGGGTGCTTTAACAATATTAAATTGATTTGCTAGTTTAGGCCTTGTGATTTCATGGTTAAACAAGTTTATATAAGTTAACTTAGTTGTTCAGTAAAACTAATTATATAACTAACTTAAATATATCAAAATTATTTTGTGAATGTAAATTGTTCTGAAACTTTTAATACATATAAACAAACACACGCTCACATATATATTAAAAGCTTAAAAGTTAACTTACCTAAAATAACTTTAAAAAAACTTTTCTTTATTATTCGTCAAACAACTTTAATAGATTATTGAAAAAAAAAAACCTACGAACTGCCAAACAACCATAAAAGGGGATTCAAAACATGCTAGATTTAAATTTCTCACAACAATTCACATTGGTTTAAATTATGCTAACACTTGAAACAAATTCATGCACTTTATATTCTAGGTAAGCCACGCATGTTGCTTAACCAGCAAGAATCTGAAAAATAGCATACATAAAACGGTTCTTCATAAACAATTGTCACGGAATTAAGCTAGAGTGCACTGCATAAACAAAGCAGATACAAACAGATGAGACACATCCCGACCTCATTTTATCAGAAAAATACGATTCAAGGTGACTGTGAGTGGCGGTTGTTGTCATCATCTTCATCGATGGGGCTCCTGTCATCATCCCTAGGGCTCCGACTGGGACTGCGGCTACGCCCATTAGCTTTAGGGCTATCATAGCCACTCTCATTGCGATCCCTAGCAGGGCTAGCAGGGCTAGCAGGGCTTCTACGCTTCCCCCCTCTAGGACCATCACTGTAGTCAGATCCATCTTGCTGTGTGACCACCCTATCATTACCAGGAGCTGTGTCGCCTCTCTTCTGTGGGCTGCTTTGGTCAGGTGATGGACTATGCTTCCTTATCTTGGAGGGCTGAGGACTCTGTGATCTATCATCAGAAGCTGGGCTACGTTCTCTTCTGACCGGTGATCTTGATCGGCTGACAAGAACAAAGGTAACAAAAACTCATCTTACAAGCAAAGGTATTACAAAACTATTACTGTCCTTTGAGACAAAAGTAGACAATGTTACTGAAATTGCAGCATCACTTGATACATATTTAGCACTAGAAACTTTTAGTATCCAACCTGTAGCTGCGGTCTCGGCTGTAGCTTCGATCTCGGCTTCTGCCACGTCGAGGAGAACGTGACCGGACCGGTGAACGTGAATGACTCCTTCCACGCCTACTGTTGGAACAGTTCAAACTGACATTATCAGTTTAAAGCTCACAAAATTAATCAGAAAGCAACATCCATGTTAAGTAGAATAAATCAACACATGCAGTAGTTTATAAACTCTACAACATGACCTACCTCAACTTTTTGGGACTGTTCTTACAGTTCTTTTCTATATGACCTCTTTCCCCACAGCGATAACACTTGTTCTTCCAATCCCCAGCTTTGCAATCTCGAGCCCAATGACCGTCAATACCACAGTTAAAGCAGCGTCCAGATCCAGGAGGCGGACCCCTACCCAAGTACTCCCGGGAACCACGAGGACCCTGATTAATTAGAGATCAGATGAAAAAACAAGATTAAGTAGCAATCAAAAACTAACAATTCGTTGACAAGTCATACAGCAGAAGAAATTGAATATCTATGTTTTTGAAGTATTTAAGCAAACAGTTAGTGCAGTAATAAAAGCCCGCCTAAAAAGGTAAACGCAAGAGACCATCATCATTTAACTAAAACGTATTTTTGTACTTACAAAAAGATGATGGGTTGATGATAAAAGAAAAATACTAAACTAAATAGTCTTCAATCAGTATTCGAGGGACTGTTTTTATTAGGACAGAAATCTCTAATCAGAAGTGAAATGTTGAAAGAAAAAGTGAAAAGTAACAAGAGAACAATATGTGAAATCAGAACCGATAAGGACATAAAAAACCAAATTAAGAGATTATGATTACAAATGGCACGCACAACAAACTCTTTCCTGGCAAAACGACACGCACCTGCAGCACACACACATATATCCCTGTATGCTAACTATGATCCAACAACCATGCAATTATATATATTAATATACATGGAGTAAGCTCTCACATCAAGTAACTAAACTTTTTATAGATATACACAATAAGCCAAAACTCCAGTCCCAAAGGAAACACCCATTTGATAATTAATAACTAGAGAAATAGTAATTTTAAAAGAAATTGATAAACCTTGAAGGGAAGTAATTCCTACCCCTTTGGCAAACTCCACAATAATACGACTTCCATCAACATCACGGCCATCCAAGTTATATCTAGCATCATCAGCATCTCGAGGATCGCTAAATTCCTGTCCAAAAGATGAAAAGGGCAAGCAAAGAAAGTAACACAAAATCCTTACCATTGTCTACAACTGAATTTCCCCAAGCAGATACTAAAAGCAACCTTGGAGCAAAGATGACGGGAAATTGAAAAGTCAACAAATAATATAAACAAAGATAAAGAAAGGGTGGTAACTTACAACAAAGGCGAAATCATGCTTCATATCCACAGCTCGAACTCTGCGGAAATGGTTTCCAGAAACAGTAAGGCCATCATTACTTAACTACTGGAACTGTATGATACTTCGCCCCTCAAAGACGAACTAAACACCAGTTTGTGATTGTTGCCATTTCCATAAAAAACACGCAATAACATTACAGAAAGAATCGCCAAAGTCAACACTCGACAGGAATTTCCACCAATTCCACCAAGGCCAACCTCCCAACACAGACCTCCAGGTCTAGCCAAAACCCCAGAAACCTTCAACAAGATCATTCAAGTCAAAACATGACACCTAGGGGATCTAGTTCCCACGCATAACATGACAAATAACCAATAAAAATCCAAGCTCAAAACAAAGCTTGGGAAAAACCTGTGTATATCCCCTAAGTTTCATCATAAAACATGGTTGACACCCCCACACCAACTTATCACTAAATTAGCTTCCTTGCCAATTCAAACAATAAAAATGAATCAAGGAGACATGACAAACATTTTTCGACGGCTCATGTCAAACAAATTAGAAATTATAGTGATAGGATACAGCAAAATATTTCCGGCCGGCTCAAGGCAAGAAATGAGGTACTAAAAGATATAAAGTCATATATCCAAATAGGCACACAAACAATCGCGGAAAACATTAAACAACAGCCACAATGAGGTCGTTTACAAGCAATCGGCATTAATTTTGGAAAAGATTGAGATTGCAGCAAAGAGCAATAAATCAAGACTATGCTGTATAAAAAATTCAAAGGAAAAGGATTAGTGATAGGAGAAAAAAAAAAGAGGAATTACCTTCCATATCTGCTGAAGACACGCTCAAGATCACGGGAACGAGTCCTGGAAGACAAGCGACCCACGTAGAGGCGGGTATTACCATACTTATCATCATAGCGAGGCATCGTTGATTTCTTCTAGTTCTGCAAAATAAACCACCGAAATCGCGTAATTAACCAAGGAAGAGGCCACACATACAGAGACCCCTTCTCTCAGCGACAATAAACAATTATTCGTATGTGCATAAGAAAACAACAAAAATTGTAAATTGAATTAAACGGAGATCGATAATGGATAAATAGATTGAATTTCAACCACACAAACAATTTTAAACCCGAAGTCGAAGAAAACAAACAAATCGATAAATTATTAAAAAGGGAATTAATGAGATTAAAGCGCAAGCAAAATGATTAAGAGAAACAGGCAGAGATAAAATCTGATAGAAACCTGAAATCAGAAGAAAAAAGGCAAATAGAAATGAAATCTAAGGGAAGGAGGGAAGAGAGAGAGTTACCGTCGAGAGAATTGCCGTTTCTCACAAAACCTAACCCTTTCAAAGTGGACGGCCTCTTTACCTACAAATTTATTTATACAATAATACGACACCACTGCCACATATCTCCAATCTTTTTGTTTTTGGTTGGTTGGGCCTAGACTTGGGCTTTGAAGGATTGCTAATTACTTTCTAATGCTAATGTGGATGGATCGGCCCACCAGGATGGATCAGTAGGATTCTTGAGGACGATCCTATCACTTGGGTTACCATTTTGCTAGAAACATTAGTATTTCACCCGTTTTAATGGCCCAATTATTGGGAAAAATATTCATGTTGCGTGGAAGTTAAAAATTACCCACTTATTGATTCAAAATGGTTTGAGTATTGCTATCTATTTGATTTTTAATGCACTTAAACCTTAATAATAATATAATAAAAATAGTTAATAATATAAAAATAAAAGTATTTAATATGTTATAAACGCTTACATTTTAAATAACAAAATTTAATTATGCTTAATTGCCCTCCGCAATCTCGCATGTTTATTTATAAAATAGTTATGTTGATTTTTCTTTTGTTACACGTGGATGTTGACTTCGTAACATCTACGAATAAATAATGCGAGAAAGTGAGAAATAAAAACTAGCTACTACTCTATATTATTCAAAATAACAATGATTCAACTTCTCACAATAATTCACAATGGATGAGCACAAATTCGGGCTGGTTATATTCTTTGTTAGCTACCCATTGTGCAACAAAAATAAAGTGAAAAATAGTTTAGAAAGACAAGCCTTCAGATTTGTTTTTTCTTGGTGAGTAAGTCTTCTCATGCTTTGTGCATACGTGACTCTATATATGAATATTTGTAGTTTTCATATTAAACTTTTAGTTAAGTAAGAAAAATTGTTAGATTAGTTAACTAAGATTAATTTAGTTTTTGCCAATATTGACAGGGTTTATACTCATTCAGCCAATTTTTTCTATTTGGTTTCCGATTCCTTCGATTATACTGAATCTTAAATGAATTTCGACGCAAGATAAGCTAGTTCATAACAAAACATAATAGTATTATTTATGATGTGTTTCGTTTCTAACATAAAACTTTGATATTTCCTTGGTGGGAATTCGGAGGAAAAAATGCTTCAACTTTTTTTGTAGCCGTATAGGATTGCTCAAAAAGAAAATTTCCTCATATGGATATTTACATCATTCACAAGCTGAGAATGCTTTACTCTTGTTTGACAAAATGCAAAACCTTTTGTTTCTCTACATTATTTTGGAAAATCTTACTGAAAATTAAGCTTCTTTGATGCTGTAACTTAATTCGAAAGTAATTACGGTTGTTTTTTCATGCGTGATTCCCATGACGGCATTATTGATTTTAGCATTATTGTCGTTATTATTTTAGAAAGAGATGCATGATTATCATAATATTTCCTTGTGTCTCCTGGCCAAATTAAAGTTGTGACTCTTTAATGCTTGGCTTTTAAGTTTTAACCTTAATGACTATATATAGGTGACCTTGTCACAACCAACATACATGTGTGTGTTCGTGACTTTATCAAATACCCCAACCAACTAACTCCTAATTTTAATTACTTCATTATTAACTTCTCAAGCTGAGATATGCCCCGGTCTTATATACATTTCAACCTTAACATTTATATCTATGTATGTTGAGTAGTATAAGTACGGAATAGGAGAGATGCATATAAATATTGGGAAAAAAGAAACATTTTTTAGTAAGAGGAATGAGTATGAATTATTTATAATCACATATAGATAATAAAAAATAAAAGTATTTTAAAATACATAATTTTACATATTTTAATTTTGATTATTTATAATAAAAGTTAATGATTAATATTTTCGTTCTCACTTTAATAATATATAAAATGTTGTTTCATAAAATACATATCTTTCATTCAAATTTTAAGAGCAACGATCAATAGAATTTTGCTTTGATTAAGAGTGAAAGCGGTTAGCATAGTGGTTTAAGATGTCTAATCTCATTGCATTACTTATTTTGGTTCAATATTGATGTAGTTCATACATAGAAGATTTAATTCTTTTAAGTATCCCGATGTGTTTATACTGATATATGTGACTAGCCAATTTTCTAAGTTTAAAGTAACACTTTTCGATCATTTTTTACCAAAAATTGCAATTTCACAAAAATATATCATAAGATTTGAGTATATATACTGCAAAAAGTATTCTCATGACATCCCACAGTGACAGAATGACCAAATTAGCATGAAATCATTATGATATAGATATATAACCAAAAAAAAAAAAACCATGAACACTTTCTCAAAGAAAAACACAAGAACCTATATTGAGTTTAGCCAAAACAGCGACCTTATAATTAACACAGGATAGTGATAAAATTAAACTAGTGGCATTTTTTGTTGTTGCACTTCGATTTACTGCTTGTTATTGAGATGAAGAATGAGTAAGCTAGAGCCATGGACAGAGGATGAAAGTTGATTCGGATCGATTCTCTGATCAGTGATCCCTAACTCCTTTTGTTCTTGCTCCCAAAGAGAAGCGTCAAATAAAAGAGAAAGCGAAAGAAGAATCCCCAAGCAATGGTGATCCACAAGCAGTTCCACTTGCTGAGCTGCGTGATCCCCTGCTGCTTCAGTATATCGAGTCCGGTGATGACGCAGGTGGAGCTACTTATGTTCATTCCCAGCGTCTTGCTCATGCTCTTGAGGAGCTCCACCTTGAGGGTCTCGGGCACATCACCCAACGGCGTATTATCGAACATCTGAATCCCTCTGACGAAGCATCTGGGAGGACGAACATGGAACTCGTTCTGCAACACTCCCTCGTAGGGGTACTTGACAAGCGATAGATAGTGGAACCATATCCAGTAGGGAGGAATCCTGTCTCTGCTGATGAAGAAGCCGCTGAAGAGAACGAAGTAGGCCAATATAGCAACCACCACCGTGAAGCCAAGCATCACGTGCGAGACCACACCCGAGAGGAACGTCACGAAGGAGCTGCCGGCCCAAAAGGAGGCTACAATGGTCAAGAAGTAAAAGAGGAAGCCGGAAGTGCCGCCAGCGAGGCCCACGGCCCAAAATGTGGTGGCGGCGAAGGCAAGAGAGAGGAAAAGGAGGGAAGGGAGGGAAATGATAGAGTGCGCGAGGACGTAGGAAGAGCGACGGTAGGCGTTGTAAGCGGTTTCCCTCATGAAGATGTAACGCTCTTGGAGGAACACGGGGATGGCTTCGGCGCAGGTGTAGAATGTGGTGGACATGGCGAATGCGAAGAACCCCAAACGCTCTTGAACCCCTTTCGGGGAATTGTCAAGGTGCCAAAAGATCGTCGCCAAGATTCCACCCGTCACTAAAACTGCACCCAAACGGATTCCGAATAATTCCGGCATTCTCCGTGAGTTTGTTAAAGACCGTTTTCCTATAACAGCCATCTCCATCCAAAACGGATTGGCGAACGTCGGAACTGCCACCGTCGAGTACTTGTTCCCGTTACCGTTAGCGCCGGAAACTAGTTTCCCTCTGGAAATGCTAGCACCAATGGCGTCCTTCAGAGACACTTTGGGTTTGGTCCCGTTTTGGGCTTCGACCGAGACGGCTTTGTTTTTATTCTTTAGCTGCCACGACTTGTTGAACTCCACTAGATTTTTGGTACCAGCGGGAGCTTCTTCCAACTCGCGAATGAGATCCAGTGCGAACTCGGTGCGGTTCTCATTTTCCGGTATGGGATGCCCGAACTCGGAGAAGAAGAGGGGGAGTGCCGCCGGAGAGCCGCTGAAGACGGTTTGACCGTGGGAGAGGAAGATCAAGCGGTCCAGAAGGCTTAAGATTCTGGAGCTGGGCTGGTGTATGGACATGATGACGATGCTTCCGCTCTGAGCGATTCGCTGGAGCACCTTTACCACCATGAAGGCGCTGGTGGAGTCGAGGCCGGAGGTTGGTTCGTCCAGGAACAGCACAATAGGGTCGTGGATGATATCGATTCCGATGGAGACACGACGGCGTTCTCCGCCGGAGACGCCGCGGTGGCCCTCGTCGCCGATGACTGTGGTGGCGGCGTTTCTTAGACCGAGCTGGTCGATGAGGGCCTGGACGCGTGCTTTCTTCTTGGATTTGGAGAGGGAGCGAGGGAGGCGGAATTGGGCGGAGAACATGAGGGTTTCTTCGACGGTGAGCATGGGGAATAGAAGGTCGTCTTGCATGACGTAAGCGGATATTACCTTCAGGAGACTCGACTCCAGAACGTCGCCGTTTAGGGTCACCGTGCCTTTCAGGCTCTCCTTTGAAATTCGGTCGGCGAGGGCGTCGATGAGCGTGGACTTGCCGGAGCCGCTGGCGCCTAGGACAGCCATGATTTCGCCGTCCCTGGCCTCGCCAGAGATGTCATTGAGAAGAATCTTGGTGCCGTTGGGTTTGGTCTCGGCCTCGTGGTTCGCCGGCGGGGAAACGTTGGTAGGGGAAAAGAAGAAAGGGGTGAGAACCGTCTTGCGGCGGAGTTTGACGCTGTAAGTTAAGTTAGTGAAGGAGAGAACAAAGGGGTGAGAGTGAGAAGAGAAAGAAGAGAGGTCGAGAACGTGGTGGGGTGGTGCAGCAGTAGCAGTGTTGTCGTTTTGAGCGTCTTCGACGCGTTTAAGGAGCTCGCCGAGGGTGGGAGAGATATGGGTTCGGTTTCGGGTTATGGGTTGGTTGGGAAGTTGAACGAGCTCCATGGATTGGTTGAAGAAAGGAGATCTATCGTAGTGGTTTGGATTGGGTGTTAAGCGAGACATTCGTGTTGGGTTCTAACTCACAACTCAGAACTCAAGTGAGAGGAGTTCCACAGTTGCATTGCATTGCATTGCATGGCTCATTCACTTCTCTAAATGGATTTCTATAAATAAAGCAAGTGTTGTGTGTTGTTTCGTAGCTGCTCAGTGCAGTTGTGGGGGTTGTGACCATATTGCTAGCTATAGCTAAGCTCCATCACTATACCCTTTCTACTTACTCCCAAGCCTCATCGACAATGATAGCTTTTATATTTAGTACATAATTAATTATTGTCACCTTTAATCATCATTTTATATTTTTATCTTTTGACCAATTCTTTAATTAATCAGTATCGTGATCAACTAGTTTCTCACACCAACACACTTTTATTTCTCTGTCTTGCATTCTACCCAAAAAAATTTAAATGAACGCAGCATATAAGAAAACATCAGTATTCTTTTATTATTTACCATAGAGAATACATTACATACGGACGAAATAAATAACTGTATACTAATTAGCAACAGTTATCTCTCTTACATATTCTTTGCGCATGAATAATTAACTAAAAAAATGTCTACATATATAGACATATGTCAATAAATATTATCATTGTTTACGTATTTATGAATTAATCATAATGATACAATTGTCAAACTTATGCGAAGGAAGGTACACACAAAACAATACTGGTCTTATTATTTGAAAACAAAAAATTGATAGTACATATAATATTATAAATATATGTACACATTTTAAAAATATAATCTCAAATTATAGAAGATAACCTTTTTTCTGCAATTTGTGTTAATAAAACTTTTTCCTTGCATATATAACGACGTTTCGCACTTCTTTCTTTAATTTGTTACGCCGTATATTAAGTTAAATTTGACTATATCCCAACAATTAGAGTGGGTGAATAAAAAAAAAATTTGAGCTGGTGCACGTAAAAAGACATAGACTTCTTTCATCTTTGTGGACCCTTGTTTTCCTATAACTTGTTTGAATATTTTGAACATCAGAAGACAAAAACTATTGAAAACAACCACAGGATATATATCACGCATTTTGGGTTAAAAATGATGTAACTTTTTAAAATATTATAAATACAATTTAATTGTATCGTTATACACACATATATATATAGTATATAACCGAATTAAATTTTAAGGTTAATTTTCAATTTAAAATAAGGTACGAATTTTCTAACATAGTATTGGTTTTGATTTTGGATAAAACTTGCTTGAGCACATGGCATTCTTCTATAACTAGCGACAATTGACGTTTTGAAGCAGCCCCACCAGCATGGAAGAGACTTGTTAAGGTGTCCATGTCGGGAAAAAAATCCACAATGCATCGAATACTACTTTTTCTTCTTGTTGTTAACAAAATCACCAATTGGATACTTAAGTTGTTGCATTTTAGTTTAATTTTGGAAGCGTGGAGTGATCAAAGTCTCAACCAAAAAGTTAATAAGATCCAATTCCAAGCACAGTTGGGGAGGGAGATGATCAATCATTTAAGCATAAATTCTTAAAAGCTCGTTTGATATGTTGGTTACAGCAAATTGAAATACTATAGTCAAATGCTCAAACATAAACTGCGTGCAGTCAATTGCTTAAGTTTGGTTAATTGTTTATTAAATGGAAGTTTTGGGCTCAGCACACACAGATGCATAAGAAAAAGGGGTCACCAAACACATCCCAATTAATCCATATTCTCCTTCGGCACGCATTCGATTGTGCACGAAACCGATTGCCCACATCACTAATAACCTTACGAAGTTGATAAGTGGCTACCCCTTATTGGATGATTATTTTCTTATAATTTTCCCAGAATATTTTAAAGCAACATACATAGTTTAGGTGTGGATGTTATATCTAATGTATTAGAGTGGAAGCGGTATATCTACCATCTGCTTGGGTAGTCTTTCTAAGATAGAGAAAACCAGTTTGAGAAAGAGGTTTATCTATTCTTTTAATTTTTAATTCGTTCTGTCAAAATTTTGTTATGGTAGCAATATTAATAATAATTAATGCAGTTGAGCCTAAAACAACTGTCCTTTTATATTACAATATGATATTATTATTTCATGGTTACGTACAGCTTTCTTTTTAGATTTCACTCAATACTTGTGAATCATTATAGGAAGTTTATGTGAGATTTCTCATCTTAAAACTATTTTGTATTAAGTGAAGTTCTCCAATTACGATGAAGTTGTCATAGGAATCAGTTGTGCCACCAATTCCAAGTTAGAAAATTAGTAGAGTTAAAAATCAATAAAGAACCAATTAAAACCAAGTAATAGTACTTCAAATAAATAAATAAATAGTCATACATAAGATCTAGTTATAGATTGCTAGTACTTAATCATTTTTTATATTTTCATCTAATAATACATACAATATAATATTCTATATTAATTTAAGAATTAATTTAATTTAATTTTTCTTATAATTTTATGTCAATTTATAGGTTAGTTGGTTTCACAAAGTTATAACACGTTTTTAATTGAATCCCTGACTTAGTTTTTTTTAAATTAGACGAAATATTAGAACTTATTTGATAATTCTTAAATTGGTAAAAAAGAACTACTGAATAATTAAATTAGCAGTTTAATACTTAAACTATTTGAAACATTTTGTACAAGTTCCTGTGCTTCTAATAAAGACTAAGAATATATTATGTTCAATTTGATAGAACCTAACAGAACCCTATTTTAGGACTTCAATTAAAAATTACTTGTATAAGCTACATACTCAATAATAAACTTTTAAAATATAATTATCTTTTTAAAAAATCTCAAATAATTTAAGAATTATTTAAATTAATTTAACCATAATTTTGCGATGCAGATACGAATAAGTATACAAACTACAAAGGTCGGATTAAAAAAGATGTCATGTCGGATCTAAAATCCAGATGAGTACTTACGAGTGAATTGATTGATATTAAAAGGATTTTATCAAGCAAATAATAGTACAATTTTATTAAAAAGATAAACATTAATTATACTTTTATAACTTTAATAAATAAATGAATATGTGTTTTTTTTTTTAAAAAAATTATACTTATGACTTAAGGTTCATATTAAAATATGACTTGTCGGGTCCAAAATTAGCCCCTCGTTTGGAAGAAAGATAGATTATTATTTATTTATTTGGTTAACTGTATGTAAGATTATTGCGTTTTAGTGTTTTACACTTCTGAACTCCAGCTAGGTCCAAAATGAGCCCATCCAAAATGAGCCCATCTTTTTGTTTCTGATACACCAAAAAAATGAGCCAATCTGAACATGGATTGTAAGAATCCAATAGTCTGCGCGATGATCATGACCGTGTGATTTCCATCAATTTTAAAGTTGTTACTTTTTAACTTAATATTTGACTGTTAATATATATCCACGTTCTTTCGTTCCGTTTTATAGCGATTTTTCTTGGTACTATATAGCAGCATTACTCGTTCAATGTTATTTGTTGCCTGTCGCAATCATAGTAGAAAGAAGGGGGTTTTTTTAACGTGTACCGATGGGGTATTCATTCACTATGAACACAAGCAACGTGAAATTAAAAGTTGCGATTCCATTTTGATTGCTAAGTACGAAACTGCGCTTTATTCTTATTCCCGATGGGAATAGGTAGTGCCGACGAGATAATTATTAGAAGCAAATCGTGCTCAAACATGCACAGGCCTTTCGATTATATTTCCTCCTGTTTGTACGGTGACCCCATTGATTCTAATTCCCTCGAGGAGCCCTTCCATCGATTTTCAATAGAATGCGGTATTGGAGGAGGGATCAATTTTTTTTAATTTTAATCAATAGTTATAAAATGTCCATTAAAGAAAAAAAAAAACTAATACATTAAAATTAAAATATTACATTATTTTATTTTTATTTTAAAAGAATAAGATTAGAAAATATTAATTAAATAAGAAAAAAATTGCCTCTTCTTTTTGCCCCTCCAAATCCCAAACATTATTCGGTTGCATAACCACCACTATCAAGGACAAGTAGGATAACATTTCTCTCTTCCAGTTTTAGGGTTAATAAAGATTATCCGTCTTAGCAAACGATTCAAACAAACCAAGTCAACAAGAACGCAGAGCATTACCAGGAACATAAATCCGAAAAAGAAATTGCAGGTTTTCCCCTTTCATTTTGAAAATGTTGAAAAAGTTCAACGAACAAGAGCAAAAAGATTATAAAAAAATTAAAAGAAGCAACATATAGTGCACCCAATGCAAGCCCAGCCATCCCTCGTTATAAAATGGGATGAAGACTACAGAGAAGCCTAAAATAGCACTAGATTAAAATTAATTGGAGTTGAGGGCGCCTCTTCAGTCCCAAGTATAACAAATTTCATAACGCTGAAGGATTGAGCAACTTTTCTAATGACTACAGTACGTGTCTACTCTGATTTTTGCTTTGATCTTGCACTTGATGCTTGAGACGCACTTGTACACCTTCCCACAAATTTCAGAATCTCGTCAATTAGAATGACGGGAAATGCAACAGCCAAAACCAAAAGCCACTCATTGAAGCTCAGGGGCACAATACCAAATACTTGTGCTAAGAATGGCACGTACAAGATTAAAAAGTGCAGACCAAATGATATAGACATTGCCAAAAGAAGCCAAGGGTTGACCCAAGGAGGCATCGTCAAAAGGCTTCCATCTTCAGATAGGGCATTGAGAGAGTTAAACATTTCAATGGCTACCAACACAGAAAGGGACAGTGTCATAGCTTTGACTTTACCAGTCTGGAAGTAGTCACAAGGATCATTGTCAAAAGAGATAACTTTTGCACCAGCAGTGAATGGAGAAGCTGTAAAGTTCTGCCACGTGGAGCATTGACCCCAATTGGCTAGTTGGGAGTAAGTGACCAGAGTATGCCCATCCCCGCTAAGGTCAATACCCAAGAAGGAACCATGTGTATACCATATGATGAAGACACCAACTGTAGCTAATCCAACATAAATTCCAATAACCTGTGAAGTATAACAGGGAGAAGATTAGGGATAAGCAAATCCACATAAATTATCAGCTTTTGAAACATAAAGCTCAACAAAGGGTGCAAGTGCGCAAACAAAAGGAAAGAGGAAAAAGGCAAATTACCAGATAGCGGAATAAAATCCACAAATTAATTAGTGAGTCATCACTGCGACGCGGAGGCTTCTTCATTATATCCTTATCTGGAGGATTAAATCCCAAAGCTGTTGCAGGGGGCCCATCAGTGACAAGATTGACCCACAGAAGTTGGACGGGTATCAATCCTTCAGGAATACCTAGTGCAGCTGTTAAAAATATAGAAGCAACCTCACCAATATTGGAAGAGATCATATACCTGCAAATTTAATTTCAATTAGAAGATAATATAAACTATAACTTTTATCATTTGAGATGATTCTTAAAACAGCAGCATATATAGGTAATTAATAAAAGTAGATAACACGAGTACTACATATCAATTACAAATTATATTATGTATATGGGAAGTCATGCAATGCCTCTCCAAATTTTGAAAGCTTTGCAATTAAGAAATTCAGAAGTATGCACTTTAGGGTTGTTAACTTGTTAAAAGGCAAAAATAAAATCAACAATGCTCCAGAATCCAGATTAAACCAAACTAATAACAACCTCTTAGTCAAAAATTACAGCCTCCAATGTTTCAAACAATGTTGAGGGGCAGAATGTGATCCATAACTCCATTCAATCTTATCTTCTATAATTTTTTTTTTGTTTACTTGAAATTCATAGGAACAATATCAAAGTTATAAATGAAAATTGATAGAAAAGTGCAGCCAGTATAGACATAGCTCATTCTTGTTACAATCCCTACAAAGAAACCTAGTGCAAAGAAGAGGATAAAAAGAAACTTAATGTCAAAGGCATGTCCCCTTTTTCTTAACTATAAACTAATCAAAGATTGAAAGAGATACATACCTAATTATCCTTTATCAAAGGCATTTCTACTCTTTTATTTTTTTTAAAACCAACCAATCATTAAGTTAGACAATATATGTCAATTGCCAATCAAAGCACGGACCTCCAATGGTGTAAAAGCCTATCGTAAGGTAACCACATCATCTTGTGAGTGATGATAAATTTAAGGACAAATGGAATCACCTGATAAAAGCCTTCATATTATTGTAGATAGATCTACCCTCACCAACAGCAGCAACAATTGTACTAAAATTATCGTCTGCCAACACCATATCTGATGCTTCCTTGGCCACCTAGATTGGATCAGAATAAGATAAAAGAGACTCAGTGGCCTGATAGAAAATAGTAAAATTAATAGGTGTTCCTTAATCTAACCAATTACAACCATCAGCCAGTGAGATAACACCTAATTCTTTTGATTTGCATCAAAACACCAAGCATTTTCAAGATCACTATCTTCAATTAGAAAGCTCACATCAATCACGAATATTTACTTACAAGTTGAACTAACCCACAACATGATTATAATGGAAAACAAAAATACCTCTGTTCCTGCAATGCCCATTGCAACACCGATGTCTGCAAGCTTCAAGGCTGGTGCATCATTAACACCGTCCCCAGTCATGGCCACCACCTCCCCTTCCTCTTTGAGCAGCCTCACTATTTCTTGCTTGTGCCTAGGTTCAGCCCTTGAAAACAAAAGCCCACCACTCTGTCTCAGATAGGATTTTTTATCACGCACTTCCATAAAATCTTTGCCTGTTAAACTTCTAGAACTAATGTCTTCATCAGGTGAAAATACACCTATTTCACGGCATATAGCTTCAGCAGTGTTCTTATTGTCTCCAGTTATTACCATAACACAAATTCCAGCTGCTCGGCAATCTTCAATTGCTTGATATACCTCCTCCCTAGGTGGATCCTACACACAATTCAATATTCAATTTCACAAAGTTACCACACAAAATAGATATGATGAGTTACAGAGCATGAAATATAAAATGAAAAATCAAAACTTACCCTCAATCCAACCAAGCCAACAAAAATAAGTTCACTTTCAATTGATGAATAGTTTGAAGGATTAAGCAAAAGCTGGTGAGCCGGATGATCATCATTACCATTGTAGTCTTCAAATGCAGTGAGCTCATCCTTGTATGCAAATCCCAAGCAGCGCAATGCTCTAGTTGACATTTCATGAAGGGCTTGCAATATGAGATTCCTAGCATTATCGTCTAGTTTCACAATAGAACCATCACGCAACTGAATTTTAGAGCTTCTGTCCAACACATTTTCCACCGCACCCTATCAAATATTAGGGACAAATGTCAGTTCAAATATTTCCCATCAGTGAGAAAAAAGGAAAGCAGAAACAGAAAGAACAGAAGCATGTGTAGGCTCATGTATAGATATAGCAACAGAAACTGTCCAAAGGATATAGTTATTGAGGCAAAATGAGAAGGTAAAGGAGAAGAAGAATGAGCTGGTCATAAACACCAGGTCAGAATTGAATTTTATAAAACATCATTCGTTCATTCAATAGAACTTTGTTGTACAGAACTGGTATGAATAACATAGTATTAGATCAGTTTTGCCAAGACACGTAATTCATATTCCCTAGACTAAGGTGCATTTTAGAAACTCAGGATATTATTTATTTAGTTAAGACAGTATAATCATAATACAACTTATTAATAAATAGTGATACCATGAGTAATTTTTAGCTTTAGTTTCAGTATAAATAACCATATTTCAGGGGAAGAATAAAAAGCCTTCCCCAAATAAAAATGAGTGGCGTATTTTATTTCGGAGAAACAAGTAGTCTTACAGAAATCACATGGTAAAAATTTTATACATTTCTATAATACAAAGTATGACCATTCAGCAAATATAATTCTGCAATTATAGAATAGATACATAATACAAAAATTGAAAATGAATCTAGATGAAGTTTTCAAGTAGGAAAAAAAGTGACAGAAAGACATACCTTAACTAGCAGCGAATTTTTACCTACACCAGAGTCCACAATAACACCCATTGACTTCCTATCTCGGTCAAACTCAAGAGTAGCAATCCGCCGGTCATGCTCATTCCACCATTGACAACAACCTGATTACAATTTGAAGGTAAAGTACGTTCATTACATTTAGGAATACATTTTTTCATTACTAATTCACAATACAATGCAGCACACTTTTTCGTCTCATATTCATGGTCTTTCTAAAGAGTACATTACAGGAAGTAGCCTATTGATCAAAGAGATAAATTACAAATTGCTTGAAGTGTTTAAATAAAGAATGACAATCTTATTTTCCCTCCCATTATAAAACTAAATTCAAAAAACTCATTTAGAAAGTGGTTCGGGTATATTCAAATGAGACATCAAATTATTTGCTTTGGTAAATCACCACAAATTAATTTTTTGAAAGAAAAGTAAACTTACGTAGCAAGGTACTTGTGCTTGCTGATCCATTATGCTCGGATCCTTCAGGAAGGCCCATCTTCTCTACCAAAACCTAGAGTCACAGGAGAGAGCAAAAAAATGTCAAACACCTTTACTGGCTAAATGAATTAGTTCGTATGGATGGGGTTAGAATGAAATAACCCAAATATATAAAGCATCGCTGATTTCATGCCGCTAAGCTAGTGCTATAAGTAATTATTTCAAAATATAGTTCATGCAGCGGTAAATTGCAAACTATACATGAAAAATAAGCTAAAGAACATAAGACGCCACACCTTTAATGCAGCTTCGGTAGGCATTCCATGGGCGACAAACTTATGCTCTGACTGTGTGACTCCAGCATCATTACAAACTGCAGCTATTTTCGCTATCATCTGAAGATTAGCATCCAATCCACCTGTTGGCCAGTCCTCTATTTGACCATCAGATGGATTGTATGTAGTTCCTTCCACCTTAAAGGCTCGCAGATTGTCCACCTTATGGCCAAAAGCTACTAGTTTTGACACAGCCATCTGGTTTGTAGTCAATGTACCAGTTTTATCCGAACAAATCACAGTCGTACAACCCAGCGTTTCCACACTCGGTAGCTTTCGAACCAGGGCATTCTTCTGGGCCATCTTGCGTGTACCTAGAGCAAGGCAGGTAGTGATGACTGCAGGCAAACCTTCTGGAATAGCAGCTACAGCCAACGCCACAGCAATCTCAAAGTAATAGGTACACTTCTCAAATGAAAACTTGAAGTTTCTCGGCCACCCATCCACATAATCCCATGTAAGGAAGTACTTTACATTAATAAGCCAAACCAAAATACATATCAATCCAATTATCAGGGTTAGATTCTCTCCAAACTCATTAAGCTTCTTTTTCAAGGGTGTATCCTCCTCACTCTGAGACGCCACGTGTATCTGCTTATGCACCTTCCCAATCTCGGTTTCCATGCCAGTCTGAGTGACCAAGCAAATGCAATTCCCGTTAACAACAGTGGTCCCGGCGAAAACAATACACCTCTTGCCTTGAATATCAGCATCCTCAGCAACCGGCTTGTTTGTCTTGTTCACCGCTTCACTCTCTCCAGTCAAGGAACCCTGCTCCAACCGCAGAGTGGAGCTGATCAATTCCACAACCCGCATATCTGCAGGCACCTTATCCCCAACCTTAAGCTCCACAATATCACCAGGCACGAGATCCTTCGCCGGCAAACTAGGGATTTTCACCCCATCTCGAATAACGGCGGCGTGCTCCGACTGAATCTCTTTCAGCGCATCAAGTGCTTTCTCCGCATTGCTCTCTTGCCATACCCCAACAATTGCGTTTACAATTAATATCAGGAATATCACCAGAGGCTCCACGAACGCCGTAATCTCCATCTCACCGCCTTCATCGCCGTCGTACCAAGCCAGTACGAAGGATATGATGGCGGCGGCGAGAAGAATCCGAACCAAGGTATCGTTGAACTGCTCAAGAATCAAACTCCATATGGACTGGCCCTCGTGCTTCTCCAACTCATTCAAGCCATAGATCTTGCGCCGATTCTCAACCTCGTCGTGACTCAACCCCCTTTTCACACTCACCTTATAGTGTTCCTCGCATTCACGCACGTCCTTGGCCCACGCTTTGAAGATTTCACGGTCTGAAGTCTCAGAACTCGCTTTCTCTCTTCTTCCATAATCTTCGCCTCCCTTCCCCATTCAGATCCGGTCAAAATAAACTCGGAGAAAACAATTTCTCGATTAAAAAATTGTTTCTCCCAGTTAATTCATAAAACAATGGAAGCAAAACACGGTGAAATCAATCAAGCTACCGATGCAGCGATCCAATCGAAAACCCTAAAAGCGAGTTACGTACGAGTAGCAACTACCTCGAAGGAACTCAAACGACAGGGCTTTATGGAAGGGAAAATCGATTGCGTGATCGTGAAAACTAAAGGGCGCGTGGTGTATGTGGTTTGAGTGTTGAGAAAACGCGAGGTTTATTGAGTCGCTCTCGGATGAGGGGAAGAGGCGCTGGTTTCTCGTGAGAACTGAAAGTGAGAAAAAGAAAAAGCATGAAGAGAGAGGTTCTAACAAATGAAGGGCTCACGCATCGTAGAACGTGCTTGCCCAGTAAGCTAACCAATTTGTGGTCGCACTTCCTCACTCTAGTCTGGTGCGTGGCTAATGCTGATTAGTAGGACTATTAATTAAGAGTTTAAAAAAGATGCTGTTTGTGATTAGAGTGTATATGAGGAAATTTCGTGGTACGATCCTGCCAGATTACGATACGCTTAACTAAACTATTTTTAAATACATAACAGAAAAATGGAAATTGAAAACTTCCATCGATGACTTGGCATTCCTTCATTGGTTCAATCCTCCTTCCTGTTGTCACTTCAGTCTCCACTCGCATTACGGTTGTATCTTTTGGCAAAATTAATTAATAAGTTATTTTAATCAAATATTGTAATTATCATTATTTTAAAATGGGGATAGATTTTTTTTATTTTATGTATTTTTACGGTCAAATCTGTTCCTATAATATTGTATATTCTTAAAAATTTGTTAGCCCAAATCTGCTACCCCTAAACCTGGGGGCGCATCTGGAACCTTCATCAATAAATCCTTTTGACCGAAATTGTGAAGGTAATTTGTTCCGGTATTTGGTTTCTTGGTTTTGTAGAGTCATTAAATTATTAGAAAGTAGATTTCTCACGTAATGATGACACCTAAATCCAAATTATTAAACACTATACTCTGTAAGTTTTATTTATAATATAATCTAAATCCAAATTATCAAACAAATATAAACAAATGAGAATCCCAGGGTCGCTATTTTGATGTGGCCTTTCGTGGAATGTTCGTCGTCGCCACAAAGCCGCAAGGGGCCTACAAAGTCAAAACTCCAATAATACTGGATTGGTAGAAATTATTGACCATACAAAAGGGAAGTTGGTGAAAAACGGTTTATTTTTTTGTACTATGAACGTATAAAAAGGTTATATATATTGACCGATAAAGTTACGTATAACTGGTTTAGATATAGCTAATTATAATTTCCAAGGAAAGAGTAGTAAAAAAAATAAAGTGAACTGTAAAATCTAAATGAAAATTAGTTTTAGAACTTTTTGTTATAGCATATTCACAAATATAAATTTTCTAACATCTTTCCAAATATAAGTTACTAAAAACTAATCATAGAACACAATAATCAAATTAATAGTCACACAAATATTAAAAACATACAAGATTTTTAAGATTATCCTTGAACTGAAAGCAAATAGTAATAATGGATTTGCAATATTAGTTAAAACTTTAAAAAAATATAGTTAAAATATATTAAAATTTGTGAAAAGGAGATTCGTTAATATCAATTAAAAAAAATACTTCTAAGATTCCTTAATCCGTTCGTTAACATCTGCGTTAAAAATTCCTTCTCTTGATTGTGCGTTTCTCAATGAATATAAACACGTCAGTAAAAGAAAATAACAAATACATGGAGAAAAAATATATAATATATAAACAATAATGATCTGTAAGGGTTTTTTATTACAACAATATTATAAACAATAATGATATACAATTTTTTAATGGACACTACCTTTGATTAATTATTTAAAAAACTATTTTATATATTACTTTATTTTTAGAAATATATAATTTTTTTAAAATTAACTAGCTAACAAAATTATATTAAAAATATGTTAAAAAAATATATCGTTGGTTTTTCTCTTTTTTTAATAAAATAAATTAAAGAACAAGTCACGTGCCTTCCTTTCTTGCAGTGCCATACTACGTCTTTGCTTTCTTCATTCCTTTTAGCGGGGTCAATGAAGCTATCACAAAGCGAAGCCGGCACAACTGAATATATTATGAATTTATTGTTATAAATTTTTTAATTTGTACCTAAAAATATGTGTTGAGAAATTAAAAACTAAAAAATCATTATCTCAAAACTATAAAAAAATATTAAATACATATTTTATGATAATTTAAAACATTTAATATTATTCTAAATATATGTCTTTAAACATATAGTAAAAATTATTATTATTATAATTTAATGTCGCAGTCGAGGCATATACTTTTCTGACAAGGAAACAGTACTGAAAAGGAAATAAAATGAATATTTCCATACGATTTGTTTTTTACAAATACAAAATTGTATACTATTGACAGTGGTTACGGTTAAATGTTTACGGTTTAAATTTTATTCATGTATATTAAAAACTATGATTAAATTTAATTTTGCCATAAGTTTAATGGTTAAAAAATAATTTAATCAAAATTAATGTTTTTTAATTTGAAGGTATAGGAGGCTCTTGACTGAGTTGAAATAGATTACATGATAAATAGGAAGAAGTTAGAAAAGGAGCAACAACAAAGATTGAAAAAGTCACATTTGGTCATCAAAGTGGGGATTGAAAAATCAGAAGTACAATACAACTTGTTGCCTGAGATTGGAGAACGGGAAAAGTTGGTAAAGTAATAGTGGGAAGTTGGAAGTTCTTGCACTTGGATGGAAGTCGCAGAGAAGACGAATGAAATGATAATCACTGACTAGTTAATCCAAAGGGTTTTAAAATTTATTTTTATAATTATGAATATGCTTAATTTAATAAGTTTACTTCCCGTAAGAAAGACTTTTGCTTTGGGGCAAACCCTGAAAAGTACAATAATTCGGTTTCCTTCTTGAATTTGACCGTTTGACTATTGAGACAGGACCGTTCTCACTTCTCACCGACAAGGACGATTCTTCAATTGAACCTTTTTCTTCTTTAGGGGGATAAACTTGTGATCAGGAGTTGTAGCCTATGTTTCGGTCTGATTTGAACTCAATAATTCCAAACTAAAGTAAACTGACAACCTTAATGATCTCAACTGTTTCCAACTGCAAAGAATTGGACAGGTGACTGGTTAATTGGGTGGGTCATGCGAGTTAGTGTGACTTTTCTTAAAATCTACGAAGAGGGTCTAAGGCAAAGTAATGATCAGAGGTTAAGAGACTTGGTCATGAAAGAATGAACCACAAATATATGAAGGTAATGTAAAATTAAAGAGTTGGAAAGAGAGAAAATGGGTGAACTATAAAGAAACAACAATGACGGCAACATACAGCAGATGAAATGGGAATCTGAGCGAGAGAGAGAAATAAGAACTCTGTAGAAGAGACACGATGTTCTCTGTTTTTATTTATGAATGAATATTCTTTTTCTCAATACATATCTTTGTTGGTTGGACGCGTTCAGTTATCAACTCGAAGTGGCATTCACAATCTCATATCACCTTTGGATAAATTAGTTTCCATTGGTGGAGAATCTACACTGTATGGTTATTCGCGTTCAAACTTGTAATTTACGCTGTAATGTGTCAAAAAACTGTCTCTGTTTAGAAGATAATGAATGCAGAAGTAACCATACGTTAAATTTGTTTATTTTTAATTAAAAATATATTATTTATGGTAAAAAATAATTAATATATTAAATTTAAGTCTTCATTACTTAGTATTTTAAGGATATCAGTTAATTTTTTTAAAAAAAGTTATTACAAAATATGTTGGACTTTATAAATAATTATGGAAAGAAATGTATTAATGATGACTTTTAATACAAAATATATTTCGAAAAAATCTTGTTTTGAACCATTATAAAAGACAATATTTTTCTTTTAATAAACTCGAAATCATAAATTAAATTAGAACAATATATTTAATGGTTAGAGAAAAATAAGATTGATTTGGTACATACGGATTCAAAAATTTGTATTTTATTAAAACTTTAAGAATAATCTTATTTCATTAATTAATCATCGTTATTTTTCTTAATTCACTTTTCAAATATCACATTTAAATACAAATTATTTTTTAAAAGTCAATTTGTACTAAAATCTATATTTATATTTGTTTACTATAGTAGGAATTTAAAACTTATATTATGAATAGTTTCTTTTAACAGAATTTGTGAATACAATTTAATCTATTATTATATAATTTCATGTTTGTATCATTAGGTGGTTGTCACAATATAAAGAATATAATACATGTAAACTTTTTTTATAAATTAAAATGTTATACTTTAACTTTTGTAATAATAAACTATTTATTAATTTATTTCAAAAATCACTTAATATTAATTTATTTGTTCAATATTATGAATCTTAAGTTCTTTGAATATTAAAAGACACAAAATTTTGATTTGATTCATTATAATTTAACAAAATAAATTTGATTTCATTTGAAATTTTTTTTAAATGTAAATTGGATGGCTGCCGATCTAATCGCTGAATCCATTTTTATTAATGTTTTTGTTTTTCTATTAACTACTTTTTGTTTAATGATTTTTCCACCGTTGCTTATTTTAAAATTTAGACTTTTCTTCTTATACTAAAAAAATAAAAATATTAAATAAACAGCATAATTATTTTTAAGAAATTATAATAATATATTATTTCTTAAATTAGATGGTCTCCTTTGAGTGTGCATCCCTTTTATACTTACATATTTTTTTTAATTTGCATAACATTTATATATAATTATAAATATTCATATATGATAATTTGTATTAAAAATAATATAATTTAATACAATAATACTATTAAATATTATAATTTTCAATAAAAATATTATTTATTCATTTTTATCGTATACAATTTTATTCATTGTTAAAAATAAACCATTATACTTATTAATTTTTTTTAATAAGTGTATGTTCAACCAGTTAGCGTTGGGCTTGGTTTAGGATTTGCTTGACAGACTCTGGGGTTACAAATTAAAGGAGCATTCACAGTATCGGGTTTAGGTTTGAGCGTTTAACTCAATAATAAAATATTAAAGGGTGGAAGATAAAATTGGAAACTAGTTTTGTATATACAGAAAAAGGACATGAACAAGATTGAAGACACGATTACGTCTCGCAACAAACAGAGACTCATAAGATGGCAAATAGTGAAGATGACAAATACTACAATGATAATCAACTCCATCCAACAGAAACTGACGTGATGAAGAACCAATAAACAAATAAAACAGAGAAAGACAATGGAGATGACAAGGAATGCCATCTAAAACAGGTGAAGATGAAAGATAGGAGAATGACACAAAGGCTACATGATCCAGAGAGGAGACACGGAATAGAGGACTAAAACTACAAAAACCTAAGTCTAGTGTTTTATTTAGTAAATTAGCATGCCTAACAGATATGCAGTTTAAGCTATATTTCTAAAAATAGGCTTGGCTTCTTTTCTTTTTTTTTTTCCTTTAGCATACGTTGGTCCAATGTTTTATTTTAAATTTAAGTATGTGTTTTATTATTATATTTTTGCAATTTTTAAATTTAATTTCTTTAAATGTTTTTAATTTTTAACATTAATTTTTAATAATTGTTGTATGATAAAATGATTAATTTAGAAGCTATCATATGCTAATATGTTATTGGACCACGCTAATGAGAGAGATTAAAATTGAAAACTTGTAAACATATTGAACCAAAATAAATTTAAAAGAAACTGACTCAAATTTCTCTCATGTTAAAGTTAACTTATGTAAATTGTGTCAACTATAAAAGTAATTTAATTTATTTTATATATTGAATTCTTTTTCATCTACTAGGGTTTGTGAAGAAAGCTATGCAAATTGACAGAGTGTTTGTTTAACAAATGAATTATGAAATTACTATTTGAAGATGATATTTTTTTAGAATGCAATTGAAGTAATAGAGCTTCAGGGCCGAAGTGCAAATGTTGTTTCTAAATATCGCTTTTTTAACAAAGAAGTGAAAAGTGAAAAACTAATTAAATATTAACTAACAAAATAATAATTAACTTGTTTGGTTAGTTAATGAAATAAAGTTTGCACATTTTTTATGCATAAAATCATGGTTAGAGTCAAGTTACCTAAAAAAAATCACTAAAATTAAGCTTTATCTCTGACGGAGATATAACAATATAAGCATTGACATTATAAACTAAAAAAGAGAAGGGAAAAAGTTATGAAAATTCAAAATTAATTGCTTTGAGTATGTATTAAGTATTCAAGTATCACAATCTTTTTATTTCTTCTACATTGGGTCTAATTTTTACTATTTGTGTTTGTACAATTAACACTTCGTTCACTTTACAGGAGATTATAGTCACAGATCACATCTATGATCAAAGGACAATGGAATTATTAACAGATATATCATAATTGCTCACCACACTGGTTTGCTCTCAAACCATGGTTGTATATCATCCTCACTTAAACATCATGCAACCAGTACCATGTTACCTGACAATGTAAGTGATCTATTTTGTTACTCTTCTAGAACAAACTGACTTGAACATTGAAGAACTTTTGCAAGTATATTACTTCCTCACCATCATTATTTGCATACCAACATTGCAGGAACAACTTTTTTCGTCTTTATTCAGCTTACCCACTTTGAGTTCACTTGAGAAATATTAAATTATTTTTATTTTTAAAATTATTATATTTATTAAATCATCCCTTGTTATTATTTTTTTTCATTAATTGTTGCATGGGACTTGACAAGGTAGTTTCGTCAGGAAGATGATTTTTTATTTTTTATTTTTTGTTTTGTAGGCACAAGATAACTCAATCATTAGATAAGAATTACATCGTACTTTTAGTTTGTTGGGGTGATAAACATATGATTTACGAGAGTGGTTATCTGGAGGTGGTCAAATTTTAGCCAATGCTCATACAAAAAATGGAAAATTAGCTTTAAGAAAAATTGGGACGTAAGCATCCTTCATATTTCTAAAGATACGAACAAGCTCGAGACAATGTTTTTTTGTACACATTTAGTTGTTTTATTATGATAGAGTGCATTCCTTCGTCTTTCAAGCTAACTACTTTATAATTTTTTTTATGTCATTTTATTTTCAACGATGCAAAAAAATTATTCCTTAACTATTTAAATTAAAGAAAGTAAAGTCACAAAAGAAGTTGATTTAAATTAATAATAAATAATTTTATTTTTCATTTTAAATATTTTTTTTCAATTTGAAAAAGGCTTTTCTGTCCAATGCTAAAACTAATAAATGTATCTTTACTTATATGGAACTTCGATAGACTTCTTTTTACGAAATCAACAATTAGGTCGTGTTCTCTGGTAAGAGCAAATCTTAATAAAACAATAGAGTTCCATTATACCATACACACGTTCTAATATAAATTTTAGAATTAAATTACTTTTAGTATATATTTCAATAACGTTAGATAATTTAAAAGTAATTTTAATCAAAATTTGAAACAAACTAGGAACAAATCATGCTAAGCTCTTTCGTCATCATGGATCACATTATATACCCAGTGATCTGAGTTGTATAAAAGCATTATTGTTTGTTGGCTGATTAGCTGCTTCCTAGCATCCTGGGTCATTACCTTTCTTTTGAATTGCAAATTTTCGAACGTCCTTTTCTCTTCCTATAAGATATCACATGTCAGGCCTAAACAATAGCGGTATCTTATGTCACGCCGGAACCCCAGGTAAACTTTTTTCCCTTGTTTTTTCCTTCGTCATTAACTTCTTTCCCTTTCTTAAAATTTATGGAATACAAAGATCTCATAATACAAGGCAAATGCCGAATATCGCTCTATGAAGGACACTGCATTGAACTCTTGGAACCACTAATAAGCAATCGAGTATGCCTATGTAGGTGACCCTCTATTGTGGGAGAACATATACGATCGAGTGTTTGTGGTTCTCAAAATTTGCCATAAAATATAAGCAACTTGGTATGTACCATCGCTGACTTGATTGGATTTTGCTACAGGGTGGGTACAACTTGGAAATACTCCATAGTCCAAACAGGTGAATGGGTGATGCCCTATGTTGCGGGGTGATGATTGATCATTGAATGATTGAAGGATATAGATGTATATATCCAGCCCTATGACTATTATGTGTTTACCCGCTTGCACATGACGATAATTGATAATGTTTGTTGTCTCTTCTAATGTTCTCATTCAGGTTGCGTTCCGTAGCAAATTAGAGTAATCTTATGATTTTCCTTTTCTTTTTAATTATTGTATCTGGAGAGGTAATCTTGTGAATTCAATATCAATTTCCATTATTATCAAAGAGGGAATGATGTTTTGAATCAAAACGTTAGTGACTTTTGGAGAAACACCTAAACATTTTTCGACACACCCTTAAAATTATCGGTTGAATTTTAGATCTATCTCGTTAAGAATTTATGATAAAATTTAATCAAACATAATCAAATTCATTTTATTTCATGCATAATTTATTGTTTTTTCCTTAATTTGAGGTCCGAGATGGAATAATTTTTTATTTTATTACATCTAATTCTAACATTATAATATTTATTTTTTTATTTCATTCTAATTTATTTGGTAATCTGTCCTTCTTTGCTACAGCATTATGTTGGATAATAAAAAAGAAAACAACAGGAGGGGGGGGGGGGGGAGGGAATCAAAATATAAATGAGAGAAAATTTGGAGGAAAAAAATAGTTTCTTAGAACTCAATTCTTACCTTTACTTTTTTAACAAATAAAACAATTTAAAATTTCGTTCTTCTGTTTTCTCTCCATTTAAACATAGGGTAAATTTTAAAGTCCCTAGTCAAAATTATAAGAAAATGTTAACTAATATTTTAAAGGCATTAGTTAAAAAATCCAAATGTATTATTTATTTTTAAACTCAACACTAATAATTAAGCTTAATATATATATTTTAAATTATACGTACATTTTTTAACAAATTTATTATTTTATTTATTTCATAACTGTGACTCGTTAAGGTATTAGTTAACATGGTCAAATTTTATATAGCTGGCCTCTAATACTGTGTTTTGAAGCAGTGAGGCTGTGATTCAGATGTTGGTTCCTATCTCTTCCTATTTTATTTTGTCATGGCAATATCGTTCAGAAAAGGTTATTTATTTAAATAATAAGAAATACTCAGCAATCGAGTCACGTCATGAATAACAAAGAGGCAAGCAAGCAAAGGAGAAAATGAAAAAGAAAACACGATCCTCCCACTTGACCCCTCTGTTTTGGCACCGTAAAGGCATAGCTCCATCAAAACCCACTTGTATACATCACAAACTCTGATACACACAACTAATAAAGAAAACGTAGTCATTGCAAATCACCACACATCATAACGTGACAATTCCCCACTATAAATCCATTCAATTACTCCTTCTTTCCTTTCCCACACCCTTTTCTTGCAATCTAAGCTTTTTCCTTTTTTTTCCCCTTTTTCTTTTTCTCTTTTTTTTTTTTTTTTTTTGGCAATTTATACCCCTCTCCACGAACTCCAAACATCGCCCGAGAGGTGAGAACCCGAGAGAAAAAAATGAGCTCTCTTTGCATATCGAACTGCATCAACGACGCACGTGACCCACGTGTTCCGGTGAGAGCGACCTACGTGAACCTTTACAAGTGGCCGGAATCAGATGCTGAGTTTGTGAGGTCAGTGAGCTGCAACAGAGAAAAGGGTTCGCAAATGTACGGTCACCCCAGGGTTGTGGATAGCATCTCCTGCAGACAGATGTACCTCAGAAGCTACACATTCTCCAGGGAAGATGAGCTCGTGCCAGAGAAGACCCAGAAATGTTTTGGGAGGGTCAAGATGAAGAACGAACGTGTGGCACGTGGGAACAAGACAAAGGCTGAGCCAGGGAAAACCAAGTGTTTGGTTTGGAGTAAAGCTAAGGAGGTTTCTTGCTCTGCTTTGTTTAGGATTTTCAGAAGGGTGTTGTCGTGTTCTGCTAGTGTAGATGTGGTGGACGAAAAATATTGATTTTTAATAAATTATGGTTTGAATTTTTTTTATCTTCCACTATTTATGATCAAGGGAGGAGAATTTGTTGGGGCAATAGTTATGGCTTTGGTTTTTACGATCAATTGTGTATGAGAATGTGTGAAATGTGAATGTAAGGGCTGCGGATGATGATAATTCTCGTACACTTGGTATGAAAAAATTGTGACTTGAAGAAAAAGGTTTAAGTGGATTTGTGCTAGCATTTTTGCAGGTAACACTATCCTTGGCTCAATTTATATGTTTGGAGTGTGGAGAAGTTTATCTTGAGGTGTAGAAGTCAATTTTGCAAAATAAAGTGAGGTTTGGACTTGGATTTGATAACGGGGAGCCTAGAAGGTAGCTTGGGTATGAAAACTGCAGAGTAATCATATTAAGAGCAAGACAAGACAGGATTAGAAATCTTGGTTGCCATATTCATTTCCCTTGAGGTTTACATGTCTACGAGACTTGCTCTGTCCCTCGATTGATCCCGGGCTCAAGTACTTGCGTCATTTGTATGGAATATGATCCTTGGCTCTATAATGAACAGCAAATCTCCTAATATGTATATGTATATTTTTTATAATAGATTCAGTGTGTGTTTAATTTAGTTTGTTTCTTAGAATCATTGTTATTTTATCACCTTTCTTGGGAATTTGTGAAAATAATACGAAAACCATATATACATTGTATGAAAGTGATATGAGAATTATATTCTTCTCGCTGCATTAATTTTATTTTTATTCTAAAATATTTTATATTTTAATTTTTTTTATATTTAATGCAAATTATTTGTGATTATATGATTAAATTTAAAAAAAAAATTAAAAGCATATTTTTTATTTATTAAATTATATATTTAGTTTTAAAAAAAATATTTATGAATTTCATCATTTAGTTTATTATTAAAGATAGGCCAATACTCATTAACTCTAGCTTTATTTAGCGATTTAGAGAAAAGTTTCAAAATTGTTCACTTTCATTTTTAACTTTCACAGTCACGTCTCTTTATTTTGTTTTTTCAACATTACTACACTTTTGATGACTACTTTTGTAAGATATTTCTAGGAGTGTATACGATACGATATTATCAACTTCGTTTTTTTTCTGAATTATTTAAATTTAACGTTGACTCAATCAAAATTTAAAAAATAGGAGACAAGATAGACAGTCTAATTTATTGGTATAATAATTAATTTCAACATTTTATATAGTTAAATTATTAATTTTAAAAAGCATAACTTAAAATTAAGATATATTTGATAGGATATATTTCAAAACAAAGAATATTAATATAAATAGTAATAATATTTTGTTAAGGAGATTATTATTAATTCAATAAAGAATCTTTATTATTAATATATAATTCTGAAAAAAGTGTAAATTAAAAAAAAAACAAAAACAAAAACACCCGAACAAGTTGAAACGACTTGAACTCATGGAAATGAACTTCACACCAGGCCGGAATAAAGAAATGGGACAGATCATGAATAGATTTAAATATTAGAAAAAATAAACTCATGAGTTTCTATTAAAAATTATTCATTCTTATCATTCTCATATTCATATTAGCTTAGTTATTAATCTACATATTAAAATTTAAGTGTTATTATTTTATTTATCAAACACCTCAATTCTGTTAATATAAACAGTCTTATGCATGTCGTTTTTTTAAGTTAAATAAGAGTTGGAGTATGTCTGAATCAAAGTTTTGGATTGGAGGAACAAATATAACATGTCCTAATAAAAAGTTATTGAGAAAATGTTTTTAATAAAAATATATTCACACATTGTATTGGATATGGAACTGTTTGGTCCTACATATAGAAAAAGGAAACCAAGCACCTATTCAGCCTAGTTTGGCCGAATATTTTTTGTCAGAATTAAAAGGTAATCAACCCTTAATAATTATAACATTATTTACTTTAAATAAAGGGCTAAAATTACTGACTCAGTAGGCCCATTAGTCCATAACAATGCCTATAAAAGGAATGTAGGAAGTACAGATAAAGAGTTAACTTTTCATTATTAAACAACATTTATTGCTCAAAACTGAATCCTGACTTTAGCATTAGAGTGTCTTTTACAGGTATCTTCCTTACGTCAGCAACAATTAGAAGGACGTCATCGCTCCAGAGTAGAAATAAGAAAAATAGTATTTCTTTAGCAGGAACACGCGTAATTTTCAAGTAAATGTTAAAATTAGTAAAGTTATTGAGAAATATCAATATGTGAATAATAAAAGAAAAAATAAAACTAGTTAAGCAAGGCCAAGAATATCAAATTAATTATTGCAGGACAACAACAGTCATTTTAGTGCAATGAATATAATTTCTCTTAAAATACTATGCGATTCAATGGACAATGAATTTGATTCCTTGCAAACATTGGACTTTGAGTGCATTAAATGTATACCCCGATCCCCGCCTATTCTTATTTCTTCATATAATAAATATTGTAAGCAAACAAATAAATCAAATAGAAGATATATTAATCCTATAAATGTATATAAACACTTGATGAATTCAAATATATTTAATAAATAAATTAATAAAAAATAATATATAAATTTATATTTTACATTATTATATGATATGTATTTTTTATGTTTTACAGTGTTTTTTTAATAATACTTTTTTTACTAGTCACTTAAATAAATAAAACAACACTTTTCATTTTATTTTTCAATTACAATTTCAAAAGTTACATTATTAATTTTGACACTAAAAAAAATTATAACAACTTCTCTGTGACAAAGAAAATGCTGAGAAGAAAAAAAAATACATAATAAAAATAGTTAAAATATAATTATTAAATATAACTTTAATTTTTAAAAAAATGTAAATTTATTTCTCATAGAATTATTTTCCTAATTGGAATAATTAAAAATATTACTTTATCAACTTTTAAAAAATATATCATTAATGATGTTTAATTTGTATTAAGTCATATAATAAATATATTTGAATCCTCAAAATTTACAACTTCGCAGTCATCACCTAATAATTATAAAATACTTATACTACCATGTATACATTAAACTATGAGTAATTTTAAACTCTCATCCTAATTTCTAAGCTTGCAAATCGATATTTAAAAATAAAATTAAAAAGTTGTGTTCATTCGTAAAATAAAAAGGCTTGTTCTTGTACCCTTTCGTGGTCCTCACCCTTTAATAATACGTTTAATGTGGGTTTAGAGACCACTATTTTCGCTTCTTTCAAGAGTCAACAATTAACATTTTAATAAAAACATAGCTTTACAAAGAGATTCTTTTAGGTTTAATTTGTTTAAGGTATGTCAAGTTATTTTTTGAATAAGTGAATTTGAGAGTGTGAAATTAACGTGCTTTTTAATTAAGAAGTGAATATTTTGTTAGTTTACACATTTATTTCGATAATAAGAAGTTTGCTATTTTCCTGAATATCAAAATTCATTTCTTAAGTCAATTGTTAATTTTTGTTATAATTAAATTTTAACAAATGACTAAAACCCGTGGTATTTCCCAAAAAATGTAATTTCTGAAGATGTAATAGTTTATCTAAAATAATTTCCATCTTGGGTCATTCGTTTGACTGTTTCGTTCTTAATTTAATAATTTTATTTTTTTATTTATTTAAATACACATTTGATCTAAGGTTTATAAAATATAAGCAGTGCTAACAAGGGTTGCTTGCTCATACAACGTTGCCAAATCAGTCTACGGGTCAAATGGGCTGCCCCATAGGCCCTTTTTTAAAACTTGAATGCTGACCTTGAAATTTTATAGTTGACCAAAAAAAAATCCTAGAAATTTTATAAAACAAACATAAAAAACTTGCATTTTTAGTTTTGTAGATACTAATTCAAAATTTTAACTCATGCTTTGTTAGTTTTACCTCAAACAAATTATGTAGCCCAAATAAATAAGGTTGGCAATCAAATTAAATTAATAACTTAACATTAATTATTAAATATATATTTGAACCATCTTGCACCAGTTTAGCCAAAATTTGAGTTGAACTGTGTTAGACCAAAATCAATTTAAGTATATATTTTTTCAACACTATTCATATTTTATAATAAGTTAAGAGCTCGTTTAAGGCTCTATTTATTAATAAAAAAAAATCCTTTTGTTAAGATTCTATTGCACTGTCTTAGAATTCATTTTTATTACATAATTGAGTTGAAAAAAAATATGCTAAAATGCTAAATTAAACAGGCTGTAAATGAGTTAGCTTTTCGAGATAGACCCATTTAATATAATTAAGTGATCTTTAAAAATTAAACAAGATTGATTTTTAAGCTAGCTAGATAGTATAATTAAGTGATCTTTTTAAAAAAATTGAAATATTGGACATAATTAAAAAAAATCAAGTTTTCTTCATTGTTAATTATTTAGGACTGAACCTAAGCATGTGCATTGATTAAAGGTACATGCCAAACTCATTCATGAAGTTAGGTGGATATGATTATATTGATCTTTGAATATTCACAAATTCTTTTTGGCACTTCAATGCAGTCCATGGGGTGAGTGCTTCACTGTCCATCGTCTCCCTTCTGTAAGCACGCAAGGATCTGATATATTTAATCTAAATTAAAAAAATATGAGTTAGTTTGAATCATTAGTTAGTTTGATTTAAATATTAACTTATTTAATGAAATTTATTTGGATATTAAATTTTAAAGAATAATTTTAATTGTAATAAAAAAATTAAATTACTTAAATACTCGATCTAATTAATATATTGTTCAATATCTAAAATTATTTTTTATATTTACGCACACACCAATAGTATGTAAAAAAAAAAAAATTAACAATGCATGTATAGGATTACATAAATAATGCAAAAAAAAAAACTCTTAATTTTCTAACAATTTTTTTATATTTTTAATTTTTAATTTTTTTTTAAATAATAGACTTGATATCATGATTTTGGTTTTAATAGATGATTAAAATTACACCAAAATCGAAATTAAAAGCTTCTGATTACATCGTTAGTATAAAGTTTGTGACACTTAAAATCCAAGACAACCATCGTTCCTTCTTTATCAACGTTTTTATTAAAAGTATTTATAAAATAATTCAAATTCTGATCTTTACAGTTTGACACAGATCAAGTTGGATTAATAAACATTTGTTGAGAAATACACACAAAGAAATAAAGAAAAATGAAAATGAATTTGGACCGATGAAACAATTTTATCAGTGGATGGTAAGGTATATTATAAAAACAAAGCTAAAGGAGCACTTCAACAACTACCATGATGTTTTGAGCACCAGGGGAAATAACAATTGCGAACCTTGAGGCTTCAACTTTATTGTGTTTGCATATCTTTCCAGTGATGCACGTTTTTTCTGGTTCGTACGTCAATTAACAAGTTGAGATGTAAAAGCAAACTATAAATTGATCCAGATTGTTCAACTGCCAATTTTACTAGTTCATGTGATTTTTCAGTGTTTTGGTTCTAAAGGTTATTCAGACTAGTTTACGAATTCACTGGACAAACCTTTTTAATTTAGTTCAATTTTTAAAATTATGCATGGAATTAAATAAAAAAGAATAACATCCTTACAAAACTTTTAAATTAAATTAGGTTTGCTTTTGGAATCAATGAGGTCCTTACCACAAAATTAAAAATTACGAAGGGAAGCACAATATAAACAAAATCTCGAGAATATCATTTCAAATTAGAAATGTGTACTTTATTTTTTTTTAAAAATAATGTTAGAAGATTCATTTGTTGACGATGACCTAAGACTAGCTCTACAGATTATTTTGCTAACAATCATATTTCTCCTTCTAACGAATGTCAGTAGTAGATCATCTAACGCATTATTTTTCCTATATAATAAAAGGTCATGCGTTTTTTTTAAATAATTTCTTTGACCTGGTAAAAAAGTTTCATTAGAATTGAGAAGAGTAACTGATAGTAGAAATCAAAATTGTCCGCTTTTTATAAGCAAAAATGGTATTCATTAACTAAAATAAAAGTTATTACATTATTAAATAAATTAGACAAATCTCTTTAGCAGAAATACCCACAAGAAAGAACTTCTTATATGGGAAAAGTCCTTTTGCAGTAACGCATCAAACTGGAAGAATTACAATCCATTAACTTTCGCCTGCGGCCCCAAAATATATTAAAAGTGATAAAATGATCAGCATGTTCAGAAAACTAGGAAGTAAACTAGTATGCACCAACCGGTGCTCACACACGAGCTCACCAAAGGATTGAGATCTGGTTAGGATGAACTTCCGCTATTTCGTGTAGTAATGGATAGTACAAAGCCACTCACCCAATAGTTATTTGCACCAAGTTATACGTTGCTCTTTAATAAATATGGGTGCGTTTGAAAGAACTTATAAAAACATCTCATGACTCTCGTAAGATCTTATCTTTTCAAAATAAGCTTTTTCATATAACCTATCAAAATAAGCTCTTTTAGGTTTGTTTCAGCAAATTTCATTGTCAAATTTATGGTTTAAACCCTTGTGTTATATTATGTAATAAGAGCTTACTAAATAAGTGCTAAATTAAATTATTATAACTTGGTTGGCCCTAGTGAGCCATACATAGGTAATTCAACAGACTATTTAAGGGCATTCTCTTTACTTGCTCTAGACGACAATGCTTCCAAGTCACCAACAAAGCCTAATTGCATAATTTGAAAAGATCAAGATTGAAGACCCCTTGTAAACTGAAACTAAATCTAAGAAACAATTTGAATTATGACACGAATGCGTTGATCAAAGCAGAACACAGAAAGGAACTGCAGGATATTCTATTAGCACAACGTGGTATAATTGCACACTAATGTAAATGTCAAGGAAATCAAGTAAGCAACCATATTGCGATTATGAAAAGTTAGGATCAAGTAAGAAACTAATCAATGAATAGAGAAATGTACACTGACTGTCCTCACGGTAATCTCAATGAGAAATTCCAAAGAAGAATGATCAATAAATGGACATCTCATAGTACAATTTCTCAAGTAACATATAGTTGATACGAACAAAAGAAAACCTTTTTCTATCCCGCAGAATTCACCATCAGCATTAACAAAAAATAAAAAGAAAAATAGGCAGCTAAACATACAAGCAGTATTCCCTTGTGGACACTTCTCTAACAGCAGAAGGTTTAAAAGGGGGCAAAACAAAGGATAAAAAAAAGGGTATGCAGAAAACGAATGAAAGGAGGAACCTGAACCTGAACCACAAACCCAGTTGCGAACGATTCCCCTGATATTTGTGGCAGAGAGGTCAACACCCAAATTCCTTAAACAAGGCTTCAAAGCTCAAATTCTTCATCCTTGAGAGCCATTTCTGCTGCCTCTTCTTCCTCCTCATCAAGAACAAAGTACTCATTCTTCTCAACAGGTCTAAACATATAGAACATGACAACATAAAATGCGAGACTCGCAGCCTCCTCGGCGGCATTGCTCACCCACTGGTACTTATAAGCAGCAATAGTTCTCAACGCAAACACCACTATTCGGGTGAAATACAGATACCCAATAACAACAATATAAAACTGTCTAAAAAGCGTTAATTTTGCCAAATTCCTGGAAGCCTTACCATCAGTTTTGGACGTTTCTCTGAGCGACCTAATAGACCAAACAATAGGGAAAATAATGGCACAACAACAGATAATATCCACAAGCAAGAAAATCTGGTTCCAAGTAACCCAATCCTTAATAAACGGCCCCGTTTCACCAATCACAACGGAAGCCAAATTAGCCAGAACCTGAAGCGGGATCACGATCATCAACACCTTCTTCTCCCTATCCTGCAAGAAGGGTTTCAGGAACGACCACCCCGTCCCAATCAAAACGATAACCGTGAAGAGCAAAACGACACGGATGAACTGAAAAATATAGAACAACACATCCCATCCATGAGAAAGACCCGTGACTTTCACGTAATGCTTATCCTCTGCGGCGCAGATCAGGTTAAGAGCCTTCATGAGAAGCAACAGAGCCATCAATAGATGAATGCGGTGAACGGATCGCTTATTGGTGTAACAGATGTAACCCCAGAAAGCGAAGAAAGCGAGGTACACAATTGAGAAGATAGAGAAGAGAGAGGGAAGGTGGGTTTGACCAGCGGAGAGGTAGTCTCGGGAACCGTCGGAATCGAGATTGTAAACCTCCGTGCGAACCACCATGGAAACGGAGGTTTCAGGGGCGCAGTTAGCGAAGAAGAGGCTGTATTCGTTGGGGGAGGTGACCGGGTATGACCGGTTAAACGATGCCAATGGCGGTGGAGAGAGGTCGCGGAATGTGAAGAGACGGAAGATGTAGTGAGAATCCAAAACGCAGAAGGAAGGGTTTTGTTGGATCTCCATTAGGACTTGAAGGAGTGCTTCTTCGTTCAGCAGGAAGAAACCTAGGCGCGACGATTCCGGTTGCACTGCGGAGGAGAGAACCGCCACAGATACCGATGAGACGGCCACGGACACGTGGCCCTTGTGCGTGAACCCGAATTTCTCGAACAGGATCATGGGACGGGTGTCGGAGTTTATGGCGAGGGATTTTATCTCCGCCGCGGAGGGGGAGATGAGGGTGGAGATGAAGAGGATTAGTATTGCGGCGAAGGCTTTTCTCGTCTCGGCCATGGCCATTGCTGTTTGGTGAAACTCAACTTGAGGTTCTGGTTCCGAATGGGAAGAGACGAAAGGTATCCAATCCTAACATAGATCTGAATCTGAGTCTCATTCTCAACGCGTTCGTGTCGACGACGACGTCCCACCTACGCCAAATCATGTCTATGGGCCTTCCAAGTTTTTTTTGAGCCCTTTTCTACTTCAGCCCAGTATTTGTGTTTCAATGAATATATGTTAATGGGTCTGGCCCACAAGCGTACCCCGTTTTCTTCCACTTCTGTTTCTTCAATCGCACTTTGGGCCTTTCGTGTTTGGATTTTGTGTGCGAACAAAATATCCCACTTTGTTACTTTTGTAAACGAGTGAAATGTTGGATAACACCCTTTTTAACACACATCGAAAGGCATTTTTCTCATACTAATGTTTTGCAGGACAACAATGATCCAGTGTGTTTTATGTGTGGTTACAGATAGAATTTTCAAAGTGTAAAATATTATTATTAATCTATGTATTGATATTTCTTACACGAGATCGTTTGGTTTTACGAAATATTTTTTATTTTAAAGATTTGTATAGAAAATATTGAAATAAATTTAAAAATGAATAAAACTAAGTAATATTTTTATAATTAAAAGTAAAAATAAAAAATAAAACTAACAAGATTTGATTAGCAAGAATCAACAAGTTTCCTACTTATTTGGTTGAGTGGGTGATAAAGAATCTCCAAAACGTATTAAGTTTCCTGCTTTTGTCTTGTACTTTACAACTAACAAGATTTGATTAGCAAATTTCAATAAGGAATTTGTGGAGAATGGCTTTAAAAGATGTTATTAGTTGAATGCTCAAAGTATTTTATTTAGTTCCTTTTTTATAAGGATCCGTTGGTATGGGGCCTTCCAACATGTTAATCGACATGCTATATGTCTTTTTCCACTTGGCACAATATTGTGACATGATTGAAAGTGTCCTACAAGAGAGGATCACACCCTTTCTTTACTTCTTTTCTATTTTCACTAATTAAATATTGATTAATGATAACCCACCCATCAATTGTATAACATCTGATCTGGTTTGTCCAGCCCAACACTTCTACACTACATTAAAATGGGAAAGCCAAAAATTGTCGTTTTACTTTAAAATGCATATTTTAAAACATGTATATGAGAATAAGATAAAATAATAAACAATAAAAAAAGTGTATATAAAATCATATATAATATTAATTTTTTAATATTTAAATCACAAAACATAATCACTTTATAAACAACTAACCCAAATTATTACTTGCTTTTCTTCCCAAGACTCCCCGATGTCCCCTTCACCCACCACCACAAAAAAGAAACATTTTTTTTAGATAACCAAATCACTGTTATTTTATTGAAACCTACATATAATAATTTGTGTTCACTAAAATTCTCATATGATATTTTTTAAAGAAATTGATTTAATTTGTATTTATTTATTCATGAATGATAATTTTCCATTTTCTAAAATATTTTATTTTTCATTTATTCTTTCTTCAAATTCAAACCCTTGCATATAAAAAATGCATATGCACAGTCTTCTCATGAACGGTTCGGCCAATTTTAGCTAATATGAATTTGAAGGACAAACCTTGCATATGAAAAATGCATACACAGTCTTCTCATGAACGGTTTGGCCAATTTTAGCCAATTTGAATTCCAAGGACAACCTTTCTTTCTCCAATAATTTAGTCAATGAAAAAAACATTATTAATTTATTATTAGTCGAGAAGTGGTGACATGACTGATTCAATAACAAGCTGTCTTTACCATGCATTGGCTGTATTTTTGGGTCACTAATATAATATCTATATTCCTTTCCATTCGTTGCGCCTGGTCGCACAAGTGCAAAGGCTAGTACATCGTACGGTCACTACGGTGAAGTACTGAAAACACAGTAGTTGGAGGGGACTCATATTGTTTCTCAAGGATCTAATTGGTGATATAAAGGACTATAGTGGTACAATGCATCTCAATTTGTGATTTTAAGACCTTTTAAGCCAAAATCCAAACACACATAACGAATTTCAACGTAGGTAGCACTACAATTCCTTTCCCCCATTTGGCTTTCTTCTTTGAACAGGAAATAATGGTCCTCTAGTTGGATTTGGGTGCTGTCATTCCTGTTAATGGGCCCGTAGCTTCCCTTACAAGTCACAATTATCGCTTGAGCTTAAAAAGATCATACTTGAAAGTCATTCTGTGACTGTTAATTTGATTAAAGAGCATTACGTAATGCAATATCAGATATAAGATACACAAATTAACATTTTTGGGCTGTTTAATTATGTTTTGATTAAAAAAAGAAAGAAAATTTCTTCTATTCATATTGCTTTTACAAAACAGAGAATTAAAAGCACGCTTGTTAAAATTTTTCTACAAATGTGTCTTTAAATTTTAAAGCAAAGGAAAATACAAAGCTTGTTTGAATCTTAGGCATCTTTGTCCCCAGGTTTGCATTACTATTGCCCCTCTCCACTGTTAACCATCATTGACCATCGATTAAAGCCACTCTCTAACTTCATCTGATCAGTCATGTATCCTTACGAAATTTGCAACTAGCAACATTAGATCAATTTCTTAGGATTTGTTGGAGAAAGTTAACTTGAAGAATTTGGTGGAAAAGTTAAAGAAAGCTTTAGACGTGGGTAGGTTTCAGGGAAAAGAACATCTGCGAGGACATGGTCTTGTTTTTTACAATTGTGCCAATTCCAAGTGTTTAAGGAGATGGCACATCAATAGTATATCTTGATTTGTTCACGGTTCTTGATGTGTTCATTGTAGAAGCTTATTTTGGTTTATTTGAGAACTGAAAACCAAACTAGAAAATAACAACATCCTTGAGAAGTTCTCTAATTTTTGTTTTAAAAAACTAAAAAATAAATGACGTTTTAAAATCAAATTAAAACATTATTAGTAATTAATCAAACAAGTTTTTTTATTCTTTTGAAAGCTAAAAAACTTTTTAAAAACAATAATTAAAATAGGTCCTTTGTTTTTAAAAGTTGACTTTTTTAAAAAAATTCCGCTCCAACTAAATAAAAAAATTTAAATATATTTTTGTATTTTAGTAAAATTTTAATTTTAATCTCTATTTTTATTTTGATATTTTTAAATTTAACAATTTTAACTATTAAATAATGATATAAGAATATCTCATAAAAATATAAGAATAGAAAATATATTAAACTTAAAAATTTATATATATATATATATATATGTATATATTAATAAAAAATTATTATATATAATTTATTATCATGTTTAATATTAATTGTTACTTTAAAAATATAAAACATGGTTTTAATATCTTTCTAAACTTTAGTTTGGTAGTTGCTAACTTGGCTTTGGCTTTACTAAATCAACCAAATCCATTGGAAATCAAGTTGGATAGGGAATCTACAGGAGAATAGGAACTTGGTGAACGAGGACAAAGCAATTGCTTTCGAGCTTTGTTTGTTGCCCCATTCTTTACTTTTTCCTCAATCTCGAAACCAACGCTAACCCCCTCTTGGCTTTGGAGAGGGAGTGATAATATACCCACTGCATTAGCTTCGAATGGCCCATAGCCTCGCCTTTCATGGGGTCAAACCTGAAGTTTAGAATTTCAAAAACAGTAATATAACATGGAAAGAGCCAAAGGAAAAAAAAATTGCTAAGAGAGAGAACAGTTAAATTTGACTTGGTCAAATAAATGGACATTTTCATGACCATGAATAATTGCCCATAACTTATTTTAAATTTTATACCACCTATAAAGATAGAGAGAAGAATAAAGAAGAGTTACATAGAATTGATTGGTCAGTTATAGACTATGGCACAAAAGGGAAATGGAAAACTAGACAAAAACCTTCTTCCACGAGATGCCCCGTTTAGGTTTCTCATGGTCAGACACACCACTACGAATGGGTAAACTGACTTGAGACATGTCTTCCTAGAAAGAAAATTGATGCCCTTTCCAAGATGTGGCAGTCTGGCACATAAGCATGTCGGTGAACAAGCAATAAGGGTAAGAAAAATCACTTCATTTACTGTGTCAATATTTAATTTTTAAAATATTAACGTTACTAACTTTATTTTATAAATTTTCAGCGTTTAAAAATTACTTTAATAACATAATCATTTAATTTAATCACTTCTTTTATAATATCTATTTGCATGATCACAATACTTCTAAGACTTGCTAATGCATGGCATTACGTTGGTCGAACATGAGAAGATAAGGATGTATAAAATGGGGATGTGGATTCATTTTATTGAGACCTCCCACGTAGATGTATCATTTACCTGCCTCTGTACTAGCTTTGATCCAGTATATGAATCATTCTTACTTTTGTTTTCATGGTACGAAGAGCGTGTTACTTCCATTGAAACTCAATAAAAAAACAAGATTAGTGTCAACATCCTGAGTTGTAGAGCCTCAACCTTTACATAAGGCATATCGAATTCAAATAGAAGAAGACAATAAAATGAGGATAGTATGTATGAATGAAACACATGATTGTGTCAATTATGTCAGCCACTAATTACGGACGATATGTTGTCGGGATTGAATCTCTCCTTTGCAGTTCGAGTTGAACTTACTTAATTTGCACCAAGTGTTGGTTGACCCAGCCTCTTCTTCACTACTGAGAAGACCATTCATGACACGTACAATTATTATTCTATAGGTAAACAAGTTTAATTATTTGAACTAATAAGAATTACTAATACATGTTTTAACTTATTTTTAAGTAATTAATAAAATATTAAAAAATATTTATTATACTTTCGCATATGTGTTTTTAAATAAACATTTTTTAAGACTCAAATTTAATCTTAAAAATAAAAAATATTTTTTATATACACACATTTTAAATGCATTACAAATATAAAAGTATCTCCTTTTAGTAATACAAACGATATATTTCTAAAAGAAAGAGCGTAAAAGAAAAGAAAGACAGTGAAAGCCACTAAGGAACTTTCAAGAAACATCATTGCTTTCTTTATTGTTCTGATGTGGGTGACTGACGCTCATCTGTCTCCATGGTGCATTTGTGGTGCTGGAAAAGTGAGAGAGACAGTATGAGGAAAATAAAACCCTTCACTTGAAGAGTTAAGACTAGCTTCATTGGTACATTCACTGATTCACATTACGTTCGCATGTCACTGGACTCCTACGTACTCTTTGCATCAGGGCATAACTATAAAGGGAATGGTTTATTCTCATTTATAAAAGATTAAATTTTGTAAAACTTGGATGATTAAACTCATTTTCTCCCAGGCTTTAATTATCAATACTTAGATTTTTACTTATTTCTTATAGACATAGACTCAAAGGGAATTATGATTATAATTCAAGGCATATTTATAAATGTCTTACTATTTGAATAAATAAAAGACATGTTAAATTTTTATTACTTTTTTTTGAATTTTTTGGTACAAAAATTGGTTACAAATTCTTCATTTATTGCAAAAGTTTTAAAATATTAAGAAATGCATTACCAAATACGTGGATCAGGAAAGTAGTTCGATCCAGTTTGAACAAAAATATTTGTAGTATAAAAAAATATATTAAAACATACCATTTAATTACAGGAATATAATTACTTGATTTAAGTAATTAAAAATTAACATAAAAATTTATTAAATTTTGTTAAGGTAGTTAACTTTGGAGCTCAAATTTTTTTTTTCAGATTATCAATAAATTTAATTTTTATAATAATACTGTTTTTATTTAAGTATATATAAAACTGTATAGTTAAAAAATATACTAGTATAACAGTCAAAAGAATTATATATATATATATACTAGAAAAAAAAAAGTATATATATATATATATATATATATATATGTAAATAACATTAAATGAAAGTAATATTTTTAATATTTTTTCAATCTTCATTTATGATGAGACAACCACTTAATGAACGCATAAATAATCATAAAAAACTGGAAAGGCAATAACTACTAAAGAAAAAAAAATTAATAATTGTAGTAACGCCCCATTAAAAATATTTCTTTTATATGTTTATATCTTTTATTGCATATTTTTATCCATTTAATGTTTTACAACATTTTAAACATTAAATTAGTTTTTAAACAGTAGGATGCGATAAATTATTAATCATATGTTTGAATTTGCAGTTAAATATTTATAGATTTTTAATTTTAATAGTTCTAATTTTTAGGTTAAATTTATAATTACTTTTATTTATATTATAAATTATTAAAATTAAATATATATAAAACCGTAAATTCATCAAAAGAATTAACTTAGAACACGTTACACATAGACGGTCAATGTCAATGTATACATATTAATATTAATATAAGAAGACATGTGACGAATTATATATATATATATATATATATATATATATATATAACATTAAATGAAAGAAATATTTTTAATATTTTTCAATCTTCATTTATGTTGAGATAACCATTAAAAAAGTCATGAATAATTAATTATAGTGAAAATAAGGAATAAAAAATTGGAAAGGCAATAACTACTAGAGAAAAAAGAATTAAATAATTATAGTAACGACATATTAAAAATATATATTTAATATGTTAGCATCTTTAATCGCATATTTTTTTATCCGGTCAATGCTTTACAAAAATTTGAATGTAATTCAAACAGTAGAAGGGGTGTAAAGTTAGTAGAGGCTATAACTTAAAAGTTTACATTTTTCTAATAAAAAGAATTAATTAATTAAAAAATAATTCTTATATATAACAAAGTTTGGCACCATCTTCCTCTTCATAAAAAAGAATCCTTTGCTCCTTAGAAAGCTCAATTTCCCATAGGCATCTCAATTCTGTGACAAAGCACATGAAATGGCCACAAAACAGCAGGTTTCGTTGGTTCGTGTGGATGAAGACTACATCGACATTGAACTAAGTTCTTCACCAAACTTCTTCTCTTATTCCATTGGCTCTCCCCAGCACAACAGAGAATTCGAGTTCCAGAACAAGAAAGAGTCCACAACTTACCCTGCTGATGAACTCTTCTACAAGGGAAAACTCCTTCCTCTTCACCTCCCTCCTCGCCTCCAAATGGTTCAAAAGCTTCTAGAAAAAGCTGATGCAAAGTTTGGCTATGTGAGATCACAGTCTTCATTGGAAGACAGTAGCTTTCCCTACACCACTGATATTAGAATGCATTCAACAAACGCTAACACTCCTCTTGAGTCCTGCAACATCTCTCCCTCCGAATCATGCAGGGTCAGTTCTAGTGAAGCATACCCACCTGAATTTCTGTTTGATTGGTCCGCTGAGATTGATGGGTTGGTTGGGGATCTTCCAAAGAAGCCTTGTTCCAAGAAGCTCAAACAAACTAAGCAGTTCTGGCTATGCCAAAGGCTTAAGGCTTCACGAGCTTACCTGAAGTCTTTGTTTGGCAAATCTGGTTGCTCAGATAAGTGCTGTGCCAGTGCTGTGAACAAAGTGGGAGCAGTGAAGAAATCAAAATGCAAGGAGTGTGAGAACAAGCATGTGAAGAGTGTTAAGAATAACCCGTTTGAGATTTTTGATGATAATATGCATCAGAGATCCTTTGCAATCAAGAAGAACATAAACAGTGACATGCTTGAAGATGGCTTTGTTAACAACAGCAGAAGGTCTTTCTCAGGGGTGATTCTACGACATTATGCTTCCAAGGCTTCCTCTTTGTCCACTTCTTCATCTGGGTCATCTTCCTCATCTTCGTCCTTTTCACTTAGCTCATCTGGGTCTTATGATTTGCAGTTGTTCAAGAAGGGTATCAGTGTAAATTCTGAGCTGGAAAGTTCAATTGAGAGTGCTATAGCCCATTGTAAACAGTCCCAGCTACAGAGTAGTTCAAAGAAGATTTGTTCACAATCTGGAGTTTGTGGAAAACAAGAAATGAACAGGACTTGGCTGAACCAAAAGGGGTGTGGGAGAGTGGATAAGACCCTCCTGGAAAAGAATCAATTTTTCATTTGAAATGCAATTGTATATTAAGTGACTATGATGCTTGAATTAACAAATTGGGTTTTCCAGCATTAATTTGCTCAAGTTGATACTCTTGCTCCTTCCTCCCCAATTCTTGTACATGTTGGACATACTTAGTAAAATTGAATCTTTTAGCACTTAGCAGTACCATTGTTATTATTAGTCCTGCCGAATGCAATTCACTCAAGCGAAAGTGACTTTTGTTTTTCAAATAAAGCATATTCTGATAAGTCGTCATGAGAATTCTCCATGACAAAGAGCCATGATAGGATACTGTGTTCTTGTCTTTTCAAATTTGAAATTGGTCCACACCCTTTAATTAACCCTCCTGTGCCACTCCACGAGTTTTGAGAATTTGAGCGTTTCACAAATAGGCTGTGATATTAACCCCTACTTTAAAATCTCACTTAATTATAGTTATTTTGTCCCTGATATCCTTACACTGTGACATCAACCCTACAAATATTGTATATGGTAAATTAACTGCAGTCAAGTGCAAACAGTTCCCCCACATTTTTTTACAAATTTTCTTGGTATAATTCACTGTGAAAAATAAGTTTTTATCCCAAGTCTAATTGTCTGGATCGGACTCTTTTTCCCAGAACTAGATTCCTCAATGACTGCTTCAGCCTTTCCCTGCAATTATTCTTTCAGAGTTCAACAGATAACAGACAGGATGCGCTAGTGTATAAAATTTATGAATGCCATGTTTTATCCCTTTCCCTTTCTGCTCTGTTTAAATGTGTCAAGCTTTTCTGTGAAAAGAAGGAAAAGGTGCAAGTCATATAGAATAACCTAACAGCGACCCCAAAAAAAGGTTACTAACAGCCACTCACCTTTTTAGAGGAAGAAAAAGCGTAAAAAGCGCATAGAGTAGTCTCATCTGTAAGATGTGAAAATCATGGAACATTTGGTGCCTCAAACCTTTTCTTCGCCGACTTGTCCTTTTTTAAAAATAATCATGATTACTAACAATGAGTCCCAAGCCAAGCAGCATAGTTGACTGTAGAGTAAATGCTAAAATGGTGCAATACAATTTTGAAAATGGTTTTTGAATAATTTGGAGATAAAAGTTAATTATACCTTTTAATTTCTTTATGTATTTTAGAATGCATGTAAAAAGTAAGTGAAAAACAAGGATTTGATTTCAATATTGAGAACTATAAGTATTTTTGTTAGTGCTTTTAAAATTTTGAGGTACTTCTTACTTTTGTGAGCTCCGTATCCAAGTCATCTAAACATTTCTTTACCAAAACAATTACTATGCACTTACCAAAGTGTAACAGTAACCAACTTCCAAATTGTGATCACAAGCTATGTCTACCTTAATTTTGGAAGGAAAGAAAGAATTCCCAATTTCATTCTGTAAAGTGCGAAGCCCCACCACATATACAACACAACTTTGCCCGCGCGGGGCATTTATTGTGTAAATGTTACATTTAGAAAAATAAGAACATAGTGTACAATTATTCTGCCAGACAATTAAACCTTTACGCGTGCACTCATTGGTTTCTCTTGGTTTTGACTACCATTAAACTACGCAAACATGAAACTGAATCACATGCGGAGAGTTCGAAGTTGCACCTATACGTGATTGCTGTAGGGTACCGATTAACAAACAAATACAACACAACACAGAACAAGCAATTAGTTTTCCCCATCAATGGGTTAATTGATCATAGTCCTAATGATCAATGGATAAAGATAAGTATCTCTCTCTCCCTCCCTCTTTGTACGTTGATATACTTCTTTTTTTCATGATAAGAAAAAAAAACTCATAATTTTATATTTTTATAATATATTTCAGGCAATGATAAATAGTGTATTCTTAACCCTCAAATGTACTCTTAATAGATGTTCCTACTCGAACCAAAAACATTTACAGTATGGTAATATTAACTCTTTAGCAAGAATATTTTTATATATACAAGATTTGAATTTGATCCTCGAACTCATGAGCACTTTGGTAGAAATGCAAAAGAATAATTTTATGCCAATATTTAACGTAAAAACTCAAATTTGTATCGTGACTCATTAATAATACCAGAGACTTCTGTAGGATCAAAATATGAATTATGTAATCGAATCCTGGAGGTTTAGTTTGGTGATGAATGTAATCATAAGAAGGAATCATGCACCTTTAGATTTCTAATTCTCATGCACAATTCTCCGTTTTTTGGTAGAAAGAGGTTAACAATAAAGATTTTTGTTGTTTTCTTTTCATCATGTAGAGTTGCATTCCAAAGGTCCCGGCAGTGTAAGCAGAAGAAGAAACCACCAACCGAACAGATCTTCGTGGGTGTCATCGTTATCATCAAAGAGTTGCAACTTGCATTAATTGGTCACATCAAATCGTCAAGCCAAATTGCTAGAGTTGATTGGTGTCCCTCCTATGAAAATTTAGCTTCCCATGAACACATCCCGACTCAAGAGAATTTGAACAAACAAATAAACGTTGCCTTGCTCTAGTGGTTATTATACTCCTCGTACACGACAATATAACAATGCATTATTAGTCCTTCATTTGCATTTATCGACCCTGTCGCGTCCAACTAGCTAGCAAATAAATAGCAATGTAAGCTTTCATTTATGTATGATTTCAACAGGAAACTATTGATAGAAGACAGGAAACATTATATTAGGAGTCAAAATTATATAGGTCAATAAAATAAAAAAGGAACAATATGATGAAAATAAAACTATTTTCCCTTTATTCTATTGAATGTTTACTGTTAAAAAATTAGCAAATGTCAGCACGAAAAGAAAATTACATATTTTTTTTATCACATTATCTATCACATCTTTCATTTTTTAATTTTTCTTTTCTTTTCTTTTGATCTCTTTCTTTTTCCATCAAATTCACACCCTCGTAACATATCTAGACGTGTTCCCCAACATATATCAAGTTGACGCTAGCACACTTCGCATCACCTTCTATCCAGATAGTTTTTCAGCCCACTGAATGAATGCTGTCTCTTTTTTCCTTCTCATAATGCAATGCAAATTGTCATAGATATTATTTCGATAGAGACGTTAAGGAGAACAAAAATATAATTTGGCATTACTTAAGACACTTACGTTCGAATGTTCGAACTTGGAACTTCACATTATTCCTCTCTCCCCCCCATTATTGCATGGTTACAACTTATAAATAGTAGTTTCCAACTAATAAACATAAATGAATTATATAAATACAAGAGCCTTAAAAGCAAAGGCATAGCTTTCGACAAGAATATGACATCGGGTTCTGCATGGACCATGTGCCAGAAGATCCTTTTGGAAATGTTTTCCCTCATTTTCACCTAAGATTCTTAAAAGGAAGGAAAATTTAACATAAATATATTAAGAAAATTGCAAGTCTTTTCAATGTACTATTATATTTCCAAAATCATACAAAGTCGACACACATTTACTGGCTAAAACGGCATAAATGGCAGTTGGCACCTGCCAATAACCCCTAAGCAAAACTTTCTGTTTAGTTTTTACTTTTTATTCTTTGGTTTACTATTTACACACAAAACATGCATCCACATAAAGAAGGACAAACCAGAAAATGTACTTCTACCTTGGATCCATGTTTAGATATTTTAAGGTGTTTCCAAATACATAATGAGACGCTTAGGAGGAGGGTCTAGCAGCAGTTTGAAGACTTACGCCTGGGAAATGAGCTTGCAATGTGCCAAAAAAGTAGCTAAACATGTTGCATTCTCTCTCTCTAAGGGTCCATTGGCAGGTTTCATTTTGAGGATCCAATCCAGCAGCTTGCATGGGTTGTAGACTTGGTAGTCCGTAAGGATTGGGCCATTCAGTTGAGTGATATGGAGAAAATAAGAGACAAAGAATGTGTGTGGTCTGTGAAATAATTGATAACTGCTGTTTACTCACTTTTATGCTATTTGGTCCTAAAAAAACAATTTCTCTGGGAGATGTCTATAGAGCCATTTGGCATGCAGTTCGGTACAACTATAAATTCACAGTAATTCAATAAGTAGCACTGTTCATAAAGAGATCGTTTGATAGGTCCAAGAAGCTGAAGTGGTAGCGGCTACAATTACTTGTTTGATGTTAAGCAAATTGATGCTCTCTTCTAAAACAGTTGCCATGAGAAATACAAATTACTAGTTACTCATAAGCAACTCATAATTTCCAAGTTCTTGCAAGCCATAATAATTCATATAAATAAAATTGTGACATACGACATAGCGAAACAGTAAGATTGTACGATATTTATTTTCCACTGAAGCTAATGTGAAAATAAACAAGATCCAACACTTCAATTTAAAGTGGCTCATTTACTTATCAAGTGCACTATCATTACATTCTTTGCCTGCGTTTGTGGCAATAGTTAACGCTTGTTTTACTAAGAAACAAACACCTACATCAATGTCAGTGTAATTAGACACCGGGGAGGGGGTAACTCAAATGGTAGAATCAAAATTATATTGCGTACACTGTCTTGTACTCATTCTCCGAACCTGACATCATGGACAGAGACAATGATTGTCTGCTGCTACCTGTTGTTCTCTGACTTCGCAGTCTAGAGGACTCAAGGCGGTGAGCAATCACCCAGTAACAGAGTGTTCCTAGAGTAGCAGCCATAATCACTGTTCCTAAAGCTGTGGCTGCAATAGCCAGCTCTTTATGATCCCCCACAATTATATATGACATTGCAAGAAATGCCACAGAAATTAGCACACAGGCTATCCACATCAATTTATTTATAACAGCCATCATTTGTTTTTTTGCTTTCCTCTCAATAACAACCACTGATGTTTGGACAACCACAACAGCCAATGATATGAAGAGGGCAGTAGAATCAAAGACTATGAATATCATGAATGCAATATCAGGAGCAATCCATGCTTCCCCAGGAGACATTGCAGGAGTGAGGTCCTTTGGGCTCTGAGGATACTGGCCCGGGATATTGAATATGGCAGCAAAAGCAACTGTTGCAATAAGGACAGCAACAACAGTGTTGGAGTTGATTGCATTGTTAAGCCCCTCTGCATGCATTTTGTTGATTCGCTTTGCTATGCCTTGCATTCGCCGTTGTGTTTTAAATGTGTGTTCCAACTGGTTATGAACCCCACTTTTTATGTCACTCACTGTTCTTTTAAGTTCAAGGGCCGTGTTTGTAGTAGGGGACTTGATGGACTTTGCACTTTGAGCTCCATGATCTTGCAGAAAGGTGGCAATGTCCGAACGACCATTTTTCACTGCAGTATCTAAAGCAGTTTCTCCAGATTTATTAATAACATCTTTGTCCATTTCTCTGTAATGCAGTAGCTTCTGAACAACCTGCAGGATTAGCACAAAGTGTGTTAAGTTTGCTCACTATGGTCACGGGACCTAATCAAAACTGCTTAGTTTAATCAGCTAAGAGAGAAGCTAGGACTATGCAAACTGTCCAACATGTTAAAATGTAGAGTGTATAAAACTTATATAACAAACCAAAAAAATAAAAAAAACAGTTTCGATAAACTATTATATTTACACCCACCCATTTGCCGCATGACAAAAATTGTGCTCTCATTTATAACACTAGAGACATATAGTGCACAATCACCTCAAATGCTGAATAAGTAAGTGTAAAGTTCATTTCTCTTTTATCAACCAGGACACAACACAAACACAGACTTATATGCTTTGAAATACTCTCCAATTTAAATTTTAATCAATAATAAGTTCCGGTAGAAATTATGGTAAATATCAAAGAATTTGGATTTGATCAAACTCAACAGCGTCGTATGATCCATATAGGAGTTCCGAGTACAATCAACACACCAAAACGCAGGTTTTCCCCAAGTAGGAGTTTTCCTCCTTTAAACACTACAGAAACAAACTACTGCCTAACCAGCATAGTTTCTCTGCATTCCTATATCTATCTTTACGCAAATAACTGCCACCACAAGTAATTAACTGTCTTACAACAAACTGAAACTACTCAAATATCTGGTACACTAAGTTGATAACTGTCCTATAAAATTCAGAAATAACTAATCAGGCCTTGCTAGATTGAATCTAGCTTTAATTCCTCCTAACATATACCTTTACTGGCTGACTCACTGAAATTGGTGTATACTGTATCAGTATCATGGAAGCATAGTATTCTTGGGAAAATAATATTTTTTCATTTACGTTACTCAAGGTTTTGGAACACGATGAACTCTAGAATCTATGTCTAGAAGGAAATAAAGCACAAGTTCACTCAATGTAGAGTGCTATCATCAGTACTTAAGAAGGAGAAAAAAAAAAGGGAAGCAGTTATTTTTTACCTGTAAACGACCCTTCCGGCTTGCTATATGGAGTGCAGTGTTTCCCTTGGCATCCACCATATTAGCCAAAGATGGATCCAGCTTCACAAGCTCATCCACCAACTCAAGATTTTGTCCTTTAACTGCCATATGGAGTGCTGTCTGCCCCTTCTTGTCAATTCTCCTAGCAATTTCAGGTTCTCTGCTCAGGAGGGCCTTGACGACCTCCACATGGCCATTTCTAGCAGCAGAATGCAACACAGTTTTCCCGTTGCTTTTTGCAATAGTTATCAGGCTACTACCTTTTTCCAGCAGTAAATTTATTACCTGAATATGTCCTTGTGCTGCAGCAGTATGCAATGCAGTGGTGTTTGAAAGATCAACAGTCATTGAAATTTCAGGAATGGCCTCCATGAGGACCTTCAATATCTCTGCAAAACAGTAGTAGAGAAATGCACTCAGACAAATTCCAAAGGTTAAATTGATAATAATTTTATGATTTAGATAAACAATAAATAAGAGTCAAAGGGAAACCTAGCTGGTAAAGATTCTGGCAATTTTGAAAACAATTAATCGAATCACAGACAAATAATATATATTGTTGGGATTGATTCAAGAAATACCCGAGTATCTTGACAAATTGAGCAAGATTTGTAAAAACAGGTAACATAATATTCATCAAAATGAAGTTACATTCGTGTAAAAGAACAGGTATGCTCAAATGGGCCAAGACACAATATGTAGTAGCTAGTAAGGATCCTACACCGATCTGTAGACATTTAAGAGACTTACCCAAGTGTCCATTTTTAGCAGCAATGTGGAATGCATCGAATCCATTTCTAGCTTTGATGCTTGTCAACCCAATATCATGGTATCTGATCAATTCCTTCACTATATCAAGATGACCATTTTCGGCAGCAACATACAAGGCAGTTTCACCAGAGTTATTGTTCTTTGAAAGCAACTCCTTTAATTCTTTGTCTCCATTCTCAGATATGATTTCCAGAACCAATTCCAAATTTCCAGCTCGGACAGCCGATTGTAGGGGAGAATCACCCCGTATACCTGTCAATTGTTTCTTCATCATCACGGAATGTCTCTTTACTACTTTGATGGAGCTCCAACTTATCAACTTCACAATTCCTCAAGACATATCCAAGTTACAACTATTGATTCAATTGTCTCCCTCTGTGTCAATTCACCAATATTGACAAGGAAATTCAAAATTGTACACCATGGTAAGCACTCAAGGTCCACTTGATTTGAAAACACATTCTGACCACTTCATCATCCAACCAGACTCCACTTCTTTTTGCTTCTGGCACCAAGTTGAAACACCTACATAGGGGTAAAAAAAACAAAGACTCAAGGGTAAGCAATAGAATACGAAAATTGATTCAAAGAAACGTTTTGTATTCTTGGGGGAGGGGAAGGCTAAATTGATTCAACAAATCTAAAATTATTGGGCAATAGGGTATGTTGATCTTTTCAAACAGAAAATGAAAAACAACATAATAAATGGGTAATCAATAGTTAATTAAAGTGAAAAGAAGACAACAACTAACCAATTAATGAATAAGACATCGCAGGTTGTGCTTTCAGAGAGAGGGGGGATTTGGGTGCTCCTCTTCCCAAGATATCTAGAAACCGCAGAAAAGAGTATTAAGTGAAATAAGGGAAGCTTCAAATTTCAAAAGCAACTGAAGATGAGATGTGAAAAGGCAGAGCAGCAATTGAAAAGCTTCTCCCCGTGTTGAACAGAGGAGAAAAATACCCCCTTTTTTTTTCTGGAAGAAGTGTACGTAACTAAGAAGAATGATAAAAGGGGAAGTTTGGCAAAAAGCGGATAACAAAATGCACGAGTAGAGCTAGGGTTGGTTTGCAAGTTACAACTTCGCATACAATGAAGATGGTCCCATGCACCACCATGTTCAATCGTTGACTCCCATTTTCCACTGAATAGGTACATCATCGGTCACCACGTTTGTTTCTACTTTTATTTTATATCTTTCTGTCTGTTTCTTTCTTTTTTCTTTGTTGCTTCCTTTGTGCACTCAACTTCTCTCGTCTTCCAACCACGTCAATTTTTTTTATTCAACTGCTAGAAATTTTTTACATATACAAAATTTTGTTTAAATGATTGAATCGTTTTCTACTCATACTAACTTTTGTTAATAACGTTGTTTCACTTTGTAACCTTGAATTTTAATTAGCTATATTTAATATCTATTGTTGATAATAATTTTTTTTTATGTTTGTTACATTATTACTTACATTTCAATGTTAATTATTTATGATTAAATTTAATAATCAAAATTCACTTTTCTTACTCTAAATATTAAAAATTCAGCTGAAAATTAGATAAATTAGATATTTAAACAGTCAATTAAAGATTCCATTTTCTGGACGGTCACAAAATCGTAGAAAAGACATGATAGATAATGTAAGTCGATTGTCAATCCCACTTATATTTGCTACTAAAAAAGATCTTCATTTCAAAAGTGAATATCCATATTCATATAAAAAATATCAATATTGAAAATTTTAGTAAAAGTTTTTGAGAAATCTTTATTGAAAAATTCAATAAAACACGTAAGGAATGATCTTTATTACATAAAAAATATATTTTATTTGTAACATTTAAAATCAGTGGACTAATAAAAATACTTAAAATGAATCTAAAAACGTGGAAACCTATAGAAAGAGATAAAAGAAAGGTTCAAATAAAAAATAAAAGCATAGAATGGTGCACACACAAAGAGACAACACATAAGGCTATAATTTGGGTGTTTGAGACCATCACGACACTGCCACTTCCTTCTTCAATGGATGCATTTCAACTAAAATATCACTTTCTCTCTGTTTCACACTTGCATGCCTCTGCCGGGGTTTGACTGGGTCTTACAAGCACCAAGATTTGTCAAAATTAGTTAACAAAACAATCATTGAAGAATACTAATTTTACATTTTTTAAATAAAAAACGTTAGAATTCGTACAAAAACAGTATAATCTCACTTAACAAGAAAATGTCAATAATATATTTGTATGAAAAACCTACATAAAATTATCTTGGTAACAATTTGTGTTAAGAAATTATATTATAAGTATGAGAAGAGAGAAAACAAACGAGGAGAAAAGCTTTAAAATTTAAATGAAGAAGAAACTTTGAAAATTAGTTTGGAAAATCTAAGCACCCATCATTTCGATTTTTGAAATAGAAGCGAATAGCTTTAATGCCAAACCATTCAATTCAATAACCAATGGATTGGTTTTTAAAATCGGATTTCGAAGTCTACGAAATCCATTAAAAAAAAAAGTCCTTTCTACACTTGTCTTTTTATACTTATCACACTCGATATTCTCTATCTTTGTGTAGTTTCTATGATATGCTACATCATACCTTCAACGTACAAGTCCTTTCTTTACATGAGTGTAAATGGATGTAATTCAAAAAAGAATGTGAAGGAATCATTTATCTAAATAATTTTACCTCTATAATCCTATTTGCATGTGAGAGAGTTAAAGGAAATGCAGAAATAAATAATGTCAAATAAATATTGTACAAGTCAAAAGACACACTTGAGGCATTAAATTTTTTGTAAATGAAGATTATTTTTCGTTGATAATCAAAGATTAATATCTTTGGAAAAAGAGACATAGTCAAAGTAATTAGAGTCTTTTTTTAATAAATAAAGTTTCACAAAATGAAGAAATACTTAACTATTTTTCATTTCGCATTATTTTTTCATATAAATTAACCACTCAAGCAAACCACGTACTCATAATTAATGAGATAAAACATTTAATACTCAAAAGTATAAATAATAAATAAAAGGTCTTATAAAGATTATATAAAATGTCAAAACCAAAATACATGTGGAAACCCTAAAAGTTAAATTTCATGCTAGGGAAAAGACATTAACAGCCTAGTTTAATCATCTTAAATTTTAAATAAGAAATGAAAAATAATTTTTGTATATCTCATAAAGGTTATTTGTGGTGTATATATATTACAAACAGTATCAATTTTTAGTAATTTAAATAAGGAGATTGATAGGAAAAATAAAAGCCAATCTAATAGTGCATTTCCGGGGTCATTCTCATAACTTTCATCCTCTCTTTCATCTAATTTAAATAATTCTTCATCACCATTTGTGTCTCATTGGAATCAACCCGAATCTATTTATACATACAGTTTTTTGAATTAATTTTATAGCACTTAACACTTAAAATTACAATTAAGGCTTTGTTGAAGGCCTAATTAAGCAAAATCTATTTTTACAAAAGTTATGGACGCGCCTTTGACTACACTTAAGAAAACAAAACTACAAAAATAATTTGTATACAACTAACCACTTGGGTTTCGCTCTTTGAAACACTAACTAACAAGAAGCCATTTACTTCCATAAAAGTTATCTATTTTTCTCTGACAGATGAAACCTCCAAGTTAAGCCAAGAGTCTTTTTCAATGATTGCCAGATACAAAAAGAACTGTTCAGAAGCATCAAACTTACATTAATTAGAGTCCAAAGTAACATCAAATGGCGTAGATTGGATTTACTTCTGAATCATCAGAATCAGAGAGACACCATGATTGTGTTCCAATCCTTGAGATCTTCTCTTTCTTCCTCACTCTTCTTAATTGTTTGGATTTTACCACATAGTATGTCATGGTACCAAGAACACCACCCATTACGGCGCCCGCCGTAACAGTAACGAGAATTGCAGCCCATTCACTATGCCGACCAATTACTATATAAGATGCTGTAATGAATGAAACAGTGGTGCACACAGAGGCTAACCACATCATCTTGTTGATCACTTCCACAACCCTCCTCTCAGCCTTTGTCTCCCCTCTAACAAGTGTGATTTGAACCACAACCACAGACAATGATGTAAATAGTGAAATAGCATTGGTTATATAGAAGGCCTTGAAAGATACACAATGTACCATCACAGCCATCCCATTATCATAATCTCCACCAGGAACTGTAAAAATTGCAGCAAATGCAACTGTTGCAAATAGCACAGCAACCACAGTTACTGAGTTGGCAGCATTGTTTATTCCAGCTCTGTGTAATTTGCGTAGCTTCTTGGCAATCCCACTCACATTCTTGTTTGTTTTTCGAGTTTGTTCAAGCTGAAAAAAAACATCTTTCTTAATCTGTGTCACAGTTTTCCTTAATTCATCCTTTGGCTGGTTAAGGTCATTGGCTTTAACTGCACCGCAACGAACCAAGCTCTCTTTGACCTCCAAAATTTCTTCAGATATCGGAAGCCCCTCTGCAAGGTCAAGAGCTGTCTTGTGGTCTCTTGTTAAGGCATTTACATTGGTGTCAGGGAGAAGTAACAGCTCGTTCACTATCTGCGTGAATTTTTGCAAGTCATGACTACCGCATCCTTGATGTCATAAAAAAGGCATAACATGTTCCCTAAAGACACTATTATAATTTAGAAAGGAAAACAAATAAACTCATATAAACAAGTATAAAACTTTTTTCGAAATATTTTTCACTATTGATTATAATGTATATGAGTCTCATTAAATAATAAATAAAACTTATTAGGATGCATTCATGTTATTTAACAAAATCTACATGAATTTTGTCCAATAGTGTGTCTTGAAAAAAGTGTACAAGATTCGCTAACGTGTCTTGAAAAAACTTATTAGGATGCATTCATGTTATTTAACAAAACTATAGAACATGTAGATAAAGGTTGATGGTTTTCCTATAATCAAACTAATGATTGTTTGAAGTTCAGGCATTATGATATGATACCTCTGCCCTCTTCTTTCTGGTTGCAACATGCAATGCAGTATTGCCAAACTTGTCAGGAAGCATGACAATTGCTGTATCGGCCGCAAGAATCAGCTTCACCACTTCACAGCTAACCCCTTTAACAGCCATATGTAGTGCAGTTTGTCCTTTCTTATCAGTTCTTCGAGCAAGTTGTGGATCCTTCCCTAGCAATATCTTCACAACATCCACATGTCCCTGCCGAGCAGCTAAATGAAGTGCATTCTTTCCATTGTTCCTAGATATCTCTAACTGACTAGGATCCCGCGACAGCAACAACTTAACAACATCTGCATGCCCCCGAGTAGCAGCAGATACAAGAGGAGTTGCATTTGACTGTGCAAATGTCTTAATCAACCCAGGATCATTATCTAGAAGCACCTGCACAATTGCTGCCACAACAAAATATTTAGTGGAAATACAATCATGTAAACTTAAATCCAACAGTGTCAAAGTAAACATAAATGTATAATTATTCAAACGTGCCCTTAACTGTAACATAATGTGCTACATCAATATTAAGTTTTTTCTCAATACCTATACATTAAAGATTACGAATAAAAATTTATCATTGCAAAGGCAGGTTTTTTATCATAACCTTTAATGTCTGATATCTTTTATAAGCTAATAGTTGGTGAATGTCAACAAAACCCAGAGAAATAAGATAAAAATTTTCATGAATATCATGCATTTAGTCACATGAATAATAATTTTATCTTAGAAAAAGATAAATAAATACAAAATTCTGACGTGAAAACTAAAGAAGCGTTGGTATATATTGTTATAGGGACGTACCATGATGACCTTGGCTAGCGGCAATATGCAAGGGATCAAAACCGGAGCGGTTTTTGAAGGAAAGGGCTTGGGTGGTGGTGTAAGGGAGGAGCTCCTTCACGATGTCGAGGTGGCCTTTGTCAGCGGCGGTGAAGAGGGCGGTTTCTCCCAACTCATTGACCTCATTGAAGATGGCAGACCTAATGTCGGCCACCTCGGCGTTGAACTCGGCGCCGCTCAGGCTTCCGATCATGTGGGAATCAAAGTCGGCGAGGATTTGGCGGACGGCTGCGACATCGCCGCGCTGGGCGGCGAGGTGGAGTTCGGTGTCGTTGTGGCGGCCGGTGACCTGTTTGACATATTTTTTTCTCGGTGTGTCGAGGCGCTTACCGGAATTTGAGAGAAGAAGGGATTTGTTGGAGTTGGAAACGAGAAGGGATTTGCCGGAAGTGGAGAGGAAGAGGGTGGGTCTTGGGGTTGTTGGGGTGTTGGGTTCTGAGAGATGATGAGGTTGATGCGGATGTTGATGATTCATGACCATGATCATTACGATGACGACGATCATGACATGCATGTGGGTCTATTATGATGGCGGTGGTGGCTGCGCCTCGACTCGTAAACGCAACACCATAGCGCGTGGTTTTGATTTGCACCATAAGCTGATAACTCCCTTCACAAATATCGTTTGTTTGTTTGTTCGTTCGTTCGTTCCATCTTTCCGTTCGTTCTCCCCCTTCCCCTATCCACATCCCTTTTATAGTACTATTCACTATTCACACTATTTTCTTCATCTCTTCTGTTTTTTTATTATAAAAAATATTAATATCGTATATATATAATTATAACTAGTATTTCAAATCCCGTGTAACACAGGGTTATCTAATTTTTAAAACAATAATTTTATTTTTAAACTATAGTTTAGTCTATAATAACTTCAAGATTTTTAATTAAAATATAAACTAATGCTGATAATTATAATTACGATTTTAAATGTTGAATATGAATTTCATAAAACCTTATTATGTTATAGTTATTTTTTATTGGAAATGACATTCACTTTAATATCTAGAGAAGTAAAAAAAAAATTGCTATAATATTATTATGGTTATTTTTTTGGCAGTAGTTATAAATATAACGATATGTTTTTAGTTTGGACATCTTGGTCACTTTTTTTTAGTTTGAATGTAAGATTTTAGTTTCTTAATAGGTGTTTGATTGTTTATTCAGTTATTTAATTATATGTTAGCAATTAATGTAAAAAAATGTATTTACAAAAGTAACAAAAAAAAATATTTTCTGGTTAAAATGATAAAATAAAACAGTTTGACTCATGACCATATTTTGGTTAGGGCATTAACATTCACACGCTATAATTTTTTAAATGAATTGAAATTAAATTTTCAAACAGATATATATTTTCATTATATGAAAAAATTGCATCCGTGTTTTATATTACATTTTGCCTAATACTTTATTTGGTCCTATATGTCTAATGTACTAGCTTTCATTTTATTTTTTAAAAAAGTTATAGATTAATTCATATGATGTTTCAGCAAATAAAAATAACACATGAGGGTTGTGGCAATATGACACAATTTTTTTAAAGAAATTAATAATGGAACAGGCACCTATTAATATTCAAATAGTTCTAGAGGTTGAATAAATTGGATGATTTGATCATAAGATTTAATTACATTGCGGTTTATGGCATAAGTTTATCACAATATTTTTTTAATTAAATTAAAAAAAAACTTAGTTCAACAATGTATAATAAAATTTAATAATATGAGGGAAAAAAAGCTTATGTGAATTATAAGCTCCCTGTAAATTCTTCTAAATTTATCCTTAAAGATGAATAACTCTTTCTTCCATTGTAAAAAAAAGATATAGCCTGTCTATCAAAAGGTTGACCAAATTTTTTTTTTAAATATCAATTTTATACTTACTTTATGTCTCTCTTCTTTTTTTTTATCAAACATTGAAAGTTGAAATGGTGTTAACAAAATTTAAATTGAAAATAATTTTAGAATTAAATTTATGAAAACTCGTACATATTTCCCCGTAACTCTTAATGGACCTTCTATTGATTACGCCACATTGGGCCTACTAATACAGCAATACACTGGACTCCAAATCTTTCAAGCCCAATGCCCTTTAAGTTCTTTCCTATTTGCCATTTTAATTCACTAAAATCTCCCTATTATGTATCAAAATATAAATTTACAACATTTTACCAATTTAATTAATAATGAACATTACTTTGTAGAAATTTTTTGATAAAATAATTTATAAGATTGACTAATTTAATCTCGCTGTCTTTATAATATATTTTTTTAATTATAACATTGATATTAATACGAAACTGTTGAAAAGAAATAGCATCATTCACGCACACTTTACATCAATTTATTAACATTTTGTTCTTGTTTGTTTTCATTTTTGTCTTAAGCCTATCGCTCTGCTTGATGCTTCCTAAATCCTTTTCATGGGTATTTAATATGTCCATTTCACGTCATCTGACATCTGTTCTTCTGTAACTTCAAATTCAATATAGAAGTTGCAATCACAATAATGATGAATCAATATCTTCCTCAATTTCTGACTTAAAATTGTTTTCAATTGACTAAGTGTTGTGGTTCTTGAACGCAAAATCGCTTTTTTCTTCTTCTGTTTCTGAGGCTTACACTCACTCTCATTTTGTTGTTAATATAATTAAAGGAAAATTTGGTGAATGACATACAAAGAGGAAAATGATGAAAAAATTAACGACGAGAAAGAAAATATATGAACTTATTGATTTTCCGCTCTTTTCTTTTATATGAGAAAATATTTTATATACTAAAATATGGAACTTTAGAAAAATTTACGAAAATATAAAAAATCAATAAAAAAATATTAATGACATATTTTGGTGGTTAATTTTTTTATGATTTTTGAAAAATTGCTAAATAATTTAAAATTTTGTATTAATTTTTAGAAAAATTGTCAAAATAATTATAATAAATTTTTGAAAAATGCTCATTGTGATTTCTGAATTCTTATATTTCTTTAATTTTTTTAAATCTCATATTTTAGTTAATATTATTTTTAAATGTCATATAAAAAAAACCTACATTTGTCTATCATAATGTTAATGAAAATTTTATATATTTATAAATATATTAATAAGAATTACAGGTTCATGAATTTGTATTATAAAATCATATAAATGGTTACCAACCAAAATTATAAATTGTAATTAAATAGTTTAAAAATGTCTATTTCGATCCATCCCTAATATGAGGGGGGGGGGGGGGGGGAAAGGCATTATTGTAACCATGAGAGTCTAAATTCGTAGACTTAAAAACACAGGCATTGAACAAAGAAGGAATGGTTATGAAAACATCTTGTAGTGTTCATTCTAGTGGTGGGAACGATGCTTTTGGTCTCCTTTGTGTTAGTTTATAGACTAATATTGGGAGACTAGAGTCAATGATGGGGCAATGCCTATTAATTATTTCAATAAATATGACTTTCTTTTTTAAGTTTTATTTGGAGGTGATTTTAGAGGAAAATGAAAAAGAGAAAAAGCTTTTTGATGATAACCTTTAATCAAAAGATCTTAGATGAGAGCATAAAAATTTTTAACTCCAAAAACTTTCTTAATCTCATTTTAAGCTTTTTTTATTAACTTCCCAACAAAGCTTGATAGTATAGGAATTAACATTCTGGTTCTAGTTCAGATACAGCTTTTTGTTCCTAAACTTCAACTTCATGTAAATAAGAAAGAAACATTCGAAAATTACGTATTATTTCAATTACAAAATAATGCAAATAAAAATTCAATTCTCTCCCTCCTCTCATTTTTCAGTTCAAATTTTAAAAATAATATATTTTGATTTTATTTTCTTTCATCCAAATATATTGTGAGGGAATGGCTTTGCTATATCATGTGGAGGGACTTAGAAAAGGGGACAGCTTGTTCCTATCAACGATTCCTTTCACCAACTGCACCCAATATGACAAAGACGCTACAATTATAGCCTATAAGAATATTCTTCTTCTTCTTCTTCTTTTACATGTCTTTAAATAATAATTTAAATTTTGTGAACTGTGATCAACATTGATAAAACACAAACCTAAAATTTTTTAAAAATTAAATGCAAATAAGAAGGTTAGAAATAAAAACTGCATAAAAAATTTAAATTTCAGTTCAATGTTAGATTAATTGTAGATACCTAAAAGACTAACTAAAAATATATAAAAATGAATTAAAAAATAAACACTACTTATAAAAATTAAATTATACTTCAATCTTGGATTGATTGTACAGACCTAAAAGATTTTAGTAAATAATCCTCATTTACTCTATTGGTGTAATTTACTTTTAAAATTATTAGTGCAAATTTAAGAACAAATATATTAATTCAGGATAAGTTACGTACGAGAAAACTCAAATTTCTTTAAAGGTACCGTGAAACGAGAATCATCAAAAAATATAAAAAAATAACTATTTAAATATTTTAGTAATATTTTATTAACTTAATTACTCATTTAACTTTACCACAAGTTATTCAACTTTAGTTCCTCAATTTTTAACACAACTTTACGGATAAAAATTAATTATTTTAATACAACTCAAACAAAACAAAAAAATTACATACCTTAAAATAATACAACTCAAACAAAAAAAAAATTACATACCTTAAAATACACTTGGTTTAATACAACCTCGAGAACAATTTTAAATTTAATTCTTTAATCTAATTCTTTAAATTTAAATATAAGTATTTTAAAGAAAAAACTTATTAAAAAAACTAAATTTATAAAAATCAAATTTTTTTAATAAAATTATATTATTATTGATAATTTAAACACAATCATAAAGGCTGAGATTAACATTTAAAAAAATAAAGATAGAAAAATTGAGTTTAAAAGTTTAATAATTAAAATTAAACACCAAAAGGACACAAATAACGCATTATCAATTTTTTATAAAAATGTTATTATGTTTTAATATTTAAACAATTAATGTTAAATAAATGAAGAAAAATAAATATTAAAAAAAACGTGATAAAAAAAAGACAGATATAAAATAATTTATAAATATAATTATGATTACTGAAGGGTAGGACTACATCAAGAAGTCGTCGTGATTAGGTGTACAATAAGAAATAAAACTGAAAAAGTCGCTATCTCCCACTTGGCTTAGGCTATGTCAAAACTCTATACTTTGTACTCTAATCAGGAAAATAACGGCGATGAAAGTCGCCGTTAAAACTGTGCATTTAACTCCACCGCCGCAAAGGGGACGAAGTCACCGACGACGACGACGAGACACCACTGGAGGTGGTTCCAAAAAAGAAGAGGTTAGCGAGGTAGTTTTCAATATCTTCAGGGGTAAACGTCACATACTCCTTCGCCGTCATGTCCCTCAACGATCCCACCGTAACGAGCACCTCATTATACCATTCGCGATATTTCGGCACTATACTTCTCGCGATCGAACCTTTTATTTCGTCTCGTAGTTCTCGGTCAGCTATCACGAACGAGTTCTGTTTCCGATATGCTTCCTCGAATCTGAGGTTGAAGTTCTCGAACACTGCCCTTGCCTCCGCCGGCATTGGATTTTCAGGCAACGACGCAACCACTTCCCCCCAGGCTACCTTCTCGTAGTTCGCGACGAACCTTTTCGCTTTAGCTTCATGCTTCGTGATCCAATCGTCGCCAAGCACGTATTGCAGGTTCGAGCTTCGGACTCTGGCCACCACGTACCAGAGATTGTTCGCGAGAAACAGGTAAGACAGCGAAACGTCCTTGCAATGCTTTGCTTTGCCATCGAGCTTGCAAAGGAGGACGAGAATCAGCCACGCGACACGCGCCGTCAACGCTGGCGTCGACGCCGAGTAATCTGATTCAGGACTGTATAAATAAGATTCTGGCAGCGACGACATCTTTGGCAGCGGAAGCCAGTCCCCGCGCGGGAATATGTCAGAGAGAACGTTGCTGTAATCGGCGAGGATTGAGAGGTAATTCATCGTCTGAACTGTGAGTGAGTGGACGGCGCCACCGTTCACCGGCAATTTGGAAGAATCCTTCTGGATCGTGGACTCGAACTCCATGAGCAAGATTTGCACGAATTCAGCAAGCCGTTGAAGCGAAGCGAGAACTTGAGAACGAATTCCGGCTTTGTAATCCGAGGAGAAGATGGACTCAATCTCCGGCCACAGCTCGGAAATCAGAGCGTACATATCGAGCATGCGGAACAGCTTCTCTGGCGGCGATTTCTTAGTTTTAGCAACGAGTTCAGGGAATCCGAAAAGGAGAGAGGCACCGTCTCTGGAAATTTCAGCGAAGCATGATTCTCTGATGGAATCTGAATAACTGAAGACGTGGTCGCACAGGATTCTCTCTCCGTTGAAGAGCGTCCTCACTGAAATCCTGACTGCCTCTAACCAACTCTTGATCTTCAAATCAAGCACTTCCCAATCCATCTTGTTTACGCGCGAGGAGCTCATTTTCTCCACACCGAGGCGGTATATTCCTTCATCGATGATGGATTTTCGGATGATGATGTAAACGCTGACGCATTCCTTCGCATAACCGGACGAGACCATGCAATCGGCAATCAACTTGAGATCCGCCATGGCAACGGACGAGACCTGTTCGACTTCGGAGATTGAGTCGCCGGCGACGCGAATGTCGTCGTCTTCCGCCGTGAAATCGTCGTCGTAATCGGAGGCGCTGGAATGAACAGAGCCACGAGAGGATCTAGCGGAGACAGATTCGGGATCAAGGTGAGCCCTGTTCATGGATAAGATCTGGTAAAACTCTTTCTTGAGTCTCTTCATAGCCAGCTGCATTAGGTTGTGAGCGAGGATGAGTTTGTCAGAGGAAGGATTGTGTGAGAGCAAGGAATGCATGGTCTGCTGAAGCTGGTTAACGCAGTTGATGTACTGTTTGGCTTCGGTTTTGTCCTCGTAGAAGAGAGAGGTGACGTTAGCGTAAGCGGAAGTGTCTGCGTTCCATTTCAGGATCAGAGCCTCTGCTTCCTCGATGGTGTAGCTATCTTCGTCGACGATGCCAGGGTTGGAAAAGCTCAACCGCGGTGGCGTGGGGATTGAAGTTAAGGACGCCGGCGAAGAAGGAGAATTACGGGCCAAGGAAAACGACGCCGTTTTTGGGTTAAAACAGAGGTTTCTCATGTTTGCAACTGAACGAAAATAGCCAAATATTTGTCGTTTGGATGTGTAGGAGCTGCCGCAGTTTGCAGACGGCAATTGGAGTAAATGGTTGCTGCAAACTGTGTTTGAGTGAGAGAGAGAGAGAGAGAGAGAGAGATTGGATGGTTGGTAATGGACGTGGGTTATATATAGAGTTTGCATTACATTAGTTGCTTCTTGGGGTAACTTGTGAAGGATTACAAATTTATAATTTTAGCATGGATTGACCTTTATGGAGCCTTGACTTTTATAACCCCTTATCGTGCTTATTCAATAACCCGAACTGATCTTTAATTTCCTCCCTCCCTCCCTCCCCTTTTGTTATGGACTTGGCTTATGCTGCGTGTGGGTCTATCCCTTCCCGTTCGTTGGAAGATGCTTTGATGTTGAATTTGTGAAGGGAAGCAGTTTCAAGGAAAGACTAGTACCAACCCACACCCACAAGCGTGGGAATGCAGAAAAATCAAATTAACAAAACAAAATTTATTTTATATTAATGGGATTTGGACCATTTAATTAAACGAAATAATTTCTTAAAACAATGTGTGGGTACACACCAAATGCATAAATTTGGCTCGATTTTAATTATTTTTTAAAATATTATTATATTTTTAAATTAATATCAATTCCTTTGTTTAAAATATTTTTTTTAAATATTTGAAGTGAATAAATTGAATTTAACTCATAAAAAATTACTCATTTTATATTCTCTAGTATTTATTTAAAAAATTATCTTAACCTAACCGAAGTCTTATTACATGTTCTTATTAGCTAACTTATTGAACTTCTCACAGTGTGTTTTAGTATGGCAAAGTTTAAAACCGATTAATTAAACCCTCAATTTACTTTTTAAGATTATATAGGTTGAGTATTTTAGCCTATGAATTTTTTTAAAAAAAATATTCGTTAGTCTTTACTTAATGAACAAATATTTATTTTATCTTAAATTGTTATTCTATATTAAAAAGTTAAATAAATATTACTTTACAAAATTAGAGATTAATAATTTATTTAAGAATTTAAAAGATACAAACCCCTTATCGATCTAATTTTGACGACTGATATTGTGAAAAGGGATATATATATTATTCCAAAGTACCCATTTCCTTCCGGCGCCATGCATAAACGGAAGATAAGCAAAAACGTAAGCATACATATCATATCAGAAAAGCGCAAGATTAGTCTATAGGACGCAATGAGTGATGGGTGATCGAGGGTAATACTTGCATTTCAATTTTTATATCTAATATAATGTTTGACTCTATAATTGAATCACGTAATCGTGTTTAGTCTAAATAAAAATCATCGTACGTGACGAAATATGGTTAACTCTCGTTTTACGTGGAGTTTAGTCTAAATCACTGCATTCAAATGTTTTATATTCAAGAAATAAAATTTTTAATTTTATCTGGTAAAGAACTTAGGCCTAACTTTATATTTATGCTTTTATAAATAGTATTTTGACTTTCTTCATAGCATGTGCGACATTTTAACATCATCGAAGTTAGACGTGACATTTCCTTTTCATAGTACAAAAATTATAAACTGAATTAGTGTAATTAATTGTTTGACAGTATTTCTTTTAAAATTATTGAACTATATGAACAATATAATGTTAAAATCAGAATAAAGATATTTCTTTGATCTAAATACACGTACGCTCAATTAAGTTATGGGGTGTTTTCATGGATTCGAATTTGAGATATGTATGTCTAAAAAGAAGTTCGAACTCAATTTATGATCTCGATGTCATGACATATTAATGAGGGAAAAAAAGGTGTGGATGAACTCTCTATATCTGACAACTATTGTTTTTTTTTATGTGCATCGTAAATTGTCTGAAAATTATTTACATAGATACGTCAAATAAAAATATAAATCTCTCGTCAAACTTCATTAAAAGCTTAATGATTAATCTATATTATAATTATTTGTCATAGTTATATAATCTAAACGATTGTTTAACGTTGTTTTACAAAATAAATTTTAAAAACTCTAACATCTAAACAATAATCAGTTTCAATGTTTAATTGTGAATAAATTGATATTGAACAAATCGTATCTATTACTATTAAATTCACATATATAAATATAAGCTTAGATCTTATAAGTGTAAGATTTATTTTCTTGTTACATTTTAAGTATAAGAGTAGTTTCGATTTGTGTATGAACTTATTAGCCCTTTTCACAATTTATGTTCAGAGAATTCCAAACTCAATAAGCACAAAATCCTTCACAGCTTCATGTGGCATAGAAGGGTGTACACACGGTGTAGGTGTATTAAAAGTCTTGAAGTTTGAATGATAAATAGGTTTTTTTCTAACTAATAAATTAAATTTTATTAAAATATTGTTATAAAAAATTAAAATTACAACAAAAGTGTTTAATAATATTTTTTGTAATTTTTTTAATCAATATCTTTAAAACATTAACTAATGTTTACCCTATAATTAATAAACTTGCCTCAATTATTTTTTGTGTACTTTTCAGGCGGGATTAGGTCACCTTTGAAAATACGATAATCTGATTAAATAAATAATTAAAAAATGATTGGCGTAAAAAATAACGAAGTAAAAGCCATCTCCTGAACGTTCTTGTCAATGGGAAATCTGACCGCGATGAATTAGGTTATTCAATCCTTTTCGACATCTATATTGTATAACAAAAAGTGATTAAAGTATCCTAACAACTGATTTTTAATATATATATATATATATATATTAAAAAACTAATTTTATCTATCCTAACAACTGAATTGATTCATAATATATACTCTAAACTCTTATTGATATCTAGTTAAATAAAGTATTGAGTCTTTTTGTTTTTTAATTTCATCCTCATATAAGAAAATAGTTTAAAGGTAAAAACATTTTATTTTATTCTTTTGTACTCATAACATTGGCCATTTTAATTAAATTAAATATTTATTTATAATAATTTTTCTTCTATTCAGTAATTAATATTAACAAAATAAAAAAAAAACTTTTAATTAAGTTAAACTATCTTAACATTTTTTTAACTCAAAGTTGTCATATTGTTATTTAAATATATAAAATCAAATTGAATCTTTTATTAGGACTTAGAGAAAAAAAATATCAATATAAAAATCTCTCAAATGATATTATATTAATATATACGTAGTTAGAATTTTCATTTATTAACAAATGTTGTATTTCTTATAATTCTTTTATACTGCATTTTTGTTTTGGGTCTTCATCCATTTGAATTTAAGTAAGTGAAATCATAATTTTATTGTTTTTTTATTTTATTTTCATGGACTAAAATTACCTTTTTTCTTCCTTAACCTCTATAATTAAACCTTACAAAATTTGTTACATTTTTTTTTAATTTCTTGCCTTAGTTATTGAGCCTCCTATTCCATAAATTTTTTTTTAGGTTAATTAGTTGAATTTGTATCATAATCTTTATACATAATAAGAATATTTTAAGGAAAAATTGTTTGTAAATTTAGAATCTTTTTAATGAAATATTTTTCTCAAATGCTCACTCACTGTTAAAAATTAATTAATTAATTAAAATAGTCGAGTACTTATACTTTTAAAACTTATTTTACTGAATTATTTACGTGTATATATAAAAATTATTGTAAACTAAAAAGAAATAATTTATTTGCACAAGTGAAATGGAGTGCGTATGTAAGTTATAAGATTAATAAGAAGTTCGATATAAATCAAAGCATTATCCAATAGTTTAAGGATATGCATGTATAGAGAAATTTAATGTAATTTTATGTTAAGTATTGTCACTTTTATGTTGTAAACGTACGATTTCAAATTTTTATCGTTTGAATATTGCATAAATAAACACTTTCAATTACAATATGATGGCTGAATGATTTATCAAATGATCAAATTATGGTCTAAGGATCGACAATATATAATGTGACGTGTACGCGTGAAAAGTGTGCATAAAGATTAATCATAACGAAAATTAATTTTGCATAAAAAAGAGTCAAGTTTAACGTTCGTATATAACACAGTAGATGCCAATTGTGCACGTTCTATCAAATCAATAAAATAATGAAAACACAAGTGTTTGGTTTTGTTAACTTGCTGTGAGCGATGTCAATTGATAAAGAATTGCGCTCTCTGTTGTCAACGAAGAAGAAAGGGACTCAAACGCTGCCGTCCATGCATCTAATCGTAGGTTGAAGTTTTTCATTCTCCATTTTTTTTGTGGTTAAGGTGTATGTATGTATGTATACCTTTACGTGTTTTAGACTATCACTATTAATTGATTGTTATTTACAAATCAATAAACTCCATTGCTACTTGGCTTTACTTGAATGGCTGGTATGCGTGGACAGCAAGTAGAACGTCACCGACTCAAGTTATACGAGTGATAGGAATTCAAGTTGCTTTTGACAAATAATTCACATTAAAACAGAGGAAGAACACACAAATGTTGCCTTATTATTGTTAAGCATCGTCGTATTGTTTAAAACAGTGTAAGATTGTATTTCATTTACATGTGTACAACTATTTATTTAACAAAAGATTCTACGTTCAAACCTTTTATGTGCATTTTTTTTTGTTGCTATTTTTATGTGCAATATTTTTCAGACTAGTGACAGTGACAAATCTCATAGTTTTTTATTTTTTAAAAAAATATCTAACTTATTTTACAAAACTAACGTAAGTGTATACATGAATCTTTTAATTTTATGAAGGATAGTTTTTACAATAAACGTTGTCTATGGACTCTTGTGTTAGTCTACGTCATTTCTTAAATAGTTACATTATTATTTCAAAAACTAATATACTTTTAAAAATAAATACATTCAAATCCACAAAACGAATTAAATAGAATAAAATAAAATATTTGACAAGTCATTTGCAATTTTAAATTCTCATTCAATTCAATGTAAGCAATACAAGTTATTTATAAGATGAATGTTAATTACACACTTTTTCTCGATCATAAACTGTAGACCCAACTATTATTGTTTAAACTAATTTTTTTTTACAAGATTAATTGACTTTTGTTAGATTTTGGTAAGTAAAGTTATAAATTTGATCTTACATGGATTCATATGATAAAAAGGATAAGATCATTAACTTTACAGGTAACTAAATTCCACCGATTAATTTTTTAAATTAAATTGTTACCTTTCACGTAGTTAATTATACTATGTTTTCTTCCTCTCTTTAATTTGTCTTTCTCCAAATCACACTTACGCACCCATAGTTATTACCCACTCTAAATATGATTTAAACCAC